CCATTTTGTTTGGGACAAGCTTCATTTAGTGATATGAAAGTTGCTTCAGTTGTACCTTACAAATAGAGGGTCATTTGCGTGTTTGTTTAAACAGAAAGTGAAAGGGAAATTTTTGCGTGTCTGTTGCCTCAGTTGTGCTTTACAATTAAGAAAATTTGGTATACTGTTCCAGAAAGAAGATCATGATTTAAAGTTAATGTCTGACTTTGTCATTTGTTCTTCTTTCATGTGCCTCTTTATGAAATTTAATATGATGACCGGGGATGGTAATCTATGAACTGGAAGTCCTTTAAGAAAGTTCTGCCCCATCAATCATTCTTGTCCTCACCCTTCAACTCCATTTCGAAGTAATCAATAATACGAGAGCATGTTTTTAGTCGAGTCCTAACTAGGAGGTTCCTAGAAAATAATTGTTTGATAGTATACTAGTGGGGAATACTTACTGATGGAAAAAACAAATTGTTGGTATCAAATTCCGGACTTGGTTGCGCATTATCATATGTTGTGTACTCAAAAGTCCGAATGCAGTGTTGGCCGGGTGGGAATGATGACTGAAAATTTTGTATCTAGTGAGAGAACAGTTTCGCCATGTGGAACTGAGGCTGTCTGGATTTAATACTGAGCCATCTATTGATTATGGAAAGTTGAAATACATGGTTTCTTTAACCATACTCAATCATTGTGTTCCTTTTCTTCTCCATTCGATTAACAAAATATTGATTCTACAGACTCATTTTCTCCAGTTTTGTTGCCTTCTAAATCCGTTTTTATTTTAGAGGCATATATGGATGTGAAGGAGTAAGGTCCGATTCTTTTATAAGCTGGATTTTGCTGCCTTGTAAGCTAGTTTACACTAGAAAATTCTGGATGTCGGATGTTGACATGACATTGTCTGTTTTATGGTGCTTCTAACAGTTCCCTAAGTTAAACATCTATGTCTTACCCCATTACAGCTATTATTGATTGAGGATAAGTTTACTGGTAAAACAGAAGAACAATAGTCAATCGAGAGAAGGATCACAGTTTCACCAGTTTAAGAAACACTCTAAGTCAAACAAGACAAGCGAAGAAGAAGGACAACAAACAGTACGCTATGCCCAGATTGTCTAGAGTTCCTAGCAACAGGCCCAACTCTAGCAATCTTAGACACTTTAAGCAAGAACCCAATCCGACTCTCCCAAAGAACTGACCCGTTCTTACTGAGCATTGGAAACCGTTACCATCTTCTTCCTCGAGAGGTCTTTAAGTAGGCTTTCGAAGGGCATCTTCGATCTCTCTCTTCTTCAATGAGGTTACCGTTGACAGAGGCTTTTAAGGGGCGGATTGGAGATGTCATCCATCGGGGGAGTTGGTTCTTCTCGATGTTCTGATTGTTAGGGATTAGGAATGAAGGAGAAGACGCCTTTGGTGATCTCAACGCTGACAGAGAAGCTGTTTGGGCTCCAAATGGAGAGGCTTTGGTTTGATCCGTCGAGATGACTATGGGCCTGGGCCCAACAATCTCCCCCTGCGTTCAAGCCTTCATTCCTGTCAATAGACACAGTGATATAAAAGCATCGAGTGTGCAGTTTTTCTCAGAGTATAAACCAAAAAGTTTCAATTTCAAATTTCCATAGCATGAATGACAACGACCTCGGTCAAGTTAAAGCAAACAGAGACACTCATTAAACTTGGACCTTTATGGTCTTTTATTCTCGAATTCTTATCAACCAACACCTTACTTAGACCTTTATGGTCTTTGAACCATTCAAGAACACATCAGAACAAATAGACACCACACTTAGACCATTATGGTCTTTGAAACATATCTAAATAGAAAGACATAGAGCAGACAAAACATGAATGACACAGAGCAGTTCAAATTTTTCTTATTTCTATGATATTCTCTTAAGAGTTAATCTTCTGGAACTGAGTTTTCTTTTGGCTCCAATGAGTTCCAGTCACTCCTTCCATCATATCCTCCCCCTGAGTTCCAGCCACTCCTTCCATCATATCCCTCTCAAGATCTTCAGCAAAGAGTCTGATATCTTTTTCAGACACAGTTTCAGGTTCGAGTTCAACTTCTTCTTCTTCTTCAAAAGAAATAATCAGGTTTTTGAGGATAGATGATGATGAATCCCCAAGTTGCAGGGATTTTGACTTGTATTTGATGAGTCTGGCAGCTGCTGGGTCAAGGGATTCTCCCCCTTTTGAAGGCTAAGGGTCAACCCCAATAAAGTTGAGGACAGTGAGGGCGGAGACAGAGACAAAAGTCTCGATAGAGGAGTATCCATTAAGGGAAAGATCAAGATTGGATAGTAAGAGGGTGATGAAGCCTCCATAAGGAAGGCGACCATCAAGGTGAGCATCAACACTTCGAACAATAGAGCCAAAAAGGAGTTGGGAATAGCCGATTTTGCGGCTAGTCAGGGCATTGGAAAGGACCCAGAGGTCAAGTTTGGTAACAATATGAAGACCATGAGAACGAGGAAGAAAGAAATGAATGATAAAATAGTGTAGGGTGTGAAGTGTGGGGTTCAGATCAGCATAAGTGACGACTTCATTAGCACCAACTCGTCGCTGAGTGATGCGAGAGTATTCAATCTCATGATCAAAGTCATAGAACAGAAATTCATCCTCATGGGCCAGAGGAATAGGTCCTCCAGTTGGAAGGTTTAATAGAACACCAATAGCCTCAGCAGTGAGTGATATAAAGTATCCATTCACGAGAGTGGTCAGTTTTCTGGTGGTGATGCCTTGACAGTCAAGGTTGGCATAGAAAGTCCTAACAGGTAGGGGACAAGCAGCAAGGGGTGGATAGTGGAGAAGGAATTCCCAGCCCAGATTCCTAATGAAAGGTGTAATGTCTATCCCAGAGGCTTTGAATTCATAAAGATCAAGTGAGATGGGATCAGAAAGTCTGCGGGAAGCAAAGAATTATTTGAATCTATGGAGGTTGAATTCAATGGGCTCATTGAAAGTTCTTCCAACATAGGTAACAATTGTACCGGGAATGTTGGAAGATGTTAACAGCTCAGTCATGATGTTGTTAGGAATATCAGAGCATGATATGGGCGGAGAAGATAGGGAGGATATATAAATACTAAGGGGAAGAATACTAAGAGCTACCAACAATTATTTAGGAAGAATACTAAGTGCAGCAGTCAACTATTTAAGAATTTTCAAAGCATGGGGAAATTAAACAGCACGTTCATGAATATTCAAGCAACAGAACAGAAAATCTAGCATAAATGAAACATTTATTGAATTTTGAAAGGGAGCAAGGAAAGATAGAACCTGGTTTAATGCCCATTCTGAATCGAGTGCAGAGACTGTAGTCCAAGTTCATCACAGAGTCTAATGAATCTTTCACAAGACAGAGCTTTAGTGAAAATGTCAGCTATTTGAAATTCAGTAGATATGCAATTTATTCCTACAAGACCAGCTTGAACTATATCTCTAATGAAATGATGTTTGACTTCAATATGTTTGGTTCTGCTGTGGTGAACTTGATTCTTTGACATGCAAATGGCACTAGTATTGTCACACATGACAGGGATTTTATCAAAACAAAGGCCATAGTCAGCCAGTTGAGACTTTAACCACATGATTTGTGTGCAACAACTGCCAGCAGCAACATATTCTGCTTCTGCTGTTGACAGGGGAACATATCCTTGTTTTTTACTTGACCAAGACACTAAAGACCCCCTAAAAAATTGCCAAGTACCACTGTTACTCTTTCTGTCAGTGATGCTACCAGCAAAGTCTGAATCAGAGTATCCAATTAAAGACAAGCCCTCGGATTTAGGATACCATAATCCAAGATCATGAGTACCTTTTAGATATCTAAAAATTCTTTTTACAGTAACCAGGTGACTTTCTTTAGGTTGACTTTGGAATCTAGCACACATACAAACACTGAACTGAATATCAGGTCTACTAGCTGTTAGATACAATAGTGAACCAATCATTCCTCTATACCTCTTTTCACATACAGGTTGCCCTTCAATATCATGATCTAGATGAGAATTTGAAGCAATGGGTGTTTTACAAGTGCTGACATTCATCAAGTTGCATTTGGTTAGCATAGATTGTAGGTATTTGGTTTGATGAATGAAAATTCCAGTATCAGTTTGATGGATTTGCAGACCAAGAAAGAATGTTAATTCACCCATGAGGCTCATTTCAAACTAGTTTTTCATGGTAGAGCAGAATTCATCACACATATTGGGGTCAGTGCTGCCAAAGACAATATCATCCACATACACCTGGACTATCAAGGAATGATTATTTTTTCTTTTAATGAAAAGAGTTTTGTCAACTCCTCCTTGACAGAACCCTTGAGTTATGAGAAAGGAGGTCAATTTTTCATACCAAGCTCTGGGAGCTTGTTTAAGACCATAAAGAGCATTTGAAAGTTTAAAACTTGGTCTGGAAATTCAAAATCAATAAACCCAGGAGGCTGTTCAACAAACACATCTTCCTTAATCTCACCATTCAGGAATGCACTTTTTACACCCATTTGATAGAGTTTAAAGTTCATAAGACTTGCATAAGCACATAGAAGTCTGATTGATTCTAGCCTAGCTACAGGGGAAAATGTTTCATCATAATCAATTCCCTCCTCTTGACTATATCCTTGGGCAACAAGGCGGGCTTTGTTCTTAATGATAAACCCTAATTCATCAGATTTATTCCTATATACCCACTTAGTGCCAATGACAGATATGTTTACAGGTCTAGGAACAAGTTCCCAGACCTTCAGTCTGACAAAATGAGACAATTCTTCTTGCATGGCAAGTAACCACTCTTCATCTAGTATGGATTCCTTATAGTTTTTTGGTTCGAGTAAGGAAACAAAGGCATACTCACCTGGGGTGTACTTACCTCTAGTGTGAATGGGATATGATATTTTACCTATAATTTGAGAAGGAGGGTGCCTTCTCTTGATGTGAGCAGGAGCTTCAGGATTTTTAGGGGAATCATTCTCAGAAGAAGCAACTGGAGGGATGGAATTTGTTTTAACAGAATCCTCTTTGTTAGAGGTTTCACCTGTCTCAAGAGAAGAGCTAAGAGGAAGACAGTCATAGTTGCTTATATCAGAATGCAAAGGTAGTGATGGATGAGATGAGTCGAACTTAATGTGAACTGACTCTTCAACTTTTCTTGATTTCTTATTAAAGACTCTATATGCCTGACCTTTATTAGAATAACCAAGAAAGATACCAATGTCAGACTTAGCATCAAACTTTCCAATTTGATCCTTAGTATTCAGAATGTAGCATTTGGATCCAAATGGATGAAAGTAGGATAGCTTAGGTATTTTTCCTTTTAATATTTCATAGGGAGTTTTATTAATAATCTTTCTAATGGTGGTATGATTATGCACATAGCAAGCAGTGTTTACTGCCTCTACCCAGAGGAACTTAGGGCAATCAAAATCAAGAAGCATAGTTCTGGCAGATTCAATAAGAGATCTATTTTTCCTCTCCACGACCCCATTCTGTTGTGGGGTTCTAGGTGCAGAGAATGTGTGAAGGATACCATGGTGTTCACAGAAGCTACAAAATTTGTCATTGATGAATTCACCACCATTATCACTTCTAATGCATTTAACAAGACAGTCAAATTGATTTTGCATAAGAATCACAAAAGATTTAAACTTAGAGAAGGCTTCATCTTTGGAAGACAGAAAGTAAACCCAGGTGAATCTGGAGATATCATCAACAATTACTAGCACATATGATTTTCCTCCAAGACTTTGAACATTTGTTGGTCCAAATAAATCCATATGTAATAGATCAAAGGTAGCAGAGGTGGTAACATCCTGTTTACTTTTAAATGACTTCTTGCAATGTTTTCCTAGGATGCATGCTTCACAAGTGAAATTATCAAATGCCTTAATTTGAGGCAGCCCTCTAACCAGATTGAGATTAGAGAGTTTACTCAAGCGAGATAAACTCATATGCCCTAGTTTTCTATGCCAGATAACTGCTGGATCAGACATAGAGCTCAAACATATATCCTCTGATAAATCAAGAGTGGACAAATCCACAGTGTACACATTATTAATTTTCTTTCCTTTAAATATCACAGCATTGTCAGAAATTCGTTCAATGATGCACCAGAAAGGATCAAATGTGACACGATAAGTGGACCCACATATTTGACTAATGGAGAGCAGATTATGCTTTAAACCTTCTACATAAAGTACATCTTCAATAATAAGGGAAGAATTGCTGCTAATAGTGCCTTTTCCAACTACTAAGCACAGTTATTATTGTCATAGAAGACTTTACCTCCTCTTTTTGGATTAAGAAAAGAAAAAAGAGCTTTGTTACCCGTCATATGATGAGAGAATCCAGAATCTAAGTACCAGATGTTAGCACCTTTATTATTCTGAAAAGGAAAGGGAGTTTAATTAGAAGTTTTAACAACCCAAACAAGTTTGGGTTTATGTTTTCTGGAACAGCAATGATCATAGTTATGTCTAGATTTCTTACAGAGTGAGCAGAATCGAGGGTGGATCCAGGGTTGAAATATTTTTTTATGTTCATAGTTATTGGTGTGGGAATCATGCCAAGTAGTAGAATAGGCCAGAGATGGCACCCAGGTCTGTTTGTTTATTATTCTGTTGCAGTTGCCAATCTGCTTCTTTAGAATTTTGTTTTCAGCAATAAGATTGGCAACTTGAGAGTCCTGAGTAATTTGAGCAGCATGTTGTATGTCTATATGTTCTTTTAGTTTTCGAATTTCAATGTCTTTGTCATGTAATTTTGTTACAGTAAGATAGCACTTACTTCTTAATCTATTACATTCATCCTGTAGATTAGAAAGAGCATGAAGAAAGAAGTCTTCATTATGAGTTTCAGAGACTGAATCAGAAAATCAGTCAGACCATACCTGGTCATTAGCATTGACATCTTCGTTGTTGGAGTTCAACCCCATGAAAGCAATATTATCAGACTCTTCTTCCGAGCTGTAGTCACTCCAGGTAGCTGCCATAGCCTTTTCTTTTCTTTTGTTTAGAGGACAGTTGACTCTTATATGACCTGTTTTAACACATTTAAAACAGATGGTGGAGTCAGATTTGTTTTCAGTTGAACTTTTGACATCTTTAGAGCTAGTATCAGGTATGTTAGTTGCAAATGAGTTTTTGTCATTTGAACTTCCAGAGTGATGTCCAAAGGTTCTAGGGGAATGATTGTGCATGTTTCCAGAAGGTCTTAAGGAATATCCATTGCTCTGACTTCCCCTTTTAGCATTTTGGTCATGTTTAAATTTCATCATTCTTTGGAGCTTCTTGCTGGTGAGAGCAAGTTCATTTTCGAACTCCTCATCTAGCTTCTCCCCTTCATTAGCACACACAGAATTAAAGGCAATAGACTTGTTCTTTCTGTCATGAAGAGAGTTCATTTGTTTGAGAACTTCCTCATGACTAAGAAGGGATCCAATCAAGTTTTCTAGGGACAGGACGTTTAGATCCTTAGCTTCCTCAATGGCAGTTCTTTTGGCCATCCATTCAAGAGGAAGAGATCTAAGAACTTTTCTTACTAGTTCTTTGCTAGAGAAGGTCTTTCCTAGACCTTTGAGTCAATTTACTAAAGTAGAGAATCTTTTATCCATTTCAGAGATAGATTCTCCTGATAACATGTCAAAGTTTCATACTCTTTTAGTAGTAGATCAATTCTAGTTTCTTTTACTTCTAAAGTTCCTTCGTGAGTTGTTTCTAGAATTGTCCAAATTTCTTTGCAGTTTCGCATTTGTTAACTCTTTCACCTTCATTATCTGATATAGTAGACAGTAAAATATGCATAGCTCTAGAGTCTAGTTGAGCACTTTTCTTTTGTTCATTTGACCAATCCTCCTCATCGTCTTCTTTCATGTCAATTGGTCCATTACGGACAATTGCCCACAATTCACAGTTGATTCCTCGGAGGTATAGTCTCATTCTCTTCTTCCATACATAATAATTGGAAACAGAAAACCATGGAGGATTTGAACTAGTGGGGAATGAGTTAGAAGACATAGCAAGACAGAGGATCTCCTTCTCGGCAACACTAAGTTCCACGAAAAGGGGGCTCTGATACCAATTGTTAAACATCTATGTCTTACCCCATTACAGCTATTATTGATTGAGGATAAGTTTACTGGTAAAACAGAAGAACAATAGTCAATCAAGAGAAGGATCACAGTTTCACCAGTTTAAGAAACACTCTAAGTCAAACAAGACAAGCGAAGAAGAAGGACAACAAATAGTACGATATGCCCAGATTGTCTAGAGTTCCTGGCAACAGCCCCAACTCTAGCAATCTTAGACACTTTAAGCAAGAACCCAATCCGACTCTCCCAAAGAACTGACCCGTTCTTACTGAGCATTGGAAACCGTTACCATCTTCTTCCTCGAGAGGTCTTTAAGTAGGCTTTCGAAGGGCATCTTCGATCTCTCTCTTCTTCAATGAGGTTACCGTTGACAGAGGCTTTTGAGGGGCGGATTGGAGATGTCATCCATCGGGGGAGTTGGTTCTTCTCGATGTTCTGATTGTTAGGGATTAGGAATGAAGGAGAAGACGTCTTTGGTGATCTCGACGCTGACAGAGAAGCTGTTTGGGCTTCAAGTGGAGAGGCTTTGGTTTGATCCGTCGAGATGACTATAGGCCTGGGCCCAACACCCTATTGGTTCTTTAATAGCATATGATGGATTGAAATTCATGAAGTCGATATTTTTTTTCTGAAGTATAAGAGATTAGAACGTACATGTATTGGAACTCTCGAGCTGCAACTCTTTAAATGGTGAATTCTCTTGTTTGAAAATCAGTCTTTTACTTGATGCATGCCTCAAATAGTTGTTTCTTCATGATCTTAGTGCCCTACAATTGTTGCTGATATCTATTGAGAATTACTTTCCGGATTCCCAAGTAAGAGGTTTGGTTTTGGAAATTCACCATTGATGGCTCTGTTCAGTGCGTTGGCTTATTCAATGGCGGCTTTGCTTGCCTTGTTCCTGTTCCCATTTACAATACTGTTGCCCTTGACACTACAAATTCTGGAAGGCGGATGCTGATATGATATTATATAATGGATGGAGATATCTTTTTTTTTTCTGCAACTTAAAGAAAAGCTGCAACTATGTAAAATAATTGCTTTTGATGGCTGTTTTTTTTTTCTTCTTCTGGAAATTCAGTTTTTTTAACTTGACGCCTCACATAATTGTTGTCTTATGAATTTACTAAATAGTTTTTGGAAAAGAATAAAACGTGTTTTACTAGTGATGGTCAATAAATAATGGATTATACGAATATTTGTCAACCATGAAAACATGTTAGAATTTTTTATTTAAAATAAAATTCAACATTTAAATTTAACACTGAAAATATACGTCCATTTTACCTGTTAATTAATTTTTGTTTCGTAAAAGACAAGTCCACTATGGAGTTTATTGTCCAGTGTTTTAAGCATTCTTAAACACCTTCCCATCTTCCTCTTCTAAGCTCTGCTTTGGAACCCAAAAACAAGATTAACAACTAACAACCAAACATCTCTCTCGAAGAAAACAAACAAACAAACAAACCACGCAGCTCGTACTGTTGATTGACGCTTGCACCAATTAAGCTTCATGCTTAGAACATGATATTATTATTAATTAATGATAAACGTGGTTTGTTTGGTTGTGGAGTGGGTGATTAGCAACCACCCGCAACAAGGCAGGCAGGCAGGCAAACAAAGCAATCTGTCCAAACCAACTTCTTTAAGATTGGGTTACCCAACCAAACTGCTTTCTGTTAATCCTTATTTGGTCGCCATTAGGTTTGGCTGTTTCCCTGCTTTTCCTTTTGTCAGGAAATTGGGTAGGAAAAGAATATGATCGAAGGCGTGCGCTCTTTTTTTTAAGTGTTCCCCGAATTTGTTGGTAGGGATCGACCAAATCATTTTCAGGAATCCTTCCAACCAAAATTTGGAAGTAGCAATCTATACAGATTTATGTGCTTGTAAGTTTGAGAAGGATAACAAGAAGAAGAGATGGACGTTGAAAACAAGTCTGAAAACCATCACACTTTTATTGTGAAATTTTTACAGTTCCCTTCTGAATGATTGCTTCGTTTCACCAAAGTCAAATAATTAATTATTCAAAATTAATTAAACAGTCAATAAATCAACTCCAGAACGCCCAATGTGATATTTCCACTTCTTTTTTTACTAACTCTTAACACTTTCTCTATGGAAATTATAAAAGTACCAATTTGGGAGCAAAAGATCCGTGATTCATACTATACTTTCGTCATTGTGGATGATACCACGTAGAAAGGTTATAATCACATGCCACAATGACTAACCCTACCATCATTACGATTTGAGTTTACCTTAGTCATGACGAGTTTTTTTTTTTATGAATTTAATTTAATTTTTCTCATTTAATATATTTTGATTGTTTTCAGTAAGTTCTTACAGTTCAGATAAAATCTGACACTGCATATCCTGTTCCTAGTCACCAAATATGGGAAGGCAAGGCAGGCCCCCATGCATGCTCCCTGTTTTGCATTGCAGCTGTTCTTTCTGTCTCACTCGCAGCATGAAAGCCAAAAAGTAACAACAGGTACGATTTGCAGCAAAATCTTTGACATTTCTTCACACCCTGTTCCTTAACGTGTTGAATAATGGTGTCATTCATACTAGGCTAGCTAGCTTCCACAGAAACAGAGTCAACTACTACTGCAAGGTAAAGCAAGGCATGATCCAATTATTGGAAAATAGTTCAGACATATTGGGGAAAGAAGGTTGAAAGGGTACACAAAAAGCAACTGTTAGAAGAACAAAATCTGGAAGGAAAAGAAAAAAAAACAACTCTATAAAATGATGGAGAACCTACAAAAAGAGAAAAAAGAAAGTTATTCTTCTTCCATTCTATAATCCTGTATCTAAAGCCGGCTCAAACAGATAAATATTCTATCTCTGTTGACAATGACAACAACAACTAGCTGCTCACCTTACAACTCTGGTAACAATGAGCCCTATAGCTGCAGCAGCAACTCCAGCATCATAACGAGTTAACAACAAAAACTAAAAATTCATTTTTTCTTACATTCAGTTTCTCAATGAGCTATATATCTGGGTCTGTAGACTGAGAATCAACCCCCCGTCTTACCCTTTAAATTTGTTTCCTTGTATCAGCATGCAAGCGATAATCCTTCTTGCAAAATCTATTTACACTGATCTTCTCCGCGCTTGGCCATTAAAGCTACCCTAGCTATGAGATGTTTGAGCCGGTCCGCGCCTGGACCTGGCTGGACTTTGTTCAAGTCCCCAACTTCAGTACAGTCGGGGCTATTGGAACACCACCCTCCAGGAGTAAACGCCCCAACCTTCCTGCCAAGTAAATCGTTGTCAATCTTATCTAGGGCAGGGTCATTGTGCTGAAACTTCCTGGCAAAGGCAGCACCACTCGCAATCATGTTTTCGGTGTCGTTGAGGGTAAGTATATGTGGATGCTGCTTTGGAGGCGTATCCCAAGCAATGTAGTGCAGGTCGTGATTGATAGCCGTTCGAGCATACTCCGGAGCATTGCATATTACCGTGTGGAAGTAGCCTTCAGGAGAGGACACAAAGTTTGCATAATACATGAGCAACGTTCTCGGTAGATTATCCCAACCCCAGATTAAGTACTCGACAAAAGAACGTGTGAGAACCATCCATGCAGAACCTGTGAAACAAAAGATGACGATATCGTTTGATCGTCAGCAGAAGGTGAAGTGCCATGTCTGATAGTTCAGACATACCGAGTTACAACTACAGCAGCAAGGAGCTTTTGAACACAGATAGATGGTGAAAATGGATTGTTGTCGCTGGCTTTCCATGAAAACAACTTGATCAACCAATAGATACATTCTCAACAGAAGCACAGCCAAACACCTAAACCATTAGATTAAGGTAACTAATAGACGCTATTTGCAGCGAGACATAAAGATTCTATTCAGTGATGAACAACTAGTGATCTTCAAACTATCACCTAGAAGTTGCTGATTGATTATAGCGATTGAATTGTCCAGCTTGGAGTTCTACCTTCCTAAGGTAAACTAGACTGTGAGATGAAATTTTGTAGGATCTCACAAATAGAGCTCACTGTAAAATGCTAAGAGAAAAAGGTAGGGAAACCCATTGCAATTAGAGAAAGTGAGTAAACAATTAAAAGCTGAGTGAAATACTAATTCATGAGTGGAAAGACAAACATTTCAACTGGTTCCAGCATAGCGGTAAGTATGCAGCACCGAGAGAGCACTAGAACAGATACATTACATATACTAACCAGTAAACAACTTGAATGCTGTTGGCAGAGGTCGCTTGGGATTAGCCCCGAAAATGTCTTCCTTGGTGGTGGAGTAGAGTCCAGGATCCACGATTAATGGCATTGCTCTCTTTTCCCTGGGTAACAGAATAGGGTAACCTATTACTTACTGCTAACAAGTCCCAAACTTCTACCTCCATTGTGGAGGCTGATTTTTAAAATTCCTGGGAGAGAAGTGGAGAAACAGGGAAGAGAACTTACTCTTTCCAACCCAACTGACTAGTATGCTCGATGAAGTTAAGATTTCGGTTCAAAGTTGAGAACGTGTCCAAAAGATCTGCACCACATAAGCAGATGAGTAAACACTCGTACAGAGTACGAGCTTCCTGTCAAGAAGATGAAGGACCTGATTTAAATTCACTATCAAGACATAAACTGACCATCTTGAGTTACAAGAGGATAATCAGAAGCACTGAGGTTGATGAACCAATCCCACTCTTTACTCCTCTTCAGAAGAATTGCACAAGCATGAAGTGTATTTGAGACCATGGTGGGTCCTCTATAGGTCACCATATTCGCTTTGGAGTTCATGTAGACATTCCCATACTTGGCGAAAATCGGATGCTTCTCCACTCTTGCAGCAAGCTCTAACCTTTCTTCTGCCGGGGATTCAAGATCCAAGTGCACGACGTAGTGGTTTCTAGGATGGTAAAGGGCATGAAGCGTTCTCCAAAGCTTATCCAGATCGCCTTTGGATCCAGACACCAAGTAAGCAAACCTAGGAATTTTAGGACCAGGGGGAGGTGGAGGAGGAGATTGTGAAACCTTTGTTTCAGCAAAACCTTGGCCTGCTGTTTGGTTTACACGAGACGGAAAAATGTTGAAGATGTGATTGATGGTGTGGAGTGAAGAGATAAGACCCATGTTGAATGAAGTTGCTAAGAGGAAGACACAGATGAGAGAGCTTATGACTAGAGGGAAAACCCACTTCTTCTCCATGTTCAGAGACCCCATTGCAGGACCTTATCATGGATTCCAATGAAGGATCCTCTCACGTCCAATTTCAAGTCAGCACTTAAGGAACTTTTCTCCTCGGATTGAATAGCAACTGTCTGCCTAGGACGCCACGGTTGCGACTTAGTTTGAACAGAAGAAACAGGCTGCTCAATAAAGAAAAACAAGAACAATTTACAGCCCATTATTATCATCACCTTGCCCTGGTGGTATACATGGAAATCGCAGACCAATGAACTCGATCAAAAATGACAATATGGAGAATCAAACAGATACCACATATTGAGATATACACAATAAAAACAAATAAGATTCAGCTATCATTCAGAGGAAGTTAACAAAATTTAAATTACGAAATCCAAACCTCTTAATACAAGAAGAGAGTTAAAACAGGTATTTAGTATTGATATGAAACGAATAATTGTTTTAGCTCAACAATGGTACAAACCACAAAATCATCCCAGCTAAAGATCCTAGCTTTTGAAACACGAAAAAGGGAAAAGGATCCCTTTGCCCTTCCTATACACAAGAATCATCACACACATCTCCACAACCCAATTAGCTAAATCCCAGAAACGGAATGCAGAGAGAGATCACGAGATTGAGAAAGAAACAGAGAACCCAAATACGGAAACTCAAGATTCAAAATCATTTGGATCAATGGAGGAGAAACTAAAGAGAAGGACCCAGTAGTAGAAAGAAATCCACGGAATGGTGAACACCCATTGAATTAGAAATCACAAACAACCCATTATACACGGTGTATCCCGGAAAAGGAAAGAAATCTAAAGGGCGCAAAAGATTGACAAAAAAATCAAAAGAAAAGCAGAACCCATGTAGGGAGGGACCTTCCCAATCAATCATCAGCCATGTTAAGTACCTTTTCTCCAATGCAGATTGCAGGGTGAAGTTGAATCCAGCTCCCCTTTCTCCTGGTCCTGGGAGACTCTAAGAATGGGGCGGAGGAAAGAAAAAGGGAGAAAGTTGGAGAGAACTAGATGGAAATATGGAGAGCGATAGAAAGAGCGTCGTTATTGCTAGTCATTAAAATAATTGCTAAAAACAAGACTCAGATATGAGAAGCACGATGAGAGACAAGAGAATGGTTTCAATGCGAACAAGGGGAAAGCTTTCAGAAGAAACAAATTTATTTTTTTGAAGGAGACTCGTGTTTCTCTCTCCCTCCCTCCCTCTCTCTATCTCTCGCTCTCTTCCCTGCTGTGGGGATGAATGAGTTTCTATTATTGTGACCGAATATAATAAAATTAGCTCTGCGGATTTTTAGGTTTTCTTGTTCCCCACAGAATTCCCTCCTGTTAACTCCAGGAAAACTACACATACCTCAATATCCATGCGCAGATGTTGGATGAGTTGAGTCGGATTATAGTTAGAGGCACGACAACTGTGTATTTCGATATATGATGATACTAATAACCTGTGTAGAAGAACCTGAGTTTTGCTCATTTTGGGTAGGAAATAAGAGTTGTGCAAGTAGTTAGTTTTAATGCTTTTTCGAGAAAAATACACTAAAAACACGCTTTGATATACTTTAGTTTGAAGAATAATTTCATATTCCGCATGGCCAACTCGTTAGCGACTGCAATAAGATGCATTCATGGCCCATGGAGGAGATCCAGGACTATTTTACATGTATCGTACATATTACAAGGAGCCATGACATTTTGTGCAACAAACAACTCTTGAGAATAGCGAACTAAAACGTATATCTACCAGTACAGTGGTACAACGTATCAGTGCAGTGGTATATCTACCAGTACAATGCAGTGGTATATTTTTTGGAGGTGGTCGGAGGGAGTCTGCCGATGAGATTTACACCGGAGAAGTGTGGCGGTCGGAGGAAGTCTGGTGGTCGGAGACTGCTGAAAAAGGAAAAATCAAATATAGTGAGAGAATTCCTAATGTATATTTAATAGTGAGAGAATTCCTAATTAATATGGTACATTTAATTCCTAATGTGTATTTAATGTGTGTATTAAATTCTATAGTTGTATTTAATATACTAGGGATGTCATTTTTCCAACCCCTAAGGGGGGTTAGCATGCTAACCGACCCCAAACTTGTGGTAATAATACTACTAGGTTTGATTGATCCTAGTACTATCTCAGCATTTAACTCGAGTAACTATTGACATGAATTAGATGGCAAAGGACTGACCAGTGACCATATATGTTAGGCTCACCGTCCGCCAGACTGTGACAATTGAATTTTGAGAAATTCCGCCATTATTGTTGCATTGCATGCAAGGTCAGGTAGGTCATCAAAGTTCTGCTATGAATGACAACGTTTTTGGCCACCTTAGCATTCATGACTCATGACCACGACGTGCTCGATCTTCCAAGGAATACCCTACACTCTATAATATGCATTTGTGCCAAATCAGTCCTTATCGCTCCCTACATAGAAGGGGCCCCCTTTGTTTTTTGCCCCTCTCGGATGGCAACAAAACCAAAACCAAAAACAATCATTTCCATCAAACAATGCTAGAACACGAAAGGATGAAATGGAATAAAAGAGAGAGATCATGAAAAAGTAGGGCCAAAGAGTAGAAGTTGCAGTCACGGGTGGTGACCAAATGCAGGCAATCAGATCCATGAACTCTTAAACAGCTGACTGCTCAATCAATAGTATAAAACAGCGTACAGATTACAGACCAGCTCCCTTACATAAATCAATCACAACAACTCCACTTAGCACTACATGTGTAATAGAACAGTGTGCTGAAAAAAGATAAAAGATGCCTAGTTCCCTCCATTCTGTATCTCGCTAACTCCGGTTGATCTACCAGGATCAAAAAACTTACAGCCTAAGGTAAATAAACTAAACTACCCTAGCACAAAAGTGCAATGCGAAGGTGGCAGGAACGAAATGTATCCAACTTCGCTTTAATACGGACAGGGAGAGGGAAGGACCGTAAGGAAAGCATGGAACATGTACCTCAGCTATCTGCATTTACAGCTCCATTCGGATTTGTAAAACTAAACAAAGTATGATGTTTCTTAATTCCATCTCGATATACTAGTACCAAGCTAGGACAAGTTGTGCTCACGCATCAGAGCTTCAATCTTCTCAACGTCTTCAGGGGCATCAACACCATGAGCTTCGTGATCAACCTTTATAACCTGGAAAAAAATCAGTAAGTTTGCTGCTTAATACACACAGAATAATGTTTAACAACTTCTTCTGGTAATTTTTCATTGCATCCATTTTGGTTTTAGTTCAACTTCATATCTAATTCCATTAAAAACAAATCCACATCTAAGGAAATTCTACATCAATGTGGCCTCAATAAAGTGTTGATCACTACAGGCAGCCTTCATTAAGTCAGGGGTAATAAAAATAATTGTTCTGCTTGATGCACTGCATTCAAGGCAGTTTTGGGGATGCTCATTTTGTTTCTGTCATCCAAATCCTTACTTATAGCCAGCCATTTGATAAGAAATTTAGTTCAATGTGAAGATTAAATGTGGGGTGGCAAGACATTCAAAATACCGTGACTCAGTCAAGGCAAATCATAAGGCCAAAGGAAACCACTCACCTTCATTTTGTAACCATTCTCAAGAACTTTAAGCTGTTCAAGATCTTCTTCTAGCTGCAGAGGAGTAGGTGGAAGTTCTGGGTACAGCTTCAGAAACTTTGTATCATAACTCTGGAAACATCATATGACATCATTGTGAAGAGTTAGAACACAGAATTTGGCTAGTGCGGTACAGAATAACAGAACTTTGATCTTTCACAAGAATGAAGAAATTCTTTCTTTTTCCCCCTATTACAAGCGTCATGATGAAGAAAAGGGCATAAGGAAAACTCATCTCCATACCTGAATACCAAGGTGTAGCAAATATGGATACCGCGGATTGACTGCTCCTGATCTGCATTAAGTAGATCCAAACATCATCAAGATGGTCCAGCCTAATGATTCTAAAACTAGATACAGAACTGAAAGGAAATCGAGATATGGATAGTTTATAGGCTCACTTATTATAAGGAATCAGCCCTCTGGAAAAATAGATGGCATAACCTTTGTTATCCACCACACATTTTACACGGTTCGGATCAAATGCATCTTCAGGTTTCAAAGCTGTTACAGCGGTGCTAAACACTGCATCTGGAGCTGCCTAGATACATGAAATGCACACTTCAATTCTCAATTAAGCATTCAATGAAATCTTGTCCATAAAGATTAGCCTATTGCATTAGCCTGAGAGACCACAAGAGAAGCTACAAAAAAGCAATTCCAATATTTTGGCTCAGAAATGTGGCAGTCCAAGATTGACAAAGAAAGTAAGAGAAATTGCTGACAACTCACCTGCAAAGCTTTGACAATTCCATCAATTATCTCGGGTTCAATCAAAGGCTCGTCTCCCTGAATATTGACAACAACGTCATATTTTTGCTGTAGCTTTTGCAGAGCTTCATTGCAACGTTCAGTACCTGTTTACACGCCATGAAACAGTAAACCAAGATGCAACAGCAGAAGCTAGCAGACGAAGAAAAGTTATCACAAAACGAACACCAAAGTAACCCACCATTGCGACAGGATTCTGAAGTCATTATAACATCAGCACCAAACCCTCGGCAGCATTCTGCTATCTTCTCATCATCCGTTGCCACAACTGCACTAGCAAAGGGCTCTAGAAATTAGAAATCCCAAAGCATGAGCCACAACTACATGTTTATGAAAAATTCTACAGACCAAAGACCAACTAATTTCGTTTTCTATCATCGTACCTACATGATTCAGACAAGTTGAAAGTTTAGCCCTCTCCCAAGTTCTCTGCAGATCGTCCAACCAAAATTGCCGAGTCAAAATAGTTTACACAAACCTCTCTCGCGCTTCGAATTCATCGTTCTAAAAGAAGCCCACGTAATATGACTGGATTCAGTAAAAGCAATCGAGTACGAAAGCCAGAGGATGCATTCAAGAACCAATGAATTAAATAGTACGACTGAATCCCCAGAGAAAACCCAAAAACGAAAAAGGGAACCTGGATCATGGGTTTCCCCAGGATTTGAACGAGTGGCTTGCCGGGGAAGCGTGAAGATGCGAAACGAGCGGGAATAATACCCACGACGCGGCTCCTAAACTTTCTGGATCCGCCGAGATAAGTTCGAGCGGCGAGACCGGCGACAATGACAGCACTGGCTACAATACCGTGCACGATCCATAACTTGGATGAGGAAGGCGAACCGGAGGACGGCGAAGAACGACATGGACGATCCATTTTCTCCTCTCGTGCTCTTCTTCAGATATTCTTTGCTCCGTGCGAGTCTTGACCAAGACTTTTCGAGTCACCACCCCTCTTACCCCTCTGCCACGTTGCACTCGATCTGGGCCCTAGATGCTGTCATCCCATTTGGGCCCACTTTTTGAATGGAAGGCTTCGTCCAACAGCCAGAAGTAGCTACGGCCCATATAAACCCTCGTAACGGGCCCAGCCCAGAGCCCCATCCGAAGTGTCCGGCGGGAAGTGCTGGAATCAAACCTCCATTGCTTGAGAGATTTCCAAAAAGGCTAAGGCGGTCTGGTTGAAACTCATCCCTGCTCAGCAATATTCTCATTTCTTCAGCCTCAGTTACGAAAATTGGCTACAGGAGAACATCTCTAATGAAGAATAAGGTGACTGGACGGGTGATTGGACGAGCTATTTCATCCTCATAACCTGATATCTCTGGAAATGCATAAATGATAAGTGTTTTCAAAAGAAAGAAGTTGTCTCCCTTATCACTCCACAATTATGTCACTGCAAAGGCTAGAGAATGGAGCAAAGCCTGGAGTGAGGGATAGTTAGAAGCAAATGCTCATGTCCAACATACAAGAACTAAAGCGTTGGTTTCCTGAAATGCTCTAGGCTCCAGCCACATAGTGGTGGAAAATGAATACCGACGAGGCTGCTCAAGGCAGTTGGAGAATCGCCTCCGCTGACGGAGTGCTTCATGATTCTCAGGGTATGTGTCTGGCGGTTTTTACAGCAAGATGGAAAATGGTACCGCCATTACGACTGAACTCTGGGAGATTCTTCATGGACTTCAATTGTCTTGGAGGAAAGGAATCAGATTCCTCATCCTCGAGTCGGATTCCCCGCTCGCTTTGGATTTGATCAAGAACAGGACGGATGCAGCTCACCCACATGCCACCATTCTTGGTTCGATACGTCATCTTTTGGCTCGAGGCTGGGTGGTTCAGCTGGCTCATACGTACCAAGAAGGGAATAGAGTCGCGAATTGGCTCTCGAAACACAGTCTCGTCTATCCCCTTCGATATGTATGAGTTAGATGAACCTCGAGAGGACTTAAAGAAAATTCTACAGGAGGACCTTTTGGGAGTGATCTTCCCTCGACAGGTGCTGCAAAGGATCAGTAGTGATAGTTGATTTATTTGGTTTGAGCTTTGCTAGTTGTTTCTCTTTATCGCCCTTGTGTGCTTTTGGGATTTCTCTAATTCTGGTGGCCTTGTAGCCCCTCTCTAATGCTAGCGTCTGCCTCCCCTTTAAATAAATAAAAAAAATTAAGACATTAAATACTTTGTTGGGGTTAAAACGTTTGATTAAGGCATTAATTTGTTCTATTCTCATACAGTGTCTATCAAAGACTATATCACAAAACTTTGCAATAAATGAAGTTTGACTGCCTGTTTGAGTGGTAAACTAGCTTATCACCACAGTAAACAAAAAAAAAGTCAAAATTTGTATAAGATTGAATGTGACAGAACTGTGCAATAAGGTAGTTGCCGGGCCGGGGGGGGGGGGGGGGGGGGGGGGAATTTTCTTGTTGGACTATCCTCACTTGCAGAGACGAAATTGGAATGTTCATTGTCGACTTCGTCTTGTTCGTTGTCAAAGAAGGTGCTGATGAGGGGTACACAACAACACAGTAGCAGAAACAACAGAAAGGGAAATGAGTAGTAAACAACATTCTATGCCAGAAGAGAGACGCAAAACACATTCACATTAGAAGCTCGGTTGATGGACCTAAATTTGGAATCGAATATCCAAACATTCCTCATCACAAACATGGTTGCAAAGAACAGCTCAAGTGAAGTCTTGTAGTTGTTTATCAAGTGGGTGCATCTGTAAACAGTGCTACTGTGTCATAGAAAATGAAGGGGGGGGGGGGGGATTTCTGCCAGGAATTAAAACAAAAGTAACTAAGGGAAAACGAAGACTTAAGAAAGGGTTTTGAAAAAGGAATTTAATTTCACCTGGATTCTTCGTTGATTCTCTGCTGCTCAAGATCGGGAAGTGAGAAGTCTTCCTCTCCATGAGAGCCGTAGAGTTGTCTGAATTGGTTGTAGAGCAACTGCAGGTTGAGCGCGCATCCAATATCATAACCAACGATCCAAATTCTCATTGGCCAGACGGGCTTCTTTGTTTTTGCAATAGGCGAAGTGAAACCACTCACGGCGAGCTGAATGGTAAACTAGCTTTAACCAATAATTTGCATTGATGTGGAAAATTGCCCCAAAAATTATTATAATGATTTGTATACCTAGATTTCTTCTCATAAGCAAAAACAAGCAAACAACAGAGTAGTTACAAATGGCTACTATTGAGCTCCTTTATGTATACACACAAGCCAACCTTTTAGCTAACCAACTCTCTCATTTTTTTAACCAATCTTCACTCCTCTCTTCACCAAAATGGCATACAAAACTTAATATCAACAGACGAATTAAGATACATAAAAGAAAGAAAGGAAAAAAAATTTACAAGATTCAATGCAAGAGAACTCATATCATAATGAAGATTGAAGAACATGGAAGGAAGAATGAAGCAAAATGAGGGAAGCTTCAATGATCTATCATCTCCTTGGTTTTTGTTTGCAGAGAGGGCAGAATGATATGATCCTCAACCACTTATCCACACATTTCAAATGAAACCTTTGTGGACATGACAACTGTCTTACTTCCTCCTTATCTTTGTATTTGGCTAGGCAAATGCAGCATTCCTAATTATCACTACAGTAAGTAAAAAGAAAGTCAAGATTTGTATAAGATTAAATGTGACAGAGCTGCCTTACTTCCTCATTTGCAGGGGCTGAATTGGAATGTTCATTGTCGACTCCGTCTTGTTCATTGACATTTACAACTTTGTAATTCCAAGTTGGGAGGCAGGAAATTGGTTGTCGTAGGCACCTCTGTTTGAAGAGCCCATATTCATGTTGTAGCCAAGAAAGGAGGTGATGAGGGGTACACAGTAGCAGAAAGCCAGAAACAACATAAAGGAACTGAGTAGCAGACTGATTCCATGCCAGGAGAGAGACGCAGAGCACATTGAGATTCAAAGCTCGATTGATGGACCCGAATCTAGAATCAAATATCCAGTTGTTCCCCATCAAAAACTAGATTGCAAAAAATAACTCAAGTGAAGTCCGACATTTGTTAATCAAATGGGTGCATCTGGAAACAGTGTTATTGTTTCATACAAAAAGGGGCAGGTTCTTGCCAGGAATCAGAAAAAAGAAACTACGGGAAAATGAAAACTTGAGAAAAGGTTTTGAATAACGAATTTAATTTCACCTCGATTCATCGCTATTTCTCTGCTGCTCAAGATTGGTAAGCGGGAAGCCTTCCTCTCCATAAGAGTCGTAGAGTCATCTGAATCGGCCGTAGAGCAGCAGCAGCAAGCTGTGTGTGCAGCCAATATCATAACCAACAATCCAAATTCTCATTGACCAGACAAGACAGGCTTCTCTGTTTTTGCAACTACCAAAGTGAGTTGAATCGTAAACTAACTGCCACCCAATGATTTGAATTATTGTGGGAAATTGCCCCAAAATTTTATCATCATCATTTGTATACCTAGATTTCTTCTCATTAGAAAATACCAGCAAACAAGCGGAGTAGTTACAAATGGCTACTGTTGAGCTCCTTTCTGTATACACGCAATCCAAGCTTTTAGCTGGCCAACTCTCACTCTCGTAACCAAGCTCTCATCTTCAACTAAAAGGCATACAAAACTTATATCAACAATTGAATTAAGAGACATAAAAGAACGAAAGGAAAAATATTTATACGATTAAATACAAGAGAACTCATATAATAATGAAGATTGAAGAACATAAAAGGAAGGAAGCATGAACTGAGGGAATCTTCAATTATCATCTCCTCAGTTCTTGTTTGCAGAGAGACAAACATGATATGATCCTCAACCACTGATCCACACATTTCAAATAAAACATATGTAGACATGACAGCTGACTTACTTCCTCTTTGTATTTGGCTATGCAACATTCCAAATTATCACCACAGTAATAAAGAAAAAGTCAAAATTTGTACAAGATTGAATGTAACAAAACTGTGCAATAAGGTAATCACCCGGCAGGGGGGGATATTTCTTGTTGGACTAACCTCGCTTGCATGGATTGAATTGGAATTTTCATTGTCGACTTCATCTTGTTCGTTGGCATCAAGAACTTTGTAATTCCATCTTGGGAGGCAGGAAATTTGGTCATAGTAGACACCTCTATTTGTAGAGTCTATGTTCATGTTGTAGCTAATGAATGTGTTGATGAGGGGGTACACAACAACACAGTAGCAGAAACAGCAAAAAGTGGAATGAGTAGTAGATTGCATTCCATGCAAGGAGAGAGACGCAAATCACATTCAGATGAGGAGCTCGATTGATATACATGCATTTGGAATCTAATATCCTGACATTCTTCATCACAAACCAGGTTGCAAAGAACAGATTAATTGAAGTATGACATTTGTTCATCAAGTGGGTGCATCTGTAAACATTGCCTACTGTTTCATATAATATGGAGGATTTCTGCCAGGAATAAAAAAACAGAATTACATGAAATAGAAGACTTAAGAAAGAGTTTTGAAAAAAGGAATTTAATTTCACCTGGATTCTTCGCTAATTCTCTGCTGCGCAAGATCGGGAAGTGGGAAGCCTTCCTCTCCATGACAATCGTAGGGTTGTCTAAATCGGTCGTAGAGCAGCAACAGGTTGAGCATGTAGCCAATATCATAACCAACAATCCAAGTTCTCATGGAACAGACAAGGTTCTCTATTTTTGCAACAACCGAAGTGAAAACACTCAAGCCGAGCGGAATGGTAAATTAGCTGTCACCTAATGATTTGTATTGTAGTGGGAAATTGCCCCAAAATTTATCATCATGATTTGTATACCTAGATTTCTTCTCGTTAGAAAAAACTAGCAAACAAGCAGAGTAGTTAAAAATGGATACTGGTGAGCTCATTTTTGTATACAAACAAGCCAAGCATTTAGGTAGCCAACTCTCTCACTCTCGTCACCAATCCTCACTCCTCTCTTCACCAAAAAGGCATACAAAATTTAATATCAATAGCCGAATTAAGAGAAATAAAAGAAAAATAAATTCATAAGATAAAATACTAGAGAACTCATATCATAATGAAGATTGAAGAACATGGAAGGATCAAAACGTGAACTGAGTGAAGCTTCAATGATCTATCATCTCCTCGGTTCTTGTTTGCATAGAGGGCACCATGATATGATCGTTAACCACTGATCCACACATTTCAAATGAAACATATGTAGACTTGGCAACTGCCTTACTTCCTCCTTGTCTTTGTATTTGGATAGGCAAATGCATCATTCCTACTTATCACCACAATAAACAAAATTTGTAAAGATTGAATGTGACAGAGTTGTGCTATAAGGTAATTTGCACAGACTGAATTGGAATATTGATTGTCGACTTCGTCTTGTTCGTTGGAATCGACAACTTTGTAATTTCAACTTGGTAGGCTGGAAATTTGGTCATCATAAGCATCTCTATCTGCAGAGCCCATGTTTTTGTTGTAGCCAAGAAAGGTGCTGATGAGGGGTACACAACAACACAGTAGCAGAGACAACAGAAAGGGGAATGAGTATCAGACTGCATTCCACGCCAGGAGAGAGACGCAAAGCACATTCGGATTTGGAGTTCAGTTGATGGACTCGAATTTGGAATCGAATATCCAGTTGTTCCTCATCACAAATCAGATTTTAAAGAATAGCTCAAGTGAAGTCCGACATTTGTTCATCAAGTGGGTGCATATGTAAATAGTGCTACATTTTCATAGAGAATGGGGGAGTTTTTTGCCAGGAATCCGAAAAAGGAACTACGAAAATGAAGACTTGAGAAAGGGTTTTGAAAAAAAAATTAATTTCACTTGGGTTCGTCGCCGATTCTCTGCTGCTCAAGATCGGGAAGTGGGAAGTCTTTCTCTCCATGAGAGCTGTAGAGTTGTCTGAATCGTTCGTAGAGCAGGAGCAGACTGAGTGGGCAACCAATATCATGACCAACAATCCAAATTCTCCAGGCCAGACAAGCTTCTCTTTTTTTCCAATAGCCAAAGTGAAACTACTCACGGTGAGCTGAAAGTTAAACTAGCTTTCGCCCAATGATCTGTATTGTTGTGAAAAATAACCCCAAAATTTATCATCATGATTTGTATATTGAGATTTCTTTTCATCAGAAAAACAAGCAATATCTTCAACCACTGATCCACACATTTCAAATGAAACATATGTAGATATGGCAATTGCTTTACTTCCTCATTGTCTCTTTATTTGGCTAGACAAATGCAGCATTCCTAATCATAACCAAAGTAAAGAAAAAGAAAGTCAAAATTTGTACAAGATTGAATGTGACAGAACTGTGCAATCTAGGGAGGAGGGATTTCTTGTTGGACTAACCTCAATTGGAAGGACTAAATTGGAATGTTCATCGTTGTCTTCGTTTTGTTCGTCGGCATTGACAGCTTTGTAATTCCAACTTGGGAGGGTGGAGATTTGGTCATCAGAGGCAATTTTGTCCATAGAGCCCATGTTTATGTTGTAGTCAAGGAAGGTGCTGATAAGGGGTACACAACAACATAGTAGCAGCAACATCAGAAAGGGGAATGAGTTGCAGACTGCATTCCATGCCAGGAGAGAGACAGAAAGCACATTAAGCTTCAAAGCTCGATCAATGGACCCGAATTTGGAACCGAATATCCAGACGTTCCCCGCACTACAACAAATTTGGCCTATTACGACAAAAATATTATTGTCATTTGTGTTTTGTCACAATAGGTTATATAATATGACAAAAATGGTTTATGTCCTATTTGGTATGCATATTTTGACAAAAAAATAATTTTTGACAGAATATTTTTTCAGTTAAGGTGATTAATGTGTCAAAGATTGTGTGTCAAAATATAAAAGAGCCCAAATAAATCACTAGCAAAAATACAAAGCGCTCATTCCACCAATCGGGTCGGTTGCTCATCGTCGGGTGTTCCGTCAAATCCGTTTTACCAATCAGCCAGACCGCCACTCACCGTCGCAGTTCGCAGTTCCTCAATCTCAGCAAGCTCAATTTGCGTAGCAAAATCGTTGTATCAAATCGTTCCCATAACAGAATCTATCTCGCACCCTCGTTTCCCGTAACAAATTCGATGTTCTGGCAGAACCAGGTAAGCGTCGTCCCTCCCTCCTCTGCCAACTGTGTGATGCTTTGTTTGCTTGAGCTTAAGACTATTGTTCGCCTAGTAATTCCCTTTATATGGCTAGATTGTAATTTTGTTGGTTTACGTATCCGAACTAGCTTTAATCCCTCAACCATCGTGTTGTGCTAAGGTGCATAGAGAAAAGCCCCCCAAGCACTAGGCAAAGGTAATATTAGTGGAACTTCAATTTTGCATTTTAATGAATTGGTTTAAGTGAAGGTTCCTAATGTTGTGTCATTTACCCTCTGCAAATCTTTTTCTAGTTCATCTCACGTTGTGCTTTCATCTTGACCAACTGCCTATAAAGGGAAGGTCAGTTTCTTTACGCACATATTGAATGAGTAGAAATTGGATTGAGTTTAAGGATAGGTTTCATGATAAATATCGAAAATGGGGTTTCTGAGTTCATAGGGGCTACCAGCAAACATGTTGTTATGCTAGGTAGAACTAGATAGTAGATGCCCTTGTAAAAGATGCAATAATCAAAACTTCAATAAATTGGAAATTGTCGTAGATGATATAACCAGGAATGACATGGTGGAGACATATACTACATGTATCCATCATGGCGAGTCTTTTGACTTTTGCGAGTACTAGTAATCAGCCTAGTCAACCTACCATTGCGCCTGAGGCTGAGGGTTTAGAGGGTGACATGGTTGATATGTTAGGGAGTCTGCTGCGTGCTACTTCTGGAAATGCTTCTGTCACTGAGGGGTCTACAACACCTAATTATTCTAATCTAACATACCATAATGACAAATTGGCTCGACTAATCCGTGATGCCAATTTGCCATTATACCCTGACCGTGGAAACTTTTCCAGATTATCATTCGTTCTGAAGTTGCTGAATAATAAACTCGTAACCAACAATACTGACACTAGTAATTAAAACTAAATTGTAAAAAAGGATTATTGCCATCGTGTAATTTTACCATCAAATTTATGAACCTATTTGTAAAAAAAATTAGGTACTAATTGTAAAAAAAAAATTGGTACAAAATGTAAATTTTTACAAATTAGTATGTTGATTAGGCCGAACCACTGACTCGCCCCGTCTCAACTCTAGAGTGTCAGACAGGGTCAAAAAGGAAACAGGGACGGTGTGCGGTGGTTCAGTTTTAATAGAGCAGTGGGTTTTGCTATTTTGTCTTTATGAATTGGAGGCTGATGTTACATTTTACTTTCAAATAAACACCATATACAATATTTGTTGACCAGAAGCATTAAAGAACAAATCTGTCAGTGGATACGAATGAACATGGACTTGCAACAACAAAACAAAAGCCCATCAATGTCGTAGCTTAGCGCGGCTTCAAGCTCCTGGTTGTTATATTAAAGTCATGTGATGGTCAGAAGGGGCTATTAAAGTCATATGGTGGTCAAATGGGCTATTCGTTCGTGATATTTGTGCAATATAAGAATATTTAGCGGAAAGATTTGTAGAGATATACGGAGACACTAGTAATTGATACACAATCGTACTGATGATAAAATGACATAATCATCAGCTAATAACATCACTAGATAACCAACAAAATCTTATGTTATCCCTAATTATTAATCAAACTAACATATCAAAAACATACTAATTAAAACAAAGACGGCTAAATTATTGTTCATGAAGGATATTAATTTAATCCCTCATATATAGGTGTGAAAAACTTGAGCTCCAATACGCCAAGCCTCTCGTGAACTTCCGTTTGGTACATACTCCCCTTGGAGTCGAGTCTGTTGCCTCCATCCGCCATCACGTCGAGCTTATAGTTCACGTCGTCTGCCACCTGAAATAGGCCCCTCCGAATGTTTACGAGTCTCAACCGATGTTTGAAATCGTTTTCCAAGTTGTGCATTCCTACTGCAAACTTGTCAATCTCCTTGACGCGATAAGTGTGTATGCTCTTTATCGGCTGCCACCCACCGTAGGGATTAGCACTGACGGAGGATAGTACGACTACGAAGGTAATTAGAGTCACGAGAAATGTAACGGGCTTCATCTTTTGTACGTAAGTGATTCCACGTGTGATTTTGTTAAGAAGAATTTGTTTGCTTGGTGTGTTTTGGATGTGAAGCGAGACTAATTGTGGTGTGTATTTATAGGATGTGGTGAACTAATTGATTTCTTTCACTTGTTTGTTTCTTGGTCCTACGGTAATGTTGTTCATTTTTAGGGACGTAACCCATTATTATAGATCTAATATCTTTTTGTATTTTTTATGCGTAACTTAGGCTATTGACTCTCCACTTTTACCAGTTGTTTGTGATATTCTCGATTATAACATTACATGCCATAAAGTTCTTGACTATTCTTATTTTCACCGTCTAGCTTAAAAAATGCTCATAATGGCAATGTTAAAGGCATGTAGGCGAGCTAGGGGAAGGAGAGTATCTGACTATGAAGAGCATAAAATGGGATAGCTAGGTATGAAAAGCAGGCTCGAATTTGGTTTTGGGTCGAAGTGGTCGGGGGAGTACTGGGTCGATTTAGATGTTCGCAAGGTTTACCTTAAGTTAAATACTTGGCATGTGTTGGTGGTATGTTGAGTAGGCCCTTATACTAGTTCTTGTGACACATAAAAGGGAGGATAGATGAAGGATATCCATCATTTTTATTAGTTATTACACCATCCATATTATAAAAAGTAAGCATACAGGCCACCGTGCGTCTTTATTCCTATCTAGTCCGATCCCACTGTTCATATTCTGCATGTTGCTTTGCCCAAAATTTAACCTTGTTACATCATTCATGCTAGATTTTCTTTCTCCAACAAGTGTCCATGAACCATGTTTCAGGAAACCGTACCGGAAGTCATATCAGATTCGTCTATGTTAGGGTATTTTGTGGTATGACCGTGATTCAACCGTTATGTACCGATAAAATACTGTTTTTGCAATATTTTTTTTAAAAGATCTTACCGATAGTTTCACGATACCGTTTCGGAGTATACCATAATAAAACTGAAAAATACCGGATAACAAACTTGAACATGCTAAATAGGCATAAGCAGCATGGGCGGAGCTACTTGCAAGGTAGGGTGCCCCCCACCCCTCCTGATTAGTCCTGACCCCTAGGACCTTAATGATATTTAGATAAAATTTGAATAAGTAGGACTCGGCCAGAACATTAGTTCATACAATTATCATGTAGTCTACTTGTAGCTTATCTAATTTTTAGTCTGGAGCACCCAGGTTCAATTCACCAGTACCTCACATTTTGCTTTATTATGATTTTTAGACTATATTGAAAGATAGGTAGCAAAACATTTAGTTTAGATGCTATTTTGATTGATTTTTCAATGATTTCAAAGAACGTTATATACTTTTAAAATAATTATTTTTTTATTTACATTCAATTATTTTCGGCCCACCCAGTGTAGAAATCCTGGCTCCACCCCTGGGCATAAGTAATATAACAATCAACAAAGTGAAACATTACAGAATCAACTACATAATTGTTCAAATGCATGTTTAGAAACGAGTACAAAGTACAAAACCTTTCAGTTAGCCTTTTACAGTTGGTTCCTTGACCCTTTTTACCACTTATCAGAGTTAAATCATTGTTCCCTGGCTTGTTTATTTTGTTGAAACCTTTTGCTTGGTCTTCGTCGAAATCTCCAATTATCATATATAACTTATGTTAAGATATGTTGAGCTTGTCATTAACCTCAGGCGATTCTGCCAACCTATTAGCAAAACACTAGGAATGTGAACTGAACCAGCATAGTGAAAGTGTGAAACAATCGAAACACATGGACTCAAGTGTTAAATCTAAGACTTCTTGTGTTCTGGGTCTAGGATGGAACACGAGCTCGACATATATCTCTGGGATGGAAGTCCAACTCATCGAGCAAGGGAGCGTGACTAGGCACGGCGGCTACATGGCGTTCTCGACAAGGGAGGGAGATTGACTCGACGGTCGGCACTCGACAAGGGAGGCAGACTCGAGCAGGAGGTGGGAGACTCGAGCTTGTCACACACCGGAGACAGCAGTCGACATACGTCACCCTTGCCCCGTAACATCAAACTTGTACACTCATGTTACGTGTAAGGAACCCTCCCATCTCCCCATCTTAATCGATTGATATTATTATAGGGTAAATTGCATCGTTGGTCACTGAGATTACAAAAAACGTTCATGTTTGGTCACTAGAAATAATTAAATCCATTAGTGATCACTTAATTTAATAAAAGCGTTCATGTATGGTCACTCTCCATTAGTTGACATCCATCTCCGTTAATGGAATCCGTTAAGTGCTGACGTGGCTGATGCTCTAAAACACAACACCTAACAATGGCCAAGTGTAACCAATGAAAGGGACTGCAGTATAGTGGCACAAGTAATAAATATCGAATCCACGGGTCTCTAGAGTTACTATTACTCAGCTTCAGTTCATTATCTAGCAAACTAGATTAAGGGTTGATTAACTAAAATACTCTACTAACTCAACTAAGTAAAACTACTAATTACAGTTTGGGAACTCACTTAGGTATGATTCCCCCTAGCTCCTCAATTAGGTCCAAGTTGTAATTCCTTTTGGTTGTTTTACTGTTGATTAAACTGCGGAAGATCCGACAGTAGCTTGGAATCTCTTAAGCTGACCAAGCCCTCTCAGTCTAACTATCCGGCAGACGACTAGTCTTCACCGGGATAGAAAGCTGAAGCAATAAGCACAGAACTCCACTACTGGAATTGGATTCCAGTACAAAGTAGTAAACTGGCTAACTCTCGTATAGCCAATCTCCTACTACCGAATGATGAGACTCTAGCAACCTAATCAGATTCTATCTATCTCAGATTGCAGCAGGAATCATGAAAAGTTGATCAGACTTCAATTGACTCAATAAACATGCATCATTCGATTATAATCAAACAACATAGCATCCAAAACTTCATACAAGCAAGCTCCTAACTCATGGAACTAGAATTCCTCAAAACCTAAGTGAAGGGAAGTTACTCCATAGAGAAGAGAGAGACTGCAGAAATCTGATCTAGATCTTCAATCTCCATCTCCAAGCTTGATTCCCGAGCTCCAATGGCAAAGAAATCCTCCAAAATAGCTCCAAGAATGTTCCCAAGTCGCTCTCTCTCTCTAGGGTTCGTCCCTTGGGTGTTTGGGATCCAAAACCCAGCTCTCTTCTTCTTTGGTTCGGAATTTGGCTTAAAACCAGGAAATCCCGACTCACACGGGCAATGCAGTCAAAATCTAGATTTTAAGTAAAATCGAAAACTGAGGTAGAATCGAAATCGTAGATTAAAATCGTAAAATCGTAAGATTTTAAGATTCATATTAAAATAAATACTTAAAACCCTAGATAGTAATAAAAATGCATATCTTGAATAACAATCAACCACATAAAGCATAATTACTTCCCAAGATATGTTTGTTTGCTAAACAAACACAACTAATCCATATATTTTTCTTGTACATAATAGAAACACACAAATAAGAAACATGAAACATTATAGATATCACTGTTAATTAATTGTTAAGAGTAAAAAATCACATAAGATCGTTAGGATCAACATTAACATCACTTACACATCATCGTCATCATCCTCAACCTCACCCTCACTCTCATCGTTTTTATTTGTTTAAGGACTAATATCATTACTCTTATGATCACTTGAAGTACTTTCACCATTAACCATATTTTCTTGATTACCATCATCTGGAAAAGATAACTCATTGATTGATGCATTCCCTTCTTAATTGATAAAAGGTCGGGTTAGTGGTGCTGAAGGATTGGGAGATGAACAAAAGCTTGCAATGTAATGGATATTTGGATTATTGTGAGGGTGGTGGGAACAAACTACAAGCTAATTGGGAGGGTGGAAGATATCGTTGATGGAAGGAGTTGGGCGCCGACGTGCGAAAGAGAAAGATACGAGGAAGAGAATGAAAATAAATTGAGGGTTAACTTTCAGGTTGGGGTTGTGTTGTTCATTATGTTGGGTTGGGGAAAGTAAATTTGACTCGGTTCATGGGCATAACCCAACTTGACCGGCCTAATTTTGATCCAATTTATATGAACCTTGAAATCGTACAAAATCGTAGAAATCGTAGATTTTATGGATTTTAGAGTTTTAAATCGGGATTTTATGGGATTTTAAGGTTCAAAGATTTTACAGTAAAATCAGGATCGGAACCCATAGGTAAAATCGTAAAATCGTAAGATTTTAAGATTAAAATCGGGATTTTGACTACATTGCACACGGGCAGGGTGCACGGCCGTGCATATCACCATTCTGGCCGTGCAACTCAAAACGCAGCGTGTCATTTAGTCGAACTTCAGCCCTCTCGCACGGCCAGGGTGCACGGCCGTGCGAGCTTCAGGGGTTGCCCGTGCGTGTCCTCGGCATAAGGCGCACGGCCATATTGCTCACGTGCACGGCCGTGCAGCCTCCCTGGTCTGCCCGTGCAGCTCCCCAAAAACCTCGCCATTCGTCCGTTCTTCGTCCAATCGACCCCAGACTCGCTCCTAAGCCTTCATTCACGTACTAGGACCTGAAACATCACAAACAAGCACAACCTAGCGTGAAATCGGTCTAAAACACAAGAAATCACACCTCAAACGGTGTAAGAACAGGGGTAAGAACATGTGTAATTAACGGTCTATCAAACTCCCCCACACTTAACCGTTTGCTTGTCCCCAAGCAAACCTAACTCAAACCAATGCAACTCTCCAGACCTCTATAGCAACAAACAACCCAGATCGTAGGTAGAGGACTTCCTAGATCATTTAGCAGCTTACGAGGTCAACCGACGCACAAGTCATCTCATTACTTCTTCGGCGAGTCGGCATCATGGCAAATAGTGAACAGAGGACAAATGAATTGTGGATGAAGAGATTCTCAAAAACAAAGGATCATGGACTCACATTTTTCAAGGTGCTCTATTTTCTTCTTGAAGATGGTTGAGACCCCTTTTTTTCTGTTTTGCTTGTTTTCTGATATTTTTCTTTTCTTTTCTTTTTCAAGGGTCCCAACCTGCTCTTACCGGCCATGCCAGGAGCGGATGTCTCGAGCCTCGTGCGGGGGAAAGACATGTAAGGGGGCTGGAGGTAGTAGGTGGGAATTGGGAACGAATTCCCGTCTCCCCTTACACACTTTCGCCCTATTCGCACGGGAGACGTTTATTTTGAAGCACATTTTCGAGCACCTGTTATTTTCAAAACATGATACAAGAGTCCATGACAGGTAGAAAATCCACAACACCACACAATTCAAGGGTCCTAAGATCACTAATTCACTCAATCAACCAACTTTATATGAAGAAGAAATGAGACTTCTTAAATGCATCAACATCCTCCATAGTGCTACACTACCTCCCTAGGTTGCATATTACTGTAAAGACTGTCAATTCAAAGCATACTGAGCAGGCAATTGCATGGAACACGTACTTGGAGCCCTCAAATTTAAAAATTTGGGCAGTGAACTAGGCTCCAAGCACACAAACAGCCAAACATTCACCCGCATACATAATCGAACACCCCCACACTTAAGCACGACATTGTCCTCAATGGAGGAAAGATAAGGAGGGTAGAACGAAGTTACCAGATCAAGGGTGAATGATGATGTACGGGTCAGGCAGTGCATTCCAGGAAGAGAGAGTAATCAGAACACAAACACCACACAAAATCTCACAAAGGTTGAGTTATTGACTCTAAAATCAAATAACAAAACTGACTCAACCGAGGAGAAAAAGAGAAAGAAATGCAAACCGACTGGTTGGGTTGCCTCCCAACAAGCGCTTCTTTCACGTCGTGAGCCGGACGATGGCTCCTAAGTTTCGGTCCATGCTAGAACCTCCTTGAAGTTGAGGTTCTCGTCGATGAGGTGGAGTCTCAAGTCACGAGCATGTGGTGTGGCAGGTGATGAAGGCTCATGTACTTGATGCAGATGAAGTCTCCACCCTCGAGACCTCTTTTTCTCTTCTCTCGTCTCATTGCCCCAAACCAGATATGACAACATCGATTGGCCACCATCGCGTCCACCAAGAGGGACCGATGTCGATGCGGCCTTGGTCTGGCAAAGAGAGACTGCAAATGGGTCCTTGCCAAGCAGCTCCTCGAAGTTTGGTGGAGATATTACATGTAACTCATGGCCGGTGCAGGCCTCTTCCACCTCAGCTTCATCCTCAGCTTGGACACCAATTGCTTCCTCAACCCCCCTTCCTTCTTCAAAATGTGGTCTCTCCCTTGGGAAAAGATCAAGAACCACCTCTTCTTTTCTTTCTTCCTCATCATCCACAACTTCCTTCCTCATCCTTGCTCGCTCTTCTTCTTCTAGAACAGATTGGAGAGCAAGTCGCCAAGCAATTTCTTCAATGGGATCATCTTGCATCTCCTCGCACAGGCCCAGCATGTTAGAGCATAAATGAGGAAAGGTGTGGTCGCTCCCATAGCCTTTGTCATCCTCCACCTCTTCTAGCGTGGTAGCAGAAAGGTGATCTTGAGCAAGATGTGAGCAAACTTGTTTCACCCACTCTGTTTGCTTTGCTGAGCGCTGAACAGTCTCCTCCATATCATGGAGAAATGAGGGATCGGAAGTGGCAAGGGCTTTGATTTGAAGATCCATCTTGGAGCATGATTTCTCAGTGTCTCGAGCAAACTGCTCCACGAGAAGCCTTAATTGTTTGTTCGGATCTTCCAGTGAAGTGTAGCATGGCTCTGCAGAGTGGGCCGTGAAGGCCGCCATGGGTAACTCCAGCTCCGACGGCCCTTCTGGTTGTGGGAGAAAGTCTTCTTGGTAATGAGGTTGTTCTTGATATGCCCAGGGGTCTGGTTGTTCTCCGTAGAAAGGGGGTTGGTACTGGAACCTGAATCCATAGTCTTCTCCTCCTTGATTGCTCCAGGGAGTCTCGGGGTAATAGCACTCGGGTGGTGGTGGATACCCCCAATGGTTGGAGAAGCCATGAGGATCCATGATTCAGATCTGCACCAACAAAAACAAAAACACCCAAGTGAAAAGCAAGGGTGGAAAAGAAAAGAAAAACGCTAAAGTAACAAACTTCTGCCTTTCCTAATAATCTAGAAAGTCCCCGGCAACGGCGCCAAAAACTTGATGCTCTAAAACACAACACCTAACAATGGCCAAGTGTAACCAATGAAAGGGACTGCAGTATAGTAGCACAAGTAATAAATATCGAATCCACGGGTCTCTAGAGTTACTATTACTCAGCTTCAGTTCATTATCTAGCAAACTAGATTAAGGGTTGATTAACTAAAATACTCTACTAACTCAACTAAGTAAAACTACTAATTACATTTTGGGAACTCACTTAGGTATGATTCCCCCTAGCTCCTCAATTAGGTCCAAGTTGTAATTCCTTTTGATTGTTTTACTGTTGATTAAACTGCGGAAGATCCGACAGTAGCTTGGAATCTCTTAAGCTGACCAAGCCCTCTCAGTCTAACTATCCGGCAGACGACTAGTCTTCACCGGGATAGAAAGCTGAAGCAATAAGCACAGAACTCCACTACTGGAATTAGATTCCAGTACAAAGCAGTAAACTGGCTAACTCTCGTATAGCCAATCTCCTACTACCGAATGATGAGACTCTAGCAACCTAATCAGATTCTATCTATCTCAGATTGCAGCAGGAATCAGGAAAAGTTGATCAGACTTCAATTGACTCAATAAACATGCATCATTCGATTATAATCAAACAACATAGCATCCAAAACTTCATACAAGCAAGCTCCTAACTCATGGAACTAGGGTTCCTCAAAACCTAAGTGAAGGGAAGTTACTCCATAGAGAAGAGAGAGACTGCAGAAATCTGATCTAGATCTTCAATCTCCATCTCCAAGCTTGATTCCCGAGCTCCAATGGCGAAGAAATCCTCCAAAATAGCTCCAAGAATGTTCCCAAGTCGCTCTCTCTCTAGGGTTCGTCCCTTGGGTGTTTGGGATCCAAAACCCAGCTCTCTTCTTCTTTGGTTCAGAATTTGGCTTAAAACCAGGAAATCCCGACTCACACGGGCAGGGTGCACGGCCGTGCATATCACCATTCTGGCCGTGCAACTCAAAACGCAGCGTGTCATTTAGTCGAACTTCAGCCCTCTCGCACGGCCAGGGTGCACGGCCGTGCGAGCTTCAGGGGTTGCCCGTGCGTGTCCTCGACATAAAGCGCACGGCCATATTGCTCACGTGCACGGCCGTGCAGCCTCCCTGGTCTGGCCGTGCAGCTCCCCAAAAACCTCGCCATTCGTCCGTTCTTCGTCCAATCGACCCCAAACTCGCTCCTAAGCCTTCATTCACGTACTAGGACCTGAAACATCACAAACAAGCACAACCTAGCGTGAAATCGGTCTAAAACACGAGAAATCACACCTCAAACGGTGTAAGAACAGGGGTAAAAACATGTGTAATTAACGGTCTATCAGTGGCGGACAGAATAGTCTAATCAGCCCTATTTAACCCGAAAATAGTAAGACCCGACCAGCCACGTCAGTATGACTCGCCATGTCACCTGAACCAACTCAGTCCTCTAACCAAACCCAACCCCTTAACCGAGCCCTCTAATTAAATCCCTAAACCTAAAACAGATCCACATTACTAGAGTCTTCCATCGTGACTCTTCTTCCTCCAGTTCACCTGCGACGAGGGAGGGATGGAGGCCATAGCCAATGGACTCACAAAGCAATGGCAAGGCTTCCTCGTCGGCAGCAGCTTTCCCGGCGGCGACATTGGCATCCACCAACTTCCACATGTACCAATCCCCGACAGACAGATACGACCACCACTTTTCACAAACCTTCACCATCCCCGCCACCTTTGGCAAACCCTTCAGTCCGTACAAGCTCTTCACGCCCTTCCTCACCCCCAAATCCCCCACGGGGAGCACATCCGGCCTGTGCATCGAGAACATCATGAACATGTGCACCGACCAAACCCCAATCCCCTTCACCGCCGTCAGCCTCTCCAGCAGCGCTTCCTCGTTCATCTCCAGGATCTCCGAATCTGACAGCAGCCCGTCCCTGAAATTCCCCGCTAGGTCGTGTAGGTAACCCACTTTCCGACCCGATACCCCGACCTCCCTCAGTTGCGATGCGGTCAACGACATCAAGGCATCTGGCCGGATCTCCGCTCCGCCGCCGCAGAGCGTGAGGAAGCAAGTTCAGATCGATTGCGCGGCGTTTGTGGCGAGCTGTTGGAAGATGATGCTTCAGGGCTCTGGCTAGGGAGGTGAGTGGAGGCTTGCTGGTTTCGAATTTGGGCGGGCTGTAGCGATCGATCAGGGATGCTAGGAGTAAGAGGGGATTGGATTTACGGAGGTGGTTGAGGGCGGCTGCGATTTGGCCTTCCGTCGATAAGGTTTTGGCGATGGTCGGGAGCGGAGGTGAGTTGAGGCGGTTGGTTTAGGGATTTAATTAGAGGGTTCGGGTTAGGTTAGAGGGCTGGGTTGGTTCAGGTGACATGGCGGGTCATACTGACGTGGCGGGTCGGGTCATACTATTTTCGGGTTAAATAGGGCTAATTAGATAATTCTGTCCGCCACGTTAGCACTAAACGGACTCCATTAACAGAGATGGACGACAACTAACGGAGAGTGACCATACGTGAACGCTTTTATTAAATTAAGTGATCACTAATGGATTTAATTATTTTCAGTGACCAAACATGAATGTTTTTTGTAATCTCAGTAACCAACGATGCAATTTACCCTATTATTATAGGTTTTACTTTTAATCAAATTCCATTTGATGGCGTCCCAAAGCAGAAACCAGATTGAGCCCGTATTTCCTCAGGAACTGTCTGATGTTTATCTTGGGCCTGATGGGCCAACTAGAAACTGACTATAAGGCCAGCTTTCCTTCTTTCCCTCAGAATTATTGCGAAATAAATTTTCGCAAACGCTTCTGTCCAATCCTTCCTGTCTCCGTCGACCCTCCTTATTCCGCAGAAGTTATTCTGCTAACTGCTAGATCCGTGAGCAGATACTAATAGGGTTAGATTTGATGCCACGTCGGGCCAGGTAAGATCCAACGGAGGAGATAGGCAGGCTCTGGTGGCTCACTTAAGTGAGCCAGTGACGGGCTTGTGGGTATAAGTCGGCCCATCCTGCGGCTTGGAGGACGCGCCGAAGAAGCAGCTGTGTGGGCCCGCTTCAGTTTGGGCGGGATTTTGGAGAGGAATGGAGAGAGAACGAAAATTGTGGGCATGCTTATCAATGTAATATTTATTTATGTATGTTTGTGAGGATATTTATTTGTTTTCTCCCGATATTAATATGTGTTGTGTTGATATTACTTTGTATCATTGTTGAAATAAACTAGTATTCTTTCTTCGCAAACCAATATCCATCATTCAACTAATGTTTACCAAACCCCAATATAACCCAACCACCCGAAACTGATTATACCAATTTAGAGTTTAGGTTTTAGGATTCAAGTTTACGATTTAGAGTTTAAGGTTTGGGTTTACGGTTAAGTCTGGGCAATCGACAGACAAATTTTTGCATGAACTGATATTATATGTGATGGATATTGTGTCTTCCATCAAAACTAAACACGCTATCAAGTCCTAACACATAAGGCTTGCAACCTTAGTTAGGGCTGCCCGCCGAGGGCCCATGGGCCGAAGGCCCATGAAATACTAATAGCTTTTAGGGTTTAGTGATTAGGGATTTAGTGTTAGGTAGGGTTTAGTTTTTTTAGGGTTCGGGTTTATTAGTCTTGTGGTCATTTGCAGTAAATGGATATTAGTTTATGTGGTTCGGATATTAGCTTTGGGTTGAATTGATATTAGTTCATGTTTTTGAATATTTATGTGGGACGTTTGGATAAGTCTAATGAGGCACTTTTGGTAACTATTCTGATGTGATTCTTTGTTTATTTAAGCATATGAAATAATAATAGTTTTTATGGTTTAGAGTTTAGTGATTAGGGTGTTAGTGTTAGGGTTTAGGGTTTATTTTTTTAGGGTTAAAGGTTTAGTTATTAGTCTTGTGGTAGTTTGCAATGAATGGATATTAGTTTACGTGGTTCGGATATTAGCTTTGGGTTAAATTGATATTAGTTCGTGCTTTCATATATTTGTTTGGGACGTTTGGATATTCTAATGGGCACTTTTGGTAACTATTTCGATGTAATCATTTGTTTATTTAAGCATCTAGCACTTTTGGTAACTATTCAGATTAGTCTACAACTATCATATATTAGTCAGTATGTGGTGGATATTATTATGTCATAGTGATAATATTCATTTTGGGATCACATGATATTATTCTGAGACAGAAGGATATTAGACTGGGTAGTGTGGATATTTGTCTGGGTAGTGTGGATATTCGTTTTAGTTTTAGGGTTTAGGGTTCATTGGTTCATGTTTTCGGATATTTTTTGGGACGTTTGGATATTCTAATGTGGCACTTTTGGTAACTATTCCGATGTGACCCTTTGTTTATTTAAGCATCTAGCACTTTTGGTAACTATTCGGATTAGTGTACAACAATAAGATATTAGTCTGTGTCTGATGGATATTAGTCTCTTATATATGGATAATCTTAATTTTGGGATCACATGATATTTTTCTAAGATGGTGGGATATTAGATTGGGTGGTGTGGATATTCTTCTGGGTAGTGTGGATATTCATTTTAGTTTTAGGGTTCAGGGTTCATAAGTTCATATTTTCGGATATTTTCCTGGGACTTTGAATATTCTAATGGGCACTTTTGGTAACTATTCCGATATGATCCTTTGTTTATTTAAGCATCTAACACTTTTGGTAATTATTCGGATTAGTGTACAACAATAAGATATTAGTCAGTGTGTGATGGATACTAGTCTGTTGGATTATGGTGTGGATACTTTTTTGGAGTCATCCAATAAATGCTCAGAAAAAAAGGGTTTGATGTTCGAGTAGATTCGGTGTAGTGATTAGGGTTTTAGTGTTAGAGTTTAGGGTTTCTTTTTTAGGGTTAAGGTTTAGTTTTTTAGGTGGTCGTCTTGTGGTCGGATATTAAACGGGGTGGTGTTTGTATTTGTTTTGAAATTAATGGATATTAGAAGGGTGTCTATGTGGACGTGTACGACAAGGTTAGTGGCTTTTACATGGATTGGTTTGTGGCGATGTTCCTTGATGTCCTTGTTGAGTTGTTTTTTTATTTCTAATTCAAAGTCGGATGATGACGATAACACCGATGAAATTGTATCCATGTTGTGGGGGAGTCGTATCCTTATTTATCTACTTACTAGTATCATCGTTGAAATGAACTATTATTCTGTGTTCAGTATCCATCCTTCACCAACCCAGTATCCATGTCTTTATTAAACTATGCGGATATTAGTTTAGGACGATCGAATATTTGGTGGTGTTATATCTAGACTCACTTAAGTAACATTGGACCTCACATAACTAATATGAGAGCATAATATCCAGACAACGCATATTAATATCCATACATTTCATAACTAATATCCAGACCTAACATAAAAATATTCATGAATAACAAACTCAAATCCATAATAATAAAGAGTTGTTTTATCGACAAACCGTGATAAAACTAGTATTCTATGCCATTACAACTTGGCAATCCCAGAATATCAAATCCGAAAAAGCACAACCACATAAGAAATGAAAAAGCAATAATTTTGAGCCAGTGATGTGCCTCCACCTCCCCTTCTCACAGAGGAGCTGGAATCGAATAGCTTTTGGATCTTGGCATCTTGCAAAATTCCTGAAATGCATGAAAAGAAATCATTAGGCATATGGACAGTCCAGACTAATATCCATATAGGGCATACAAATATCCAAACCTAGCATACACATATCCATGCATCATGGGCATGCTAAATATCGACATTCAACAAACTGGTATCCCAAACATGTTAAATAATATCTCAGGTCAATAAACTACCATATTAACGAGCAAAACTCAGAACCCCCAAAACAATATCCACATTCAACAAAATGGTATCTCAGGTACGCTAGATAATATCCTCGATCGACAAACTACCTTATTAACGAGCAGAACTCAGAACCCCCCAAACAATATCCACATTCAACGAACTGGTATCCCAAGCATGCTAAATAATATCCCAAGTCAACAAACTACTATATTAACGAGCAAAACTCAGAACCCCCCAAACAATATCCACATTCAACGAACTGGTATCCCAAGCATGCTAAATAATATCCCAAGTCAACAAACTAACATATTAACGAGTAAAACTCAGAACCCCCCAAATTGAAAGAATCCCAGATCCCCCAAATCAAATCCCAAGGCATAGAAAGCGAATCTCAAATCCCTCGACAAGAATCCCAGATCCCCAACAACGAATGTCAAATCCAAAAAATGAAGCAAAAAAAAAAAAAAAGAACTCAGGTCCAGTTGAATCCATGAAACCCTAAATCAAATAACAAGAATTCTGAATCTCCCAAATCGAATCCTAGATCCCAGCCATAGAAAATCCCAGATCCCCCAAATTGAAAGAAATCAAAATCCTCCAAATCAAAAGAAACTCAGATCCCCCAAATCGAATCCCAAGGCAGAGAAAGCGAATCTCAAATCCCCCGACAAGAATCCCAGATCCCCAACAACGAATCTCAGATCCAAAAAATGAAGCAAAAAAAACTCAGATCTAGTCGAATCCATAAAACCCTAAATCAAATATAAAGAATCTCGAATCTCCCAAATCGAATCCCAGATCCCAGCCATAGAAAATCCCAAATCCCTCAAATCGAATCTCAAGGCACAGAAAGTAAATCTTAAATCCCCCAACAAGAATTCCAGATCCCCAACAATGAATCTCAGATCCAAAAAACGAAGCAAAAAAATAAACTCAGATCCAGCGAATCTATGAAACTCTAAATCAAATATATGTAATCCAACATTCGTATCCATGAATCAAGGAAGGGTAAAACACATACCTCAAAGACCTGCCTTCACCGTCGCGTTGGTGTCCTCAATGAATCAGGAGAAAGGAAGATGTTTACCTCAAAAACTTTCTTCTCTTCGCAGCCGGTGTAACCGTCTTCCTCTCGCTACCGGCGTCGATGTCTTCCTTCTTGCTCGGCCGACTTCGTCTTCCTTCAAGCACTGCTAGCGGCGTTGCCAAGCACCACCGTCTTCTCCTTGCGTTGTCGTCTTCTTCCTGCCCGTAGCCCTCGTCGTCGACGTCGTTTTTCTCACGCCCGTCGTTGTCGAGAGGTATTTTGAATTATTTGAGAGAGAGAGAGAGAGGAAGAAGAAGAAGAAGAAGAAGAGAAGAGAGAAAAAAACAGTCTACAATTTTGGAGAGTGGGAGAGAAAGGAAAATGAAATTATGGAGAGAGAAAAGAAAATTAAACATAAATGAAAAGGTTGAGTTTTTTTGAATTGTGTGACTGTTATGAAACAATATAGTATGGTGGATGTCCATTGGATGCTACTTTGGATTCCATATGGGATGTTACATTAGGAGGTAATTACCTCCCTACATTGATCATGGAAATGAATTCTCTTCATGGTTATTATATCACATTTATGTGCATTGATAGAGGAGAATGTGAAGGTTATGTATATGTGTCTATAAATAGAGCTCCCCATTGTACAAAGGAATAAGATGAATAAGAAGAACTCTTCCCCTCTCTAACCTTGTGTCTTTTCTTCTCCATACTCTCTCATAGTTGTTTATATATTCCTTAAGTTTCTTAACACGTTATCAGCACGAGCTCTGCCAAAGTAATGGTTGGTCATTGTCTCTCTACATAATCACATATACTTGAGTAAGATCACAACACGATCAAGGTATGCAAATTTTCATGCCATTTCTTGTTAGTATGTTTATCTATCTCATTGTTTTTGAGGGATTATTTGATCATGTTATTTGTTCATATTATTTTATGAACTTATTTTATATATGTCGATCTTGTAACATAGATTTTGTGCTTGGACATTATCAAAAAATGAAAATTGCTTCTGAGTAGCAAAATCATTATGGGTTGACTTATCGATTGCTACATTGTACATAGAGAGAAATGAAAGTCTAAAGATCTCATTTTTCCCGAAGTGGAAAAATGAAGAAAAATGTATCATTGGTCTTGAACCCGATATATGAAAAGAAGTTTTCTTTGTCCAAAAATCAATGGAAGGAAAATGAAAATCTATATGTGCTCCTGCAGAACTTATGTTGGACATGGTGTCCATTGCAATGAGAGATTTGTTCATGACTCTTTTTGCTAACATCATCATTTTGATGAGTTACCTTTCGAACGTTAAGGGGGAGAAAAGTAAACAGTTGGGCATAGATATGAGTTGGAATCATCATTATCTCATTTTGATCCTCAAACGAAGAAACATGAACCCGAAGTTCATATGGTGATTCATGGAGAAAAAAGAAAACGTATTGATTGCCAAACGCCTTTTTACCCACTAAAAGGAGTGATTATGATACATGCCCAGTTGTGAATGCTCCAATACAAATTGATGTCCATATTGGATAATCTAATGAGTCTAAACGAGCGCATGAAGCGTGGTAGACCAATCGGTTCCAAGGATAAAAATCCTCGAGAAAGGAAGGAGCTATAAATTAAGATGGTAAACTCGAGGATAAAATAGCTCTAGAAGAGTCAAGTCATAAAATTGAGATCATAGTTCCAGAAGAATAGTAGGTACCTGAACGTTTTAAAATGAAGAGATCTCAATTAATTGGCTTGTATGAAAAAAGTTCGAACCGAAGTGTATTTATTGTCGACAAGGGTTTTGATTATGATGTAGCACTGAACGTGATAGATACAAAGATGATCAAAAGTAAAAGTCTATTGATGCATGCAAAAGAATATATATTGGCCAATATAAAAGAAAGCATTAGGCTATTTGGTATAAGTTTTGGACCAGAAGTCCTTACACCTGAAGATGTAAAACTAACGGGATACAAATAGGTTTTGTGCAAATGCGTATGGAAATTGTGAGAGATATAATACAATTTCTCATGAGAGATTTCTGGTAGAAACCTGACATCAATTATGAAGAGACATCTTGTGGTGGATGCAACTATGTTGTGCAATTTAAATAGTTTGGCATTTCAAAAAGTATGAAATTTGCATTTTGGTAGATATTGTGATAGCCTATTTGTAAGGATCCCTTGATAATGATATTTATACGAAAATCCCTAAAGGATTAGTTTGCCAGAAGCAAACATGTGACGTTCTCGAGAACAATATCGATCGATAAAACAATCCTTTGTTTGGATTGAGTTAAAATGGATGAATATGGTATATTCATCTAAGTGAATATCTGCTAAAGGGAGTGGTCAAATAAGCCTTACGTGATTAAATTTGAATAAAGTGCATTAGAGCATTTGCATTTGGTATGTGTGATTGTGTAATGACATATAGGCTTATGTGCATGATATTGTGGTTTTAGTTATACGTTTATTTATGAAATGTGGATTGGTTAAGTGATGTTGTGTGTATGACGTGCCTTTTTTTCTTGTGACCTTGTAGTAAGAAGTAATTGTTTGCATACAATTGTGTTAGCTATGTTTTATAGTTATTTGGAAGAAAAGAGTCGAGAAATTATTTTATAATGATCTCATATGTTTTAGTTGATATGAACTCCAAAAGAGCTTCATAAAGCATGGTTTGCTTAAAGAAAGAAAATTGAACTCTAGAAGAGTTTCATATAGCAGGGATTGCTTAAAGAAAGAAAATTGAACATGGAGGATTTAATAAGATCCTTTTTGAATCAGGAAGACAATGTCGGAAAAGTGAAAGAACAATTTTGTATGAAAAAATTTCCATATGTTCAACAGCCTAATGATCATAAGGTCACTAGAAGTGAACAAACTACAACGATCAATTCAGGCATTGAGATAAAAGTGAATTATTCGGTCCTGTAGTACCGTATGTTAATGTCGTTAGAGAGAAAATGTATCTCGCTATACTTCATTGAGTTATACTTCGTTACTATAGGTAATGATGATGATCATAGATGAGTAATTTGTTTACATATGCTCGTTCAAGTGTCTCATGGAGATTCCAAAGAAATCGCAATAGCAACATCATCTGATCATGCACAATGGTCAACAATTCATGAGACTTGTTATGAATTGTTTGGTTAAAATTTGTGATCCAACACGTCTAAATGACTTGTGGTTGTGGATTATATTCATAGCAAATGATCCTGAAGATCATGTATGAAGAAAATGGTTCTAATGGATCATGCATAAAGTGACAATCTAGAAGATTTGTTCACTAAGAAACTTACCATGACGATATTTAAAAGTTATGTTCACAAAACTACTCTTTGATGTTGTCATGAGGGGGAGCATATACGTACTGCACTCTTTTCCCCTTAACCATGGTTTTTCCCACTGGGTTTTCCTGGTAAGGTTTTTAACGAGACAGTTTCAGATAGCGTATTATGATGATTATGTACTCTTTTTCCTTCACTAGGATTTTATCCCATAGGGTTTTTCCTAGTAAGGTTTTAATGAGGCATATTCTCAATAGATGGACATCCAAGGGGGAGTGTTATGAAACAATATAGTATGGTGGATGTCCATTGGATGCTACTTTGGATTCCATATGGGATGATACATTATGAGGTAATTACCTCCCTACATTGATCATGGAAATGAATTCTCTTCATGGTTATTATATCACATTTATGTGCATTGATAGAGGAGAATGTGAAGATTATGTATATGTGCCTATAAATAGAGCTCCCCATTGTACAAAGGAATAAGATGAATAAGAAGAACTCTTCCCCTCTCTAACTTTGTGTCTTTTCTTCTCCATACTCTCTCATAGTTGTTTATATATTCCTTAAGTTTCTTAATAGTGACCTATTTTTGTTTTAATTGTAAAAAAAGGCTTGATTCAGCCGAGCCACAAGATGCTCTCTTCCCCCTCCGCCGTCCGATCGCGGATCGCCTACCTAGCGTAAAATCCGGCCGTATTAGTATATACTGAGTTAGCAGAATAACCTATTGCCTGATTCGGACGAAGAGCAAAATCACCGTCATAATTCGCCGGCAAGCAACTCTTCCCCGAAACCCTAGTAATTTAACAGGTTTGCTTCTAGGCCATTTCAATTCTATGCTTTGTGAATTGCTTTCTGTTCGCTTGGTTAGAAAAGGGATGTCTGATTTTCTTCGGGTCGGGACGTTTCCGCTGATGCCAGCGAACCACAACTCGAGCGTCGTTTATGAATATATTTCTTCATTAGCAGTGCGACGTGGGGAATCGGATAGTGTCAATGATAGACGTTGGAACTTATGGTTTCTCTATGTATTGTGTTGTGTCCATTTTCTATAACTTCCATTTGTAGAATTAGGGTTTCTTGTTCATTGGGATGGAATTTATGCCTGTGGCAGTATGACTGAATTTTTTTGGTTGTGGGTTTTGGGGCGTTCGTTGTGTTGTTGATGATGCCTGGATTATGCCCCTTTATGCTGTGGAACTTGATTTGTGAATTTTGTTTTTGTTTCTTGTTGGTGTCTATCGAGGATAGGTAGGGAGCAATGACGACTGCAGCTCGACCAACGTGGGCTCCTGCCAAAGGTGGTAATGAACAAGGTGGTACCCGCATTTTCGGTGCATCGCAGAAGTACTCATCAAGGGACCTTGCTGCTCATACAAATCTCAAGCCGAGGTATGCCTTTGTTTCTTCTCATCCTTCTTGTTTCCCATTTATCATTGCTATCTGAGTCGAGCATTCTGGAAAGGTGGCTCAGTTGAGGAAACTTCATCTGCAATATTAGCTGCACTCCATTTGTGCTTCTTCTAGGTTTTGTATGACTTAATTGGTTGATAAGTGTTTTGGGATAGTTCAAACCTAGTTTAGGCTGGATTTTTTTCATCCACATAGTGCTACGGTCTCTCTTGGGTTACTTGAAGCAGTACCTTATTATATTTCTGATATTGTTGTCAAACTACTTCTGCAACCCAAATTGATTGTCTTTGCAATGTTCCTCAATTCTGCACTTCAGTTTCTGATTGGTCCTGCATTGAACGGCGAGGTGTCTGGACAATCTGGCATTTTAGTCCTTGGGGGACCATCTTGTTCATTCTTGATTTCTCTTTGTACTTGACAGGAGGGAAGGTCAAGACACTCAGGGAGAGCTTCAAAAAAGGGACCTTCGTGCGGAGCTTGAAGAACGTGAAAGGAAGCATTTTTCATCGAAGGACAGGTCATACAGTGGTAAGTTATTTCATACTGCCGGTGTGGTGTTGGTATGTTATACTGTTCATAATCCAGCGTCAGGCTTTCACTCGTCTCACTGAAATTGTTTATTCATTGTAGATGACAGAGACCGTAGAAGGGGAAGTCAGCTTCTTTTGGAAGGTTTGTCCGTAAGCTGCCTTCTTTGTGCAATCATTAGCTTAATGCTACCTCCAATTTCTGTTCTAACTCCTGGTATTCACAGGATTGAAAAGAGATGCAGAAGACCGCATTGTTCCTCGCAGTCAAGATGCCGATGATTCGGATGGTGAAGGAAACAACAACGACAAGAGGTTATTATTCCTGAGATGCACATATTTATTATTGATTCATTTATTTCATCTGTTTTTCTTGTGTTTTGTGGTTCATTGCTTATTCACAAAGTTTATCCGAAATGTATTGTATTATAACAAGGGTCTTCTTTCTACAGTGATGATAGTGATGATGATGATGAGGAGGAGGAAGATGATACCCAAGCTCTGATGGCTGAGCTCGAGAGGATAAAGAAAGAAAGAGCAGAAGAAAAGCTCCGACAGGTAAAACTGACTTCTGGATATGGATGCTACTGAAAGTTCCCTTTACATTTTTTTAAACTTTCGGAACAAGTCTTGTTTCCGGGTCTACAGTTTTGTGAATGGATGATGCAACCTGAAATAGACAAGTTCATCTGGCAAAAAGTAAATTTTACATATTTTGTTTTCCAGGAGCAAGCACTTGCAGCTGAAGAGTTGAAAGCCAAAGAAGAGCAGCTTCTCCGTGGAAATCCATTGCTTAATAGTAATAACCCAACATCTTTCAGTGTGAAAAGAAGGTTAGTAATAAGTAGCCCATGGAACTTCAGCTTTGCTAATATCTGTTTATGGTTCCTTTCTTCTGTCACTATACCATTCTAATCGCTGCCCCATTATGATCTGGTCGATTCAGGTGGGATGACGATGTGGTTTTCAAGAACCAGACTAGAGGTGAAACCAAGACGCCAAAACGTTTCATCAATGACACCATCAGGAATGACTTCCACCGCAAGTTCTTGCATAAGTACATGAAATAATTTTGGTGGTAGCAGCAGCAACAACAGTGATCAAAATCGTTCGAGAACTTAGCCCCCATCAAAAGATGGCTCTGCGATTTATCATTTCCATGTACTTATGTGTCTGGCACGTTAAGCAATCAACTCTGCTCATTCCATCTCCACTTGACATTTGCGTCTGCACGTTTCCTTTCGGATGATTCTTTATCAACTTTGTAGCTGACAAATGATTGTATTTATGTAAAATATGCTGTCAAATTTGTTTCTTTCTCAAAATCAATGGCTGCTTTAGTCATAAATTTTGAGTTCCGGACTTGCAAAAATGCAATTTCTTCCCAAAAGGACAACAGGAGTAGAGAGTTGCAACTTGCAACTTACCAGAAACATATACAATCAGGCCAATAGCCAACCCAATACCAAACCAAGCAGCCCCGACATACATTAGCAACAGTTGCTACTTGCTACCATGATTTTGTACACCGAGCCAGAGTAAAAGAAACCAATAGACCACTAAGAAAATGCTGAACAATAGGTGCCCCAAGAAAACAACATTCTACAAGGATCCTAGCAGTATACACTTCAACTTCACAACACGAAGAAGACCGCAAGCAAACCTTGTTCCTTCTCTTTTTTTTACTTAATCGCCTCAGTTTTTCTTTGGCTCTTCTAACACAAATTCCACATACAAATCCTTGAGGCCGATAACAACGGTCGTTATCAATGGACCCATGATTGCCCCCTGCACACAATTAACCAAAATAACCATCAGCGACTATGCAACGGTTGAATCCCGATTCCTGAATGTATTATCATGATGAATTTGCGACTGACTAAAGAAAGAGAGATTGCCATTTTCAGAAGGGCTTCCTCAACACTATAACTACCTATATAATAAGTCGCGCGTTGGAAGATCTCTCTACAGGTAATGGAACAAGTTCAAAAAATGGGAAAATGAAATGACTAGAGAGTGATAAATTTTACCTCCACTGCGGAGGGAAACAATGTCATTCCACCAATGATGCTGAGCCCAGTGAGGTACTCGTTGTGTCCAGGTATATCCTCCTGAATTTCTGAAGCACCATAATCCATAAGCAGAAGATGAATCACCGACAGGCTGATCGCCAGAACATACCTGCCCTCTAGCACCAGCTGCACAGCAGCTGGAATCGTGGAAAACCATGGTGGAAATATCGGCAGCAGAGGACTGATGATTGCAAGAACAGTAGACACATACAGGAAGTGGATTTTATACAGCCTCAACAATAGCCATGTTAAACATCCTTGAAAGAATGCAATCTCAGCTGTAGCCAGGAGAACACCCGAAATGGCCTTGTCGAGAACCTCGACACATCTTGTCCTCACTGATTTCCTCATTGGCAGCATGCACATCACCTGCTCGGTTACCCCACCAGACTCCGATGTGATCAGGTAATACAAAACCCAGAAGAAAACCATCGACATGGAGACAAAATTGAAAACCTCAGCTGCTCCAGAAATGATCGAGTTCCCAACCGACAGCATCAGCTTAGCACCTCCCCCTAGCACTGAAGCACTGCTGGCAAAAACACGTTGAGAGACATCCATCCCTCGAAGAGCAAACCCTTTCGCCTTCTCGAGTATATCCTCACGGCTAATAATCAGTTCCTTGAAGATTGCATCCAGTTCAGTGTAAATTTCTCCCCATTGGCGGTCACTAACTTTCTTTCTTAAGCTCATGAGCTTCTCAGTGTAAGGAGGTGGGCTCATCATAAGAGCTGATTGCTCTAAAGAAGAATTGGTTGGAGGAGTGATGATGAAATGCTTGATCCCTGTGACCAATTCAGTGACGTTATACTGCATTGCAAGACTATCAATCTGGTCAGAAACTGTCTCATAGAACGTGGTTGTATACCTATCAACCATTCCAGGGACATCATTCTCATCCATCCACTTCCTAACACCAAACTTCTCAGCATAATTGCTCTCTTCCACATGAGATTTTAAAGAAATTACAGCATCTTTCCCTTCAACACCAATCTTGTATGAGAAGAATATCAACCCAACTAAGAATCCGACAATCATGCCAATAATAAGGCCAACTGCAACTGTTGTCTTGAGTTTCTTCAATATCCCTCTAGTGAAGAATGCAGTAATCGGACTGCGCTTAAAGCTGTTGCTCCTAAAAGAAGAAACAGCAGAGAATGTGGAATCTACAGTCTTTGTACTGCACAAGATACCCAAACCTAGAATGGAGAGCGCCCCCATAGCACCTATGTTCTCATAGGCAATTACAAAGACACCAAATGAGACCAACCACCTCACTAGCTTGGAAAACCCACTTCGATTCCTCTTGATTCGTTCCTTTTTGGGCTTTTTCTGTAAAACCCTAAGGCAAAGCTCTTTAATTTCGACAAGGGTCCCTACGAAAACCTGGAAAATTGCTATGGGGACAGCGAGGACAGTCTCAGTGAGCCCTAATTGGAGAGGCTCCTCCCAAAATGAAACGAGGGCCTGCTGAATGCCCCTCAAGGGTATGGAGCACAAAATTGCCCACTGAATTGGGCGCAAATACTCCTGAAGGAGCTTACAGACGAAATAGAGAACGAAGATTGTGAAGGCGAGACCGGCGTGTGCCATGGCTATGCAGAGAGCGAGTCGTACCTGGGGATCCCCCAAAAAGGTGGCGTCTTTATTAGTTTGGTCGCTCGAATTAGAGGACCCAGATGGATTCGGAGGCTTGCCGGAGGGCGCCGTGGTGGGTTTGCGAAATGAGGCCGATTTGAACATATCCTGCCATGGCAGAGTTGAAGAGGAAGAAGAAGAAGAAACAGACTCCGGCGCCTTGGAATCTGGGTCGGCGTATGGAACCAACTCCATTGCCGGAAAAACCGAAATGGTTATCTGCAGACACGATAGGAGGGGAGGAATCAATAGGAAGCCGAGAGTCTGCAGATAACCAAAGGAGGCGGGCGAATTTGGATATCCTCTGCGTAAGAGCAGAGGAGAAGAAGAACAGAAAAGCAGGGGAATTTTTTTTTCTGAACGAGGGAAAGACCGAAGAGACGGACAATAATGATGAATGTGAGGGACCAGGCAGCCAATCAGAGGACGACAGATGTGATTTGTACAGAGGGCAGTTTGGATTCTTATGAAAAAGAAATTTTTGTCGGCTGTTTAGCGGGAAATATCTCAGACGTGGAGGGAGTGGAGAAACAGAGGAATGCGGGAAGAGAACATAGGAGGGGAAGAGAGAGAGAGAGAAAGGAGTTATCAGTATTCAGTTCTTCTTCAACCCCAGCCTTGTGAAATGGAAAGAAGGAATTTGCCATTTGCCAGAGGATAGTGTAAGAGTTCAGGCAGGGTGCGGGCAGGAGATTGATAGCCGTCCTGCTTTCCTTTCAAACGTGGGAAAATGACCAAACCGACATCCCCTGCTGTCTTCGTTGAAAATGTGGTGAATTTAATAATTGATCGTGCATTGTTTGTTGTCGCTGAGCTGGTGCATGTGTTTTGTTCTCTCAATTTCAGGCATTGACGACGGGGATGGTGGAACCCAGGAAGACGCAAAGGTGGAGAAAATTGAACTGAAAGACAATTGACTCGGAACTTGCTCTAACTATATCTCCGCAACAAATGATATGTAAATCTAACTGATTCTTCAAGTGCACAAGTTGGAAGGTGTTTGTCATTGCACTTAGAGCTGGACAGGACTCTGTCCATCATGGACCAATCTGTGATGATCATTGTGATGTATGAAGTGCATTGTATTGTATGACCGATCACGTTTTCCCACAATCAATGCACATGAGGTTTAACAACTCTCGTTAAACTTGACTTGGGAAGTTGGGATAGACCGGGTTTGATGGGTTTTTTTACAAAAGATAATCATAAATATTGACTGGAAAAATAGATAATTATATTATGGAACGAAGACATGTTATAAAATCAAACGAGCGACACGTAGTCGGATATAAAGAAAGGGTCTTGCGAGCCACCAAATGGACTACCTTATTATACGCCAACCTACGAATCGCACACCAAACTCTATATGCTCAGGCAGATAGTTCAAAACTTCACAGGAAATGGCCCCATCGCGACTATCACTATCCTGAGCTTGGTTGAGTCTATCATAACGACCTAAGCATCACCTTCGAAACTTACCACCGTAAAAACCTTTGGCAGGCACCATAGGATCGCTCCCGGAGGACCAAGAGCTCTACTAGCATGGGATTATCCATACAGGGGAAATGAACGGCAGTAGCCAAAATGATCACCCCCTCTTGTTCTAGGAGAACCATCCCCCAGTCGCATGGGACCCCTGCCTCGTCGCCCCATCCCACATGCAGACCACAGAACTAGGGGAGGCAGACTGCACACAACCATTCCCAGCCAGCGGAGTGCGCACAAATCTCTCCTTAGGTAAAGTAGTCCACTCATGCAATTGTTGATGGTATTGCCTCATCAAGGTTAGTTATGATTTCATAGAGTCATCCTGTTAACTCTTATTAATTGTAATTTTTTAAGAAAAAAGAAAGTGAAAAGGTGTTCCAACTTAAATTGTTCATCAAACGTGGTTCAGGGATCGTAAAAACATCATAACGAAGCCACAATATAAGACTCAAACCATTGTGTTCAAAGGAACGAAAGTCGACAAGTATGTCTTGTTTAAAAAGAAAATTTCCCTCGTGGTTTCCTTCCCCATAACTCTGAGAAACGAGGAATTCCCATGGTCGACCGAATTGGATATTGAGCTATGAGTTCTACGCCCCTCTGTCCCCATGCTTGTCATTGGCTAGCTGCTCCAAAGTTTAAGTTAAAATTCAATTATCTGGAGGCCGTATATCCCATCTTATATTAGTCTCCAGAGTTGATGCGGAAACTTCAATTCTATATGAAACATTTTGGTGAATCCACACCAACATATTACATATAATGTGGCGTGAAAAATGAGCTCATTCGACACTTTATAGAGAATCAAACATGTGATATCATATCATGACAAAAATACATGTACCTCGATGTGAAGCATGTTGATGAATCCATTCTAACAACCTAGTGTCGAAGAATGAATGGCAGAGCCATCGAGTGTATGATACCTCTTGGAATTTTTGTAGAAAAGTACAGTCACTAATGACATACATTGACATCGCTATTGTAGCGTGATTGGTATGGTACAAATCTAAAGAAAAATGATGACAACGCTTAGAGTTTATGTGGAGTATGATATGACCAAGTAATCATGGGTATCTTTTTTTGTCATTGTAGTTTTGATATTTCCTTCCAAGACCGTAGCGTAGCGTTTCTAAAAGGTTGCTTCTTTGTCCATCTCACCTTAAACCTCTCACAAACATTGCATAATGTATCGGTAGTACGAGTAGTATTATGATATACTACAAGCACTGTTATGTAATTTAACAGTGTTATATTTACGTAATTTCCATTATTAGTAGTCAGCAAAATGTTCTATGGATTCATCCAAATGCATGACCCCAATTCATTTCTCGAAGTTGGATAATCAAATATAACGAAATTGTTGAGAATTGACAAGGTTATACTCATTTTCATATTGCAAGTGAATGAATACGAGAAAAAAAGGTCTCGAACGTATTATCTGTGAAAAGCAGATGATGATACATAATCAATCAATACCCCCATCATGTTCTTAATTATTTCCTAAACCAACACATTAGCAGTGGTTTAATCAAAAGTGGGAAGCCCCGATCCGTCTGCGGAGACAGAAGTAGGCAAGCAAGCGGAACCCAAGCGCCATGGCCAACAACACCCAGACCTCTTGCAGCCCACCTTTGAGGTTGACCGTGTCGAAAGATGGAGAGCTCTGCAGCGGCCTGCACCCTCCCGCGCTCTGGCACTCGTACATTTGGTCCCCGTCGTATTGCACCTTCAGCAGCAGCCTGAATCCGTAGTACAGGAACGACATGTACTTCAGCCACTGCATGAATCTCGGTATGTGCTGCAAATCCCACATTTTTTTCAGTTTTGTTCCAAGTCATAACAACTCTCAAGAGCATATTGATTCTATTCATGGAGATGGGGGCTTGAATCTCTGCAATTGGGTGTTTCAAGGATTCGAGTTATTGGGATGTATACCTGGACATAGTAGCCACCAGTGAGGAGAAATAACATGAGTAGAAGAGAAGCGAACATTCCTGCTCTCCTTATGCTCAAACTTGCAGCTCCAAACAACTCCCCTGCACCCTTTTGTCCAAGAAATTTAAACGAGTAAGATTAGTATTTGTAGGAATTGATGGAGTTTGGGTTAGCTGAAGAATGAATGGAAGGAGTAAGTTACTTGGCTGGTGATGGCAATGAGAAGGATGGCCATCAAAGTCAAGAAGAAGCAAGGGACAGTCCTCTTGAAACCAGCCATGAAGTAGACAATGATGGTGAAGAAAGTTGGGTAGAAAACATGAGCCACCATGTCACACAAAGTACTGCATACATAGTAAACACTCAGTGGGTACATGTCTGCTCTCCTTTCCTTCACTATGTATATCTTCTCAAATGGGAACACGTATACTGCCCCGAATATTGACGATGATGTCCAAAATATGCAGATGTAGAACATCAGACCAATCTGCAAAATGACATAAAAGAGAATCTGGAGACTGTCTACTATTAATAAAATGGGGTAATTTTTTTGGAACCATTTGATAACCTGGTCTCTAAGCTGAGCCTCGGTTGCAGTTTGGGATTTCCACCAGAGAAGACCAAGAAGGACAGCAATTCCTAAGGCCTGGACTAGCCTCAGCTTGTCAAAGTAATCCCTACACCTTTCCTTGAATGTTCTCTTGTATATTATCCTGAACTGTTCCAGCCAGCTTGATGTCCACTCCTTCTTCACTTGAATAGCCGCTTGCAAATGCTCGGGAGCCTTCTTGTTTCGATGGTTGTCTTCCTTCTCTTTTGGCTCTAGCTGAGTCTTGTACATCCCTTGCAGGTACTGAACAATATATCATGTATATGGAAACCAATGGATAGGGTAAGTAAATTGGAAACAAATAATCGGGAAGGGTTCGAATAAATCTTCTTACCTTGACTACTTCTTTCTCGGAATTCTGAGCTCCTGGAGGTGCAGCAGCAGTTGATATATCTTGAGGGATACTGATGTCATTGACTTGACCAGTGGCCAAATCAAGCATAAACTCAGCTGGGTTCATGGCTATCTCTGGCATGAACCTCAACGAAGCAAAATAGTCCATGGAGTCCCTAGCTTTACCATAGTAAACCGGGTAGCCATCCGATATCAGCAGGATCTTGTCAAATGTGTGGAAGATTCTGCTAGAAGGTTGATGAATTGTTGTGATGATGGTCCTTCCTGCCTATATATATGGGCAACATCTCAAATTTTCCTGAATCTCACTCTCGTTACTTTTGTACTGTTTGATACAAGTAGGTTTTTCTTTTTGGTTACCTTAGCTATTCCTTGGAGAATATGGAGTAGGCGATTAGCAGACGTGGAGTCGAGGCCTGAAGTTGGTTCATCAAGAAGCAGCAGTGAAGGATCAACAAGAATCTCATGGCCAATGCTGGTTCTTTTCCTTTCTCCTCCTGATATTCCTTTGATGAATCCTCCCCCAATTCTTGTGTGCCTGCATCTGTATGATCATATGGTTATAACATCATGTTACAAAATGTGCTAAGAAACTTAAAACAGCAATCATAACTTAAAGTTTCTTTTTCTAATTACCTTTCCAGACCTAGATCTTTAATGATGGTCTCAACTCTTGCATACTTCTGCTGCCTGCTCATGTTCCCTGGGAGCCTCAGGAATGCAGCAAACACCAATGTTTCTTCCACTGTTAGTTGGGGAAGCAGCACATCATCTTGTGTCACAAATCCAACCCTGTTCTTTTTCCAGTTTCATGTCAAAAAAATCCAGTGATGAGTTGGCTAGAAAGGGTCAGAAAAAGGAAATAAGTTATACAAGTGGTAGGATGTTTTGGAGACAGTGCGGACTAATAATGAATGAGTTAACCTCCTCCTAAGGGCTGCATTGTAAGGAATGTCATTGTAAGTGATTTTGCCTTTGACATTGTCTTTAAGTCTCCCTCCAATTATGTTCAACAACGTTGTCTTGCCACTCCCTGAAGGACCCATGAGAGCTAGGATCTCACCAGGCCCTATGCTTCCTGTGATCCCTTTTAGTATCTGCTTGTAGTTGTCCTGCTCCAAACTCAGCTGTGAAGCCACCTTTGACACCACTGCCTTCACCGGATTCATCGATGAACCTCCTGCCTGGCCATTGTTCCTCACCTTGTACTCCACATCCTCAAACTAACCAAACAAACATCATTCATTGCACAACAAGGAAATACATTTTCTTCTTATTGTATTTGTATCATGTTGTTTGTTAGTTACCTTTAGGAAGATTGGAAGAGGTTGATCTTTGCTAAGGTTGAGTGTGGTATTATCTTCAATGTCTATCTCAGAGTACCTGTTCCTAAGATAAGTTTGAGACATGAACTCAATGCTGTGAGCAAAGCCATTGCTGCCTGCAATTTGCATAGACCCCATTGCTGGAGGAGGGGAAAGAGCTGATGTCCTTTCCTCAACTTGGTCATCCTTGCTTTCTTCCATAATATGCTGATGGAAAGGGAAAAAGAAGAAGAAAAAAAATTGTAAACTAAGTGTTGCAATGTAAGTTATGAATCAACTGCAATGGACCAAGATGGTTTAATTTTTTTTAGTTTCTATATATTAATCATTTGCTAGATTATTATCTGGTTTTAGCTCCTTTTTTGGTTTTTGCAGGAACATGTTTGGTGGGCAACATGCTTTCCATGACTATGGAAATCTGGAGGTTGGAGGTTCCTGGTTCTCATATACACGCACTTCTTGCAGAGTGCCTCCTTAGAAGATGGTTTGGTTAGAGAAATTTTCGCTTTTGTGGGATGGGATCTACTACAATTACCTTATCTCAGGGGCGGACCCAAGGGCCTTTATGGGTGTCCGGGCACACCCCCTAAATTTTGGGAAAGAGATTATCCAACCCCTGGTGGTAATTTACATATGGAAAAAAAAATTATAATTAATAGTTCGGGATTCCCCAAAATTTGGAAAAGCGATTATCCTACTCTCGTTTGTAGTTTGCATAGGGGAATATAAGTGGTATTTTAGGTAATTCAAACCCGAGACACTACTATTAGTAATAAATATAATTTCCATTGAGCTAAACTTTTTTGTTGTTTTATTCTAAACACTTTGTAATAGCAAAATCCTATTCTCTAACTTTAATTATTTTCAAAACATAACAATTAATCTAATTACAAGCTACCCTTAATTTCTATTGACTTTATGGTTGTAAGTCGAATATGCATCAGTTCCAGTAGGATATATCTAGACAAATTTGTTGAGTAGTGTAGACACCAATGTATTTTACAATTTTTTCAGAATATGAGGATACGTACTTTTTTAACTTCTAAGAGTTGGGCATTTTCTTTTTAATAATTAATAATTATTTTAATTTTTTTTTAAAGAGAACACCCCTATGTAAAATTCCTGGATTCACCACTGTTTTATCTACTACATCTTAAGCAAATCTATAGGAGAGATTCATGAGTCATAAGAAACAATCCAATTAAAGTTGACTAGATGCATGTGAAATGAAAGAGTTTTTCTAATAACTTTGAAGTTAGATGTGCTTAGATTGGCGTAGTGCAGAGATGAATGAACTTTAAAGAAGTCACTATCATACACTCAGAAACATAACTTTTATGTGGTTCGACTAGGGTTCCGATGTCGATGCCGATTCCGGTTTAAAGTTTAAACTAAAACTGAACTTATAAGAAACTTAACGGTTTAGGGTTTGCGGTCTCAAACCTTTTCCTTCTGGACGGTTACAATTGGTTTTAACAAAAAAAAAATCGATAATGAACCGAAACACATTCTTTGATGAGGCCAATGATGCATGGCTTGTAAGGTATAACTATTTGGTGCACTCTTCCTCTTTTCAGGTTTTTCGGTTCTCCATACTAAAACCAAACCATTAAGGGGCTTATCGGTTTTCAGAAACTGAAAATCAAAAAGTCCTCCGAACGGTTTGTTTTTTTAGTTTGGAAGAGCTAACAGTTTCTATTTTTTTCGTTTTAACGATTTGGTTAACCAAACTGATAGGCATAGGCTTGACTCAAAACAAATAATATGTTGGTTAAGAAAAACTGGGACGTTACAATAATTTTCACCATTTTTATGAGCTTGTATATTGTTTTTAATTACATAACGATTTTATTTATTGATTCATCTTGTTCCAAGTTGTTGATTCGGCTGATATTGAAAGACATCTTAGAAAGGTGATTATTTGAAAGAAAATGATTTAATGTATAACCAATTTACCTCAAAGAGTTTGATCTAAAGAGAATATGACTTCACCTCTATGTAGGGGTGTGCTACAGTCTGGTTTGGTTCGGATTGGGAATTATGGTCCAATAGTGAAAGGCATCCTCGAATTAAGGACTATATCAATATTGCATTCGATTCGGCTTGGTCTTATAAAAAATGTCAATATGGGTCATTTTCAAGTATTTATAAACATCCTAGGTTCAAGGACCATGCCAACATTGCATTCAATTTAGTTTGGTCCGATACATATGTCAATTCGAGTCATTTTCAAATATTTATAAAATTTATGGAATCAAATACCAGACCATATTATATTCGATTGATAATATTCTTTACCAAACATCGGCATGATCCGATACAATCCAGTGCGAAACCATGGCACACCTGTATCACTAACTTTTGCTTGATGAATTTGGTGGTGGATTTGGAATTTATTTGAATCCACATGATTTTTTTTTTCAAATCCATTGTTTGCTTCATGTATTTAAGGGCAACAAATTTGTCGAAACCATGGACTTGAAAAGCACATCACTTTGGATGGGAATTGGTCGTGGACTTGAAATCTATCGTTTATGACCAACCTATCCCTTATATTCCTTTTCTTTTCTCTTAACAATGAGAGCAATAAGGTAAATTTCACTTAATATATACAAATTTGATTAACCAAATCCATCATGAAATCTATGAAATAAATAATGGGGTTTTCAAGTGCATATTAAATCAAACCAAGGAGGAAACATTGATCGGTCTAGTTTGATTTTGTGGGTTAAGTGTGATGATGTGGATTTACTTATTGAGGTTAAATATTGTTTTATGACCTTAATTTTATATAAATAGACAATTTAAATCCCAATTTTCTTTTTCTTTTTTTGGTTGAATGATCCCAATTTTCTATAAACACAAGAATTATCCAATATATTTTTTTCAATTTATATTCTTAAATATTTTGGTTCTGGAAATTATTTTTGATAAAATTATATTTAATTAATTAATGAAAAAAATAAATGAATGGTCGTGGGGTCTTAAATTCGGAAATTATATAATTTGGGACTGATACTGTGATACTAAGGTTGTCAACCCACGGGTCGACCCGGATTAACCCGGACCCGGCCAAAAAAAGGGTCATACCAACCCATTTTCATGTCAGCCCGAAAATAGTCAAACCAGGAGAAACCCAGTCAAACCTGGGTTGGCCCGGTCGGTTAGCCTGTTGGAGCGGGTCAGCGGGTTGCTCTTTTGAGCCCCGTTTTGGCCACTGCGTCGCCGTTTCTGCGGACTGCGCGGAGAGCAAACGAGGAGGGGAAGCGGCGCCGTTATGCTTGGTTTTGGCCTCCTGGTCGTCTGGAAACCAAAACCCTACAAACATACATCGCATTCCATTTCCAGCAGCGCAACCATCTCCCTCTCCCGCAACCGAACGATATCGCCACGTCAGGGTTCTTCGGCGGGGCGCTCCAGGTCGCCGGCGGAGAGAATCATCTTCGCAGGTCGGCCACCACCGTTCCGTCTCCCCTCCCTTCAGCTCGGCCGCCTCTGATCGCCGCCTTAGCCGCCTGTGCCTCCACCCTTCTCATTGTCGGTCACCAATTTCTTCATCGGCGGAGACCATCTTCTCATTGTCTTTTCTTTTCCATTATTCGTGACCCGAGCCTCTCCATTACCTTTAGTTCCTTGAGTTATAGTCATTTGGTAAGGGTTTGGGACTTGGTTCCAATAAATGGAACGAAAGATATATGTGATGTTTTGTGAATGATTTAAGTGTTATTGAATTTTTACTATGTTGAATTTTTACTATGTTGAATTTAAGTTGATGTTATTTAAGTGTGTTGGAGTTGAAGTAGTGTTGCATTTTTTTATGTTGGATTCAGAATAAGTATAATATATTTACATTTTTCATATTTTTGGGCTAAACCGGGCTAAAACGGGTGACCCATTGACCCATGACCTACTAACTAGTCCGTGTACGGTTTGACAACCTTGGATACAAAATCCAGCCGAAGATCTCTCCAGTGTCCTACAGACTATAGTACAGATTACAGAGTCAATTCCAGTCCAAGACCCAAACGATCTTCTCTTCCTACTCCGGTAGACGTCCATGGAGGATTCGGGGGACGAGGTTTTGCTGAATTCTCTCCGTAGCGCCGGCGTTTCAGTCCCAGCCAACATTTCCAACGTCCGGGACCTGCCGCCTTCCGTCTTCGTTTCTCTCTGCGCTCGGTGCCTTAACCTAATCGATGAAACGGCGGAGCTGCCCACTTCTCTGCCCGACTCCACGGTCGATAAGTTCAAGATCTGCACGGACGTCGCGCTCGCTGTTAAGCGGCTCGGTTATATTGGGGATATGAGCTACTACAAGGTAAGCTGCCAGTCCGTACATTCCACTATTTCAATATGTTTGTTTGATTGCTGAGAAATTGCTGAGAAATTGAGGGAAGAAGAGGGATGATATGAAATGTTCTTTGGCTCGCTGTTTGAATGAGATGCTAGCGTTTCGCTGGATATTGAAGTCATTAGCTGTGAATCTAAAGCTCCGTTTGGTTTCGTGTCTTGAACTTGGTTGCATTAGATTAGATCAAAGCTGGAATGAGACCAGCTCTGTAGGTGCGGTATATAGTGTAGATGCCTCAATGCCCAGAGGCCAGAAGCACTGTCTTGTTGAGGCCAAGGTGGGTCATTTGCACCACCTTGGCCCAATTGATATGAAGTAAATTAAGTTAGGTGATTGTTAATTGAATACAAGATCTTCATATTATTATAGATAATTTTATAAAAAGTAATATTTTGTGATTTCGATTTAACTTTTAATTCATATATTCTCGTAAGTGAGTTTAACATAAACAAAAACTCAAAAGTTAGAGGTGTTTGTTGCTATCGGTTGTCATTGCAAGTATTGAAAGAGCACCTAGTACAATAAGCAAAGTAAAAAAACACTTCAGAATAAGATGAGTTGTAGAAGCATGAACGATTTTTCACTATGGTATCTTAAAAATCCCTCATACTTTGCATGAGAGAATTTATTTTAGAAAATTTTGAAAACATGAACTTATCATCAAACATAAGTTATATATTTTTTTCCCCACGTTTGACCCACCTTGGAAGATTTTCTAGCTACGCCACTGGAAGCAATGGAGTGAAAATTGTGATTTTATGTAGAAACACTTTGGTGACCTAGAAGTGTTAAAATGTAAGCTTTAAAACGTAGATTTTTATTACAATTGTAAGTGAAAGTCGCAATTGTGTATAGAAGCGTTTTGGTGAATTAGAAGTGTAAAAGCGTAAGCATTTAAGTTTTAAAAAGCGATTTTGGCTACATTGCCTAGAAGCACTGTCTTATTGAGCTTTGAGTTCTGCAATGCTGGCCCTTTCTATGTGCCTGCAAGTCTGCCATAAGGTGATGACCTGATACATGATGATGGTGTTTGATGAAAAGATTGAACTTTTTCCAGGTAATTGGAATATGGTTCTTAGTACATCCATGATTTCTATAAGTAGAGAGAGTTGTGCAGTCTTCTCTGGGATCTAAGTTCTGTTAAGTCATTACTGGGTGATGAGAAGAAGTGACAATATCCGGACGTCACGCAATTCTGATCTATTTTGATCAATTCTATAGTTGTTTGTCTATATGCTAGTTTAAGTTACACGGGGCATAGAAAGTTAAGTCAGTCTTCCACAAGACAGTTGCACACAGTATTAGCAAACTAAAGCAGATTGATCGAAGTAGCAAATATGTGCATGGAAATATTGCCTGCTCAGGGTGGCAATCAGTGTATCTGATAAATGTTCACTTTGCTGCTTCAGTTGAATTGTATCTAGTTTGATTTAAAAGAAAATCTAAGTGCCAACGTTGAGACGTTTAGCTCATACTATTATCCGAATGATCTTGGTGAGTGCATGAAACTCGACAGTCACTTCTTACTTGGGGGTTGGCTTTTGTGGTTTACTCAACTGATTATGCCAAGATTATCTCCTTTCTCCGTATATTGAGATTCTGAAATGAAATGATCCATCTCACTGCTTCGTTTCTTATGATAATGGCCACTTCTGTTCTTATTTTTTTATAATCATGCTGTTAAACAGATTGTATCTGTTGGTTACGGCAGCTCCTTTATCCCTCTGAAGAGGACCTGTATAAGTTATTAAGATTCTTGTTGGAGAGGCTCGCTAGGTCATCTGATGTGGTCAGAGAGGATGTAAATCCTGGAAGGAAACTGAAAGGGCGTCATCCCTTGGGGAATGAAACGGAGAATGCTGATTTTGAAACGTCAAGTCCAACTTACCATGATGGAGACTTGAAGGGTTCAGATATTCATAGCAGAACAAAAGGGTCCACAAGTTCCCATGCAAATGATGTGTCCTACGGCAACCAGATGGACCTAGCAAGTGAGGCCGTTGAAAGCCTCTCCATGGAAGAATCCGAAGAAGTGCCTCTTGGAGACGAAGACAACAATGCTGAGGTGGATAAGATATCCAAGGTATTTTTCATTTCCGCATCTGTTGATGGAATTTAAAATGTCATATCGTATATTTCGAAAGGTCTCAAACTAGAAACCAAAGAATGTTCTCGTTTCACTTGTACTAAATGTTTTTGCAAGTGACTTAACCTAATTTTTCTTCTACTAGATGAGAAATGATCTTGAGAAGTTGCAAAAGCATGAAAAGGACCTGACAGAGGAGGTAATGGCAAATACTGCAGCAACAAGGTGTATTGAACAAGAGTTTGAATTATTGAAGGCAGCAGGAGAAATGGGGCTCGACGACCTACACCCTGTTGAATTCTACATTGATCAGCTGAATGAGCAAATAGAAGCATCAAAGAAAAATGTTTTGGACCTGGATTCACAGTGGTATTTTATTTTTTCAAATTGCTTCATCTCTTGTTTGCACCTATCTATTCCTTTGCAAGGAAATCACTTCTACTGTTGTGAAATAGAGCATAATTTTTATTTTGCTTCTCCGGTATGTTCTGCAGGAACAATTATAGACAGCCATTAGAAGAGAAAAAGAAAAGCATAGAGGATTCTCTCTATTCAGAAATACCGGAGGCTCAAGGAAAGCTTCATAAGCTCAGGGAACTTGATTTGGAAAGAGAGTCAGTTCTTTCCGAAATTAGGAGGAGGTGAGGTCATCACGAAAAAATAACAGAGCCAGAATGATTACCTATAGTTACTGAAACGATTTTTACCATTCTCATCCCTCTCAATCATCTACTATTCTGTAGGGAGAAGGAACACTCCAAACTTTGTAGAGATCTCGAGAAGCAAGGCAGGCAACCATCTAGACTGTCCTACATTGAGAGGGTCAAAGAGATTACAAAAAACAGCCGGAAACAAGATGGTGACATAGAGCGGATATTGAAAGAAACCAGGGAACTACAGCTGGAGAGCAACTCCATTCAAGAACGCCTCCATCGTACCTATGCAGTTTTAGATGAAGTGGTGTTCAGGTATATTATGCCCTTTCTTTGTTTTGTCTCCTTTTGCTTTGTGTCCTTAATCCTTAACCTAGATGTCTAAACTGAAATGGGCTATGTTTTCTCCCTCCACAGGGAAGCAAAGAAAGACCCAGTTGGGAGACAAGCTTATCGATTGCTGACGAGCATCCATGAGTGCTTCGAACAGATCTCGGAGAAAATCCTAACCAGTGACAGGGTAGGCAGAGAAGTGGCTGAGCATGAGAAGAAACTGGAAGCCTTGACTTCTTCCCGAGGGTTAAACATAGAGAAACTGCAAGCTGATCTCGATGCCATTAGGCAGGAAAACCAGCTTCTCGCTCAACAACACCTTCAAGACAATTGAGCAAGGGAAAGAAGACCCACATAGTGCATTGCTAAATACCAGGAGCATGAATTGCTGTATCATTTCACCATTGCCAATTTGTTCCTATTTTTTGTTAATTTCTTTGTGAAAGTGAGTAATTTGTTTTTTTTTAACAAATATTTTGACAAATCATCGATCAGAATTCACAACCATGCATTCTTAACAAATCCATTAATTTATTTCAACAATCAATTATCCAAACTTTACTCAGAATTCCATTTACTTCATGCTTCCAACAATCAGCAACTACTACAAGCGGTGGATGATCTCTACCTGGTTTTTTCAACCGGGAAGTAAGGTAATGCTATCCATGTCGAAGCTGGTGCTTTGAAAGGAAAAGCTGGGCCATGTGGCCATGGGTCCCTTTTAGTCTGGTGGTTAAGGCAAAAGGATAACAACGTGAGGAAGTGGGGGCAGAAGCAGAAGAAGAAGGGTGAGGCAGAGACAAAGGAGCAGTCGTTGTTCACCATTAAAACCCATTTCAGTTGGCAGTCAGGTGGTGGCACCAAATGCAACGGATGAGATGACACAAGTGCCAAAGCTAGAATGGAGTGGATGCAATTGTTGTCTTGTGTTTATTTGGGGCGGTTGCCAGAACTAGCAAACTTCTGAACCGTGCTCTCAAAGGCAAGTGGCGAGTCATTTCTTGGAAAAAGGAATCACCCTACCTACCTACTGGTAGTTCATTTCATCGAATATCACTACTACCCTCATTCCAAATCCATGCCGTTGATTTGGGTGGGTTTAAGCTGCAGGATACTCTTCTCCAAGTATTCGATCCAGAATGAAAGACGAACGTACTATATGTTAATACGAAACGCAACACAATCACTCATTTGTTCTCGTATCTTACGTCCACATTAAGCGGTCCAACCACAAATCGAAACGGCTAATAGTGCACTAATTCAGTGCTTCCGCCTAAATAGGTTAAGTCAGGTTCCCCAATCATCGTTTTCCTTTTCTTTTTCTACCAGTTCTGACTTTCCATTGCAATGATGTATGTCTGTACTGTATGTATGCATGTTCACGGTTCACCAATGTAGTAAAAGACAATTTGGCAATGGCTCCACATTTTTTTGGTTTTTCCTTCTTTGCGCCATAGGACACTCAAGCTTGTGAATTTTGAATATAGCCGGTGAGAATTCAAACGTTAACAAATAAATAAGCAAGAAGCCTCTTTTTTTTTTTGTAAGTACTAAATTATTTGGATTTTGAAGTGATCTTTAATGTACTAGGATGCTTTAAGTACATTCACTTCTTTCTTAATCTTTTGTGGTCATCATAGCCAAGAAAATAGAGGTTTCCAATGTACCAATAAGCTTTGTTATGGGGTTGTCCAAGATCATATTTTTATTTTGTGTATACCTATGGACGGGCTTTTCTTTGTATGAATTTTATGATCATCGGTACGATTAGAGGTGACAATTAGGATCCAAATTCATGAATCCAATCAAATTCATCCACCAAATTCAATCCATTTGATCCAAATGGCCAATTACAATTTGGTACCTATATATTTATATTTTACATTTTGGTACCTAAAATTTATATTTTTATACCAAAAATATCATTGGAAAATTACATTTCGGTACCTAAAAATTTTCGTTGTGATATTTTAGTACCAAAACTTTTCAGATTTTACATTTTGATCAAAGCCTTGGATGTCATTTGGATTCATGGATCAATCCACCAATCCATTTGATCCATGGATCCAGCAATCTAATCCACGAATCCGATCCAATTGCCACCTCTAGGTACGATTGTACGTTCAAATTTCATGTCTTTATTAATTTGTTGGATATTTATAAATTGGTGTGAATGTTGCCTTGACTCCTACAAAACTAAATGGTTGAATTCGAGGTAGGAGGGTCAAATGGTTGCCTTAACTGAGACCAAAACATTCAAAACCTAATGGGTTTGGTTAATTGGTTACTAATATATATTACATAACATTACATGAAAAACAGTATACTTGTACTGCACCCATCGATAGTATAATGAAAAACAAATACTCCCTCTAGAGAATAAAAATAGTTCATGTTTGGTCACTGCAAATATTTAATTCCATTCATGGTTACTAATATTAGTTCAATAGTTCAAGTTTGGTCACTCTCCGTTAGTCTCCGTTAGTTTTTGCTGTGTGGCAGTCAACTATCATAGTTGACCGTTAAATGAGTGACGTGGCCAATAATAAAATAATAAAATTTAAATATTTACAATTTCCACCTCATTTTACAACTATTAAAAATAAAAAATAAAACTTACCTCCTCCCCAACGCCGTCGCCACCACGAATCTCCGATTCAACCTCCTCTCCTCCAACTCCTCCCCCGCGTTCACGCTCTTCGCGCCCCCTGACCGCGAAAAAGGTAAGTTTCACGCTCTCCGCCCCCACAGAAAGGCTGCGATCAGGGGATTGTTGAAGACGCGCGCTCCAACAAGCTTGTTGTTACAGAGCGAGTTGTTGTTGAAGTGACACTGCCCTTTCACCTCGTCGGGGCTGGACCCATCCCGTGGTCACCGTAGCTATCGCTCTCCGGCCAGGTGCCCGTGTCGACGACCCTGATTATCATCCCTTCTCCGTAATTGGACGACTCCCAAGCTGGAGAGGAAACGACGGTGAGTCCCAGGAATTTGGTCGAGTGCGTGGTGTCGTATTTGACTGGTGAGTTGTGAATGGAGTGGAGGAAGCCCGGAGAAGCTTTCATTGATTCGAGCTCCGAGTCGGTGAGGGAAGCACAGAATCCGTCGAGGACGTTGGAGTAGGAGTAGATTAGCTTGGAGGCAGGGGATTGTGACTGCGAAATCGACGACAGAGAGGCTAGGTGCCAGTGGTGTGGAGATTGGAAGGCTTTTGGTATGACATTGGAGTCCATTAGAACAATATGTTGCTGCTCGGTTTGGACTAAAGTGAGAAGAAAGGTGGCGAAAAAGGTAATTTTTATTTTTACTTTTTAATAGTTGTAAAATGAGATGGAAATTGTAAATATTTTTTTTTTATTGGCCACGTCACTCATTTAACGGTCAACTATAATAGTTGACTGCCACATCAATAAAAACTAACGGAGACTAACGGAGAGTGGCCAAACTTGAACTATTGAACTAATCTTAGTGACCATGAATGAAACTAAATATTTGAAGTGACCGAACATAAACGATTTTAGTAAACCCAGTGACCATCCTTGCAATTAACCCTTTAGAAATTGGTGTGAATGTTGCCTTGACTCCTACAAAACTAAATGGTTGAATTCGAGGTAGGAGGGTCAAATGGTTGCCTTAACTGAGACCAAAACATTCAAAACCTAATGGGTTTGGTTAATTGGTTACTAATATATATTACATAACATTACATGAAAAACAGTATACTTGTACTGCACCCATCGATAGTATAATGAAAAACAAATACTCCCTCTAGAGAATAAACCCCAAAAAGTACAATAATTTAAAAAAAAAATTACTTATGCATTTAGGGTTCAACTAGGGATGGCAATGGGGCGGGTTTGGGGCGGGTTTGCTTAAACCATCCCCATACCCATCTTCAAATACCCAAACCCATACCCGCCCCATACCCATGCGGGAGAATGTTTTGCAAACCCATCCTCATACCCGTGTGTTTCGGGTACCCATGGGTAATACCCATACCCGTACATCCAACATTATTATACCTAAAACTTACAAGAAAAGTTCTAATTGTAATTCTAAACGAACATATTATATCATGAAGTCAATAAAACACGATCATTTTTTTAATATGGTTTAAAGATTATGATCCTAAATATCCATTAATACATAATATAGAGTATAATATTTTTCAAATTATTATGTTCTAACTCTGATACATCTACTAAATAATAATTAACTAACATAATCTTGTTGACAAGGGGGAAAGTGAAAGAGTAAAATGAGAATTGAAAGAAATGAATTAGATTTTGATTAAGGTGGTCAATCAATTGCATTTCTACTATTTATTTTCTCAAGTTATCCTCATCATCATTGATAGATTATAATTTGATGCACATAATTTTTTTATATATGAAGAAATTATCTTGGTGGGGCGGGTATGGGGCGAGGGAGGCTAAAACCATACCCGCCCCATACCCATCAAACTTTTTGCGGGTTTTACCCATACCCGGTCAAAGCGGGGATTCCCCGCGTTGACTGGGTCGGAGGCGGTCGGATACCCGCGGCCATGGGTTTGATTGCCATCCCTAGGTTCAACTAATATATACTGTGGTTGTCTGTCCGGCTCATCTTTTCCCATAAGAGGTTAATAGTAGGCGACACTGAAATAGATATACGAAGTTGGCTCGTTCGACATTGATTGTGTTTGTGGGAAACAGAATTTAGACTGGCCACAAAAACATCGACAAGGTGATTCATTGCATGTTTTTCCATTTCAAACAAATTTTCATATCTTGTCAAGACAAGTTGTTCAAATCTTGTTAGAACTCTCTTCAAAGTCGTCCAAGTTTTGGCCATCAAAGCATGATAGGTACTTTATTTTTATGATTGTTAATCCTAATACTTCTTTCGACTTCTTAGTATCGTTCATGTGTCGATCTCAATGAAAAAACGAAATGGGTGGTTCTCTGTCTTGCTAGAGAAGATATCTCACCAAACTAGATCCATATTCTTGACTTGTTATCAATGGAATTGGGATAGTCTTTGCTTGTCCTCTCAGCCAACATGTGTATGTCTACAACCCCAACATATTTGCCAATTCACTACCCTAAGGTAGCGTGTTTCCGAAGGCAATGCAGACAAATCGAATGAACATATGTCATTGTAGGCCTTCTAATTATTGGAAACACTGTTCCTCGTACTGAGTGTATGTTACTGGATCAGCTGTTTACACGCATTCACCAAAACAAATGGATTTGATTAAAAGTTTGAATTAAGCCACTCCTCAATATTAGTTGGCATTTCTTTTTTGAGGAAATATTACTACACAATTCGTCTTCAACGCTTAATCCAATCTCTAATTGTATAATTGTTGATCAAGCTCACTCAAACAGCTATAGTATAATACAACCAAATTTTGTGGTCGATTATGGATTATTTCATTGGAGAGTGAACAATTCACGTCAAATTTAGCAATTCAAGCAGTTTTAAAATTGAGAACTGGTAAGTCGTATGTTATGTATACTACACACTTGCATTTAGGAATGATAATTTGAACTCGTTCTAGCAGGTATTACCCAATCTGATCCGTGCTGGGCGGGTATTACCCGACCCACAGTAGTATGGGGCAAGGCATGTGGCACGACTTCCGACCTCTCCTACCCTGACCAATTGCGTTCTTAACCCATCATATCTCAATTTGTCAATATTTATTCGTATTTCTCCAATTTGGGCTTTTCTCTAGTCATATTTTCACCCTATTAAACATTTTCTTTGTTGTAACAACACTATGAAACTTTATATAAGTGCTAGATTTAATCTTTCAAACTAGTTAACTCAATTCTCCGTTATATTATAACTATTTTTCATTCATTATAGTATTTTCACTTCGTTTTGTCAGAAAAAATAAATTTTTGCATTTATTTTTTTCAAGTAACATGTGAAAATAGATCGACTCATCCCGCCCCGTATCCACACAGGTATTACCCGACCGGACTCGTTCTTAATGCAGGGCGAGTATGAGTATTAAGATACCCCGCTTGTCATCACTACTTCTACTTGCATCATAATGTAAAGCATTTGGCTCTTTCTTTCTCTAACTAAAAGGTGGTGGTATGATGTTAAAATTGTGTGAAAACTCACATATATTTAACACCTAATCCAGTCCCTTAATCAAGCTAACACAAAAAGAGGTACAAATACAACCATTGCCCACTACAAATGTGTTATATGATTAAGATGTATATTGTACACTATCATAATTACCACTCTAACAATTGAACTATTTAATTACCAATCCTCCTCTCCTTTTCATCAACATAAATTTCTGGAAGTTTGGCTTCCTCCTAGAGAAAAGCAACAATGAATTAACAGAAACAGCGAGAGAGACGAGAAAGATAGAAAAAAGCGCAGGATTCTCGTTCTCCACATATCTCTCTCTCTTCCTTCTTCCTCCTTCCTCTGCCCGCCACCGCCACTTCTCGGGATAGTCTCCTCTCCCTTCCAATTGATCTTCCTTTTAACCCTTCTTCCCTTTCTTCTGCTTCTTTTCATTTTCTCCCACTTCTCCATTTCCTTTCAATCTCGTTACGCATTGTTCTTCACCTGATTTGATACTACATTTCTAACCCCAGACGAATCAATCTTCATCATCATCATAGTCTTCTTCTCCTCCTCCTCCGGGTGATGGTGGGTTCGAATTTGATTCGTTCTATTTGAACATTGGCCGGAAACGAAAACCGCAGAGCCCAGAAACAGGGGAATAGGGGGGAAACCAAAACAGAGCATCTGACATTCCTCTGGTTTTGGGAAAACTTACATTATCTCTTATCATTATATATTTAGGGGTACATTTCTAGAAAAATGGCGGTGATAGAATCGTTGCTGGGAAATGAAGCAAGGAGATTCATCAAGAGGAAAGACAGTGACGCTGGCGAAACAGGTTTCTTCTCCTTCCTCTGTTTTCCTTTACATTTGTAACACTATAGATTTGCAGTAATGGGTTTTTTTATGTGATTCTTCAAATTTTACTCCTTTTGGGCTCTGCTTTTTCTGGGTTTTCTTTCTTTTCGCAAGCAATTCCTCGGTAGAAATCTTACTGGCATTAATTTGTGAGCCAGAAGTAAGAATTTACTCCAACAAGCAAAGCAGTGATATTTTACTCTGTCCCCCATTGATCTCTAGGTGCTTTGTTATGATTTCCAAACCCGTAATGTAACCAACTATTGGCGGTTGTGGATTATAACTATAATTATCTTCTTTTCACCGTATTTAGCACCATGCTCTGTTTTCTCACCATCCCGATTGGTGCATTGTGCCTTTCGATTGCCTTTCAACCAGGCCGAGCTCTAGAAGAACTGAGAGGCACGCTGTACAACGATCTTCGAACCTCGGAAGGAGCAAAGAGGCAGCAGCAGAGGTTCTGCGGGCCGCTCGTAGCTATGACATTCAATTTCGTGGTCTCCATAGGGATAATCATGACCAACAAAGTCGTAATGGTGAAAGTGGGTTTCAATTACCCAATACTCCTGACATTGATCCACTACGCAGTAGCATGGGTGCTGCTAGGGATATTCAAGACACTGGCATTGCTCCCAGTCTCGCCTCCTTCCAAGTCCACTCCTTACACTTCCATCTTCTCCCTGGGCGTCGTCATGTCGTTCGCTTCTGGCCTCGCCAATGCCAGCCTCAATCACAACAGCATCGGGTTCTATCAAATGGCGAAGATTGCAGTCACACCTACCATTGTGTTTGCAGAGTTCATTCTCTTCAACAAAACCATCTCTCGTAACAAGGTAGTGGCGCTGGGTGTGGTGTCAGCAGGTGTGGCACTTGCTCAAGTTACAGATTTGCAGTTCAACTTCTTTGGAGCTTGCATTGCCGTCGCCTGGATAATTCCAAGCGCGATCAACAAGATTCTGTGGTCGAATCTGCAGCAACAAGCCAACTGGACCGCCCTCGCGTAAGAACGAAACTATTGGATAGTATCACAAGAATTCAGAACCTTCCCCCCCACTCACTCATTCCCTTCCTTGTTATAGGTTGATGTGGAAGACGACGCCAGTAACGGTGCTGTTCCTGCTAGCACTGATGCCATGGCTGGACCCGCCAGGTGCTCTGTTGTTCAAGTGGGATATCCAAAACTCATCTGCTATTCTAATGTCAGCTCTACTTGGGTTTCTCCTCCAGTGGTCTGGTGCTTTGGCCCTCGGGTGAGTCTCCAGAATAGAAAAAGCTCTTTTACTTTTAACACAAGGAATCATGTGTGGATGCTCATACTCTTTGCTTGCAGGGCAACATCTGCGACTTCTCATGTAGTGTTGGGACAGTTCAAGACGTGCATGATCTTGATAGGCGGGTATCTACTGTTTGAGTCAGATCCCGGGTTTATCAGCATCTGTGGAGCGATTGTAGCGCTTGGAGGGATGTCGGTTTACACTTCGCTCAACTTGAGGGAGACCAAAAAAGAGAGCTTCGGCCCACATCAGAAGCAGACGTTGCCACTGTCAAAGCCAAAGACAGAGCTGGAACCAACTCCTGAGGAGACCTCTGAAGATGTTGAAACCCTTTCTCTGTTGTCTTCCAATGCTGTATGAAAATTAATTTCAGCCGTAGAAAGAAGACAGAGAGATAGTAGATAAAATAATGTACACTAACAGTAGCCTGTCCTTGAGACTACCTCACAAAGAGGCATCTTCATTGTTGGGGATTTTGTTCGAGTGAAGGAAAAACCATGTACAGAATTACTCACATATTTTTCTCTCATAGTAGCTTACCGCAACATAAAGGTCGAGTTTTTCAAATTATACGACTCCGTACTTGATATCATAATGGATACTCTGCACCTAAGGGCAAGTTAGAAGTCAGATATAGCCAGGAAAAAACAGCAATTTCCGCATCAAGAGTACTAGCTTTTATCCCGGCCATTGGCCGGGTGAGTTTCATTTCATTGTGAATACGGGTTCTTTTTGTTCGGACAATTTTTTTTTTTTGTGATGATTGAGTGTATATCTTGCATTATTAATGATTTATCCTTTATGTATAATCATATGATTAATAAATTGGATAACAAATCAATGTTATAGGTTGAAGAATTGTATAATACAAATTTCTATAGTTGTTTCCCTGCTGTCGCGATAAGACTATGTTAGATTGAATTTCACACATGGTGCTATATATTATGAACTCAAAATATACATTTGTAATTGTATACATAAAATTTATAAGTCTCATATTGACATTTATTAAACTCATTGTCATTTATCAAATTAAGAATAAAGTCAACTCATATTCATATTCACTAAAGTTGGAACATTCTCATGCTAATTTGGCTTCCTCATAGTCACAGTTCGCAAAAAAAAAAAGACAAATATATTCAGTAGGTTGGCATGATTTGCAAAAAATGGTCATTCCAATTGTCTCTTTTTCATGTTTCCTCTGCAATTTCAATCTTATTTCTTACTTGAATGTATTTAAACATATATCTTTGAACACATAATATGCATATTAAAATTACTACAACAGATCAAAGGAGCAAATATACATAATTAGCAACTTACATGGGAAAGTTCATGAACAAAAATAGAAGTTTTGCCGTGGGGAACATTGGGCCATTGCCGGCTGCAAGAAGAAGGTATCGGTGGGATCAGACGGAGTATGGAGAGGAGTTCGCGTCGATGGTGTTATGGGGGATAGGGGAGGAAGTTGCCGTGGGGGAATATTGGGCTTTTGTCAGTTGCAAAAAGAAGATAGAAAGACGCGACGCTTAAGGGCAGAGGGAGGAAAGACGAAGAGATGGCCGCCGTTAGGGGAGTCGGTGGTTTTGCAACTATAAAAATAACATAATACGACGCGTAGGGTGGAGAAAGCAAGGTTAACATGGACACCATGGGCTTACGTGGACTGGGGTAAACCTAAAAACCATTGAAGTTTTTTTTTTTAATTTAAGATAATAATAAGATAATTGATCAAGGCCTGAGAAAATGCGGAAAAAAAAAACAAAATCCGAAAGTTGCGGGGAACAGTTTGGTGAGAAAGCGCTTTATAGTATTTGTAGATAGATAGAAGATAGATAGATGTAGATGTAGATTGTAGATAGATAGTCTGTAGATATAGTACGAGAACAAAATAAGGATTCCCAGAATTGACAGAACAAGGAGATGCTAGAACAAAGCAGAAACAAAGCTTCCATTCGCATCAATCGGACAATTACAGTTGTATAATTGTTCTTTGTTCCTCAAAATTTCATATACAGGTGAGATATTCTGAAAAGGAAAATTTGGTTGATCCCACCTATACTCAGCCTCTTAAAAACTAACTCCTCTCTCTTGTAGGATATCCCAATGAATCACCAAGGAAAGACCAAAAAAAACCATCAGAATGATTCTCTCTTCTACCCAGGAACAAAAGCATGCCCAATGAGATGGGGGCAAATGAGAACTGGAAACTGAGCTGAATCACACCCTGGACCTATCATCTTCTCTTTTTTCACCTTACACTAGTCAGCAATTTGTAACCCCCACCTATGAAATCAACTTACCGGTTCCTTGAGTCGACTCTGTATATACATTCATTCAGATCGCAACTAATAATGTCTCAAATCAACTTCCCTTGGTTCACCACTGACTTCAGTAAGAAGAGCTCCAATTCATCTGCGCAAGCTGAGGTTGCTGCTGATAAGATGCAGTTGGATGCGGTCCTACCGTGTTAGATGCAGTAGACATTGCCTGAGACTGCTGCTCCAACAATGGGCTCACTGTTGAAGGAGCAGCTATTGTCTGCAGAGGTGGATAGATGCCTGGAAAAGGGCCATGGGCAGCAGCACCCTGTGGTGTAGGAGTGAATGTAAGGTGGTGCTGTCCCTGTGGTGAGAGATTATACAAAGAATTCAGCTGCAGGCTGGATAAATCTTGTCCCTGCGCAATCCAGGCTGAAACATCACTCTGTTGGGACCAAGAAGAAAAACCAAAAGTCTCAGACTTGAGACCATAAAATGGAGGAAAGCGAAAATCATTCAACAAATTGCATGAAGTGTTTTATAAGCTAAGCTGAGGAAACAAACAAACAAACCGGTGGTCCTGATGAGAGAATACGGTTCTCCTTCAACTGAGATGCTGATAGATCTTCACTGCTTGCAGAGGTACCCGATGAAACAGCTAGACCAGGACTGAATCCAATGGGGGAAGAGCCATATGAGCTGTACAATGGAGGAAGTGCAATAGGTGTGGAGTTTGCTGCACCAGTTCCTGGTTTGAATTGTGGGTGAGGAGGGAATTTCACTCCTGGAGCAGTAGCTGCTGCTGTTGTCATATATGGATTGCCAGCTGATGGCTGTTGTTGTGACATCCCATTGTGGCTTAAGAATTGATGCATTGGGTGGAACATATAGGGGTTGAAATAAGGTGGATATGGGAGATAGCCAAGTGGATATGGGGGCCTCAGCAGAATTGGTTGTGAAGAAGCAGCTGCTGCTGGCGAGTTTTGTCCTTGTGGAGTTGGACTGGGACTGGGTGATACTGCAAGATTTTCACCCTACAGAGAGAAAGCTCAATTCAGGAACTAAGACCCTTCTTTGAATACTTCGGAAACTAAGTGTTTCAGCTAAAGAAATGCAGCATCAGATCCAGCCAAAACAACTATTTCCCAGGCCAAGTCCCCCTCACACAGTAATCAAATAGATTAAGGTCAAGCTAAATATATAAGGAATCCACAGATAAACATAGGTCGGCAAACACAAGCCAGATCCTCCTGAAGCCACAAATGCACAATTCCAAACAAAATCTATGAAGCTGAGCTAGATTGCCAGAAAAATAAAGCTACTAGGATGGGCACGCCACAATTGGGAACAGTTTCAGTAGGCTGTTCTATCTTAGCACAAAGAACTTTTGAGTTGTCATCTCAATTAAAGTACAATTTATAGCACAAAAATGAAGAATATCTGCCAGACTGCAACATGACTTACAACCACGAAAAAGATTGCAAAGAGAAGAATAGAAAATGAAGGGGGTAAACAGAGAACTATAGTCTTACAGCAAACGGTGAGATACAAGGAGCATCCCGTGCTCGAGGCTCATGTCCATCAAGTTGCCCATTGTGAACTCCCTGCATGGCTGGCAAGACTCCAAGTCCATAATTTGGGGCAAGTTGAGCAGTGGGGCTTTGATGCCTTTCTAGAGTTTGCGTTCTCTCTTGCTTTAGTTGGTCACACTTTGGATCTGCTTCAAGCAATGGATTGCCTACTGATGATGGAACTTCTTTGAGGACATTTTCTGATTCTGACTCGCATTTATCTAGAAGATCAATTTGCACTGCAGTAGATAAATTCTGACCACTGCAAAGTAATCGGGAACAGAATGACACCAAGTGATTTCAGATTATACTTACCCTCTAATGATTAGCAACAGATTATTCTAAACATTTCAGGTCCAACCATAAAACTACCCTAATGGTAAGGAGTGCATCTTCGTAATCACACACAATGTGGTAAGTCCTGTTACCTTTTCCTTAAGCGAAGACTTTTGTTTCCTTTCAATAAAACACTAAACAATTTCCTATCTGACTTCTTGTATGAACGTCATGCACGCTATATGTATATAATAAAAGCCTACCTTCTGTTACCTTTTCCTTAGAAAAAAGACATCTCGTTTCCCTTTATAGAAGACAAAGAGAGACTTAGGCATCGTTTGGTTTTGGTGATACTTAAATCAATGCATTGTGGTCAATGCATGCATTGTAATATACATGCAATCAAGAAAAAATGATGTAATGTACTTTACATTGTTTGGTTTTGGTGATAATTCTTTTAGTATTCAACATGTTATTTTACTTTTTGTGAGAAATGTCACTTTTGCCCTTGCTTTTATGAGAACATATACATATAACTAGGGGTATACTTGAAACAAAAAATGAATCCAACAATCTTCAAAACTATCTCAACAATCTCAAGTTTTAGTAGAGATAGTACTATCACTCATTTTGAGTGATAGTTTCCATCACATCAAGCAAACAATGCATGTATTGTTTGTGCAGAAAATTCAAAAAAAAAAAAACGATGCATTGTAACTATCCCAACCAAACTATCACCAAAACCAAACAACCCTTAATCACAGAAGATAGTTTTAACAAGTATTAAATCACAGACCTGGATGGTTCCTTTGCAGAATCAGCAGTCCCGTCAGATGATTCAATAGCATTTGCAGACTTGACATCCCTGTTGTGACCATTGTCGGAATTCATTCCAGTGCTAGAACTAGATTCAAAGCTTCCAAAGGTGAGTCCACTCTTTAAAGCCTGAGGAACTTTGAAGTGGTTAGGAAAAGTAACATGTCCATTAGAAACAGCAGGTGCAGGTTTAGAGTCTGGATGCAACTGAGAACCAACTTTTGCATGTCCATCAGCAAGTGAGGAACCTGATCGACAAAGGCCAATTAGAATCCAATTTTAGAAGCAGTGAAAAAGGACAACCAAGAAATTGTGTCACTGTTAGACCTAGAATTTCACTGAAGAATCTCATTGACACCGAGGAAGATTGTAGCATATGAAATTAACGAAGCATGCCATGAGGCAAAGTAACTACCTTTGGAAGGTGTGATAGACACCTGAGGTAGCTGGCTATCATACCCAGAAGAAGGCTCTATTACCGACGAAGTGTCTTCAGTTGACAAAGTCAAGGGCTGGAGGAGTTCAGAAAGCTGGCTCTTGTCAGCTTCTTTTGGTTTTCCGGACACCCTTTCAGAGTTCAAACTCAGAGGGCCAGCATTCTCAGTTTTAGTCAGCTGTGGCTTGGCAGCTTCAGAAACATGCCGAATTCCCTGAACATAATTCGGTTCAGTAGCAATCAACCGACTCCGTACTCTTTTACTTGCATCTGCATAAGAATAAGAACCCGGAGCATTTAACTTCGGGACATTGTTGATGGCTGAAACCGACTTCCCTTGGTCGTTCTGAGTCAAGCTATCAGCTGTCTGATCAGGAGCAGACACTGGCAGTAATTTAGCTGTCTCTGATATCACATCTAACTTATTCGCATCCACTAGTCCAGTTTTTGAGCCTTTTCCAACATCATCAACAGCAACTTTTGACCCACACCCAAGACTAGGATTCTCACTGTCAAGATTTGAAGGGACACTTGTGTTGACAGCCGCGACTCTGCTACAGTAGAAGATACAACAGAACAAGCGCCACAAAAACCTTTTAGTGACAGAATGGTATAAGTGTTGAATTATAACAAAACGAAACACCAAATCAAGTACCCACTTTGGTGGAGGAAGTGGATGGTTATTGTTTGGTCTCTGCGTTCCAGCCATACCAGTTGACGGGACTCTCTCTCTCAAGTGATTCCCTCCATTTTCCTTTCGATGAGCTGCATTCCTCCCACCAGCACCATCTAAAGGAACAGCCACCAAGACAGTATTTCAGTTATTGAACAATTCTGTATATTGCTTACAAAGATGAGTTCCAGACCAACAAGCCCTCTTTTCCAATTAGACAATAAAATGCTTAATAAGTACACAACATTGAGCCATGGAAACTTTCATCGCAACACAAGGGGTCTAAGACTAAATATTTATGCTTGCTAAAGTAGTTGGAATTAGTAAATATGAAAAAGATACAGCTATTGCAATATTCTTCAACTGATCAACAAGAGATCCTAGAATCTACACAGGAGGTCAACCCAGGCACAAAACATGTTCCATTCCCAGTGTAAAAAACCTCAAACACAGTATTCAGGGGGGTACACTTTTAGCATACTACATCTAGGACAGCCACAGCAGTGGGGGAAAAGCATGAAGCATATTTTAACAGAACCAGTATGGTCAATAGTTACCAGAATAATTTCCTCGACCACCCCTACCCCCTTGACCTTGAACATTTGATGACTGCAATGATACAAACAATGGGTTATCATTCGGAAGCCAACAAGTCAAGAAAACGTAAGTTACACTAAATAGATGCAGAACCAAATTCATATTTTGCAAGGTCAAAAGGTATCATCTGAGAGTACATTATAAAATAATACAGTTTCCTTCCTTCAACTACAACCCAAGAACACATGAATAACTAGATTCAAAATGCAATACAACATAACTTTTTCAAGTGAGCAATTTTAGTTGCTTCGTTATCCCATAAATCTAATGTAATAGTTTTAAGTGGCCATACTATGTCATCGAGGCAAAAAGAAAGCTTGTGCAAGTGCAACATAGAAGGTTATAACATCATTAATATCGCTAAGTATATGTTCCCTTGGTCCTTTGTGTATGATACTTTCCTGTATTTCTTGCTATCTACCAAGTAAGCAGTCAAGTATATTGTGAAAACATGTAAGTGCGTGTCAGACGAATTTAAACAAGTTGAAAAGGCTATACTCAGTTCTATCACAGCCTACAGATTTATTTATTTTTTGTTAAGATTCTGATGCAGGTTCCCTAGTAATCAAACACCTGGAAGCACGGGATGAGAAGAACTTTTTGACAGTATATCTCACCTCTTTCTTCCGTTCACGCTTCCTTTTCACCTCATGAAAAGTATCTGCAGATTACAACCAATCACAACATAGCATGGATAAGCCAATTGTTAGACCAATAGTGCTTAAAGAAGTCAATAGAATGAAATAACAGATTGACTAGCCCCAGGAATCATTAATACAATGGTCAGACATTCTCCAATTTTTCAGTGGCAGGGAAGTTTCTCAGGAATCCAAGGGAGGCATTAACATCAGAATAGTTAGCTGTTGTATGGCTAGACCTTCACTCTGTATTCTTGAAATCTTTTAAGAGAATCAAACATAAAAGGATAAGGCTTGAACTTGAAAGAACACCCATGAAAATAAGCCAGAAAACCTGCTGAACTCATTAACGTTTCCCCTCCAACAAAAACAATCAGAAGCAAAAAGGAAACCAATAATCAAGAAGCTGTCCTTCCCCACTCCCCCCCACATCCCCCTCTTTCCTTCCCTTCGCCCCGGGAAAGCGTAGGATAAGAAAACAACAACTAAGCCTTCTGATAAATAGTTACTAATTAGAGCAGCAATACCCCACTACTTCGCAGTATCAAGCTTGCTACTTTGTTGCTCCATTGACCGACACAGCACGGAAACCTTCCAACCCAGATCACAGAGTATTTTTTATAAAGGAGAGTGGGTAAAGTGAATCAGACGATACCCATTAAACCCTAGAACAATACATCTTTGAAAACGTAAACAGAAACCCTGACATATCATTCCAGTGTCAAACGCAACAGCTTGTTTATACTTTATACCTAGATAGAGAAGTTTCTGAGCAGTCTCATTGGGATCCATGGCGCAGTCCTTAAGCACGGCATAGATTTCCTCGTCGCTGTGTTGCTTCCCAGTGATCTCCCTGATATTGTGTATCACTTTCCGTGCATTCTCTGGGATCGCAACCCTAGCAGGCCCTCCACCACCTCCGCCACGAGCACTGCCGCCGCCGCTCATGGTATTTAACTTTCCCCAATAATGTCGTTATTGCTGTTGTCGTCCAACCCCTATTGGAGATGGTCTAATAAAGAAAGGGACGGAGAGAGAAGTACAAGAAGAAAGGGGATGGGAAAACAGAGAGGGTAAAAAGAGAAAGGGGAATCGTATAACTTATTTATAGCGACTCAATTCGGGTTTCGACCTAATTACTAATTAACCGTGATAATCATTATTAACACTGGGAAGCAAATGTAGGGTAAAGTCTAAACTTGGCAACAGGTTTGCAAATGGGCGCAATTGTTGATCAGCGGCTAGACATTAGAGTTTGGAAAGACTCGTTTGATACTCTGTTTATGCTAATGAGTCAAGTTTGACTTATGTTTTGTTCAACTTACAAAGCTTATGAGCTAGCTTTTTTTTTTTTTACTAAAGTATGAGATTGTTGTGCTAAACTTATGAGCTGAGTCACAATGTGGCTAGCCAATCAGCCAGTTCGACTAGCGACTTATGATCAAATCGACCTACTTATAAATTGGCTTGTTGATAGCTCATATGTTTAATAGAGATTCTACATATCACCATATATGACGTTTAATAGTTTGAATGTGTGAGCAAATATGTATCATTTGTTGTTTAAAAAGAGAAACATGTATCATAGGTTGCTTAATATAATTACTTTTCAATAATATGCTATGAACACTTAAACTTATGAACTTAATATTATTAATATGTCTCAAATCTCCGGGAATATGTCTCACATTTCAATGTTAATTGTCAAAGTTTTACAATCCAACCACAATCAATTATATAAATTAATTTTACCTACTAATTTCTACATGAATACACTCTAATTTGTCAAGATGAATAAGGGTGTAGATTATTAAAGGAAATCATTAAACTTACTATGATAAGGATACTTGGAAGATAAAATTGATTCTATTAATGTATTTGCTTCGAAACTAGGTCTATTTTGTTACTACCTTTTGTGAGCTCAAGGTAGATCAAAACTCGACTTAACTCATTTGCAAGGCTAGTAGTATTGGCTTTTAAGCTCTTCCTTTTACAATGAAGATGAAAGGTCTAGATTATAGAGTGACCATACCATTGTTTTTGTTTATACCTGGATCGTACCAGGCGGTTGAGTGAGACTCCACGACCCCTGGCGGCTTCGATAGATGAGAGGCGACCTTTGAGATCCTGCAAGAAAGGTCCTCAGGGGTGACCTGGGACCTCCTCCGATGCTAAAGTTAGAGAGAGAAGTGGTAAAGTGTAAATAAGAGAGAGAATTCGGTCGGTCGGAGTTACCATAAATGCTGCCCCTTTAGGGCTATTTATACTAGGATGTCCACGTACTAAGACATTTAATGCGGGGTCGGGCGGTCTGGGACGCCTTCGAGGACATTAAATGGAGTGTCAGTACGAATGTCTGATCCTCTCTGTCTGGCAGAGACTCAGTCTTTATGTCGGGCGGTCCACTGACGTCAGACTTGCGTCAGTGTCGGGCGGTTACCACGAGTAGCCAGGGTAGAAACCGCCTTAGTGTGAACTAGTCTTTGTGGGCTTTTGTAACCATGGGCCTTAGGCCCACGTATGTCAATACTAGGCCCAACATTTGCCCCTTAGTCGTGAGAAGCGTTGGGTTGTCGCGGCTACTCCTTTGCAATCTATGATGCGGTCAATACTCATGCGGTCCATGGTTACTTACTTGCCCCTTGTCGAGATGAGCTTTCGCTAGAAACGGCTATGGGGCGGTCATGGCGCGAGTCACCTTGCCCCTTGTTATTGTGCTGCCACATGGCCTGCCTCGGGCCTGGTGCGTTGTGGGGAATGAACATGGGGCGGTCTTAGTACGAGACGCCTTGCCCCTTGTGCCTGTGTTGCCACGTGGCCCGCCTCGGGCAGGGTGCGTTGTCAGAGGAAGTCCGAACGTCACCTTTGGGATTCGGACTTTACTATAAGTGGCCTTCAGTTCGCTTTTATCTGCCACTTTCCTTTCCATTTGCAAGAAATTTTTGTCCTCTTCTTTCTTCTTCCTCTGCGTCACGATTCGGAGCTTGGACTTTCCGGCGAGGTGCACTATAAAGATCCGACTCTTCCCGTGGTAAGCGCCGCCCTTGCGTGTGTTAAGGGGTGTTTTCTTCTTCCTTTCTTTTTGCTCTTTGTACATTATCAGACGGTGTCCCTCTGTCGCGCGTTGGGTTCCGTTGCTTTCCTTCTTGTTGCTGCAGATGTCTGCGGAGAGGCAAGAAGCTTCGACCGGCGAAGCGAATCAGGGAGCCACCGTCGCCGGCGCTCTGGATGGCGAGCTTACCACGACGGTCCCTCTCCCTTCGGCCGCCACTTCGGGAACTGTGCCCCCTTCGTCAATTACTCCTGCAGAGGAGCCTGTGCGGCCCGCAGCACCACCCTCTTCCGCCGCTCTCGAGAAGAAAGTGGGCGCGTCTACTGGTGGTGCGGCCTCCCTCGCGCAAGGTACGATTCATTCTCCTTCCGCTCGAAGCGTTCCCGAATGCGTGTTTGACCTATCTGGTTTGGGGAGCGGTTTCGAATTAGATGATTGTGTTTTTGGGGGCTCCTTGGGTTTAGATAACTTTTTTGCTAACACGCGCCCTGTACCAGTTGGGGTTGTGGCAACTTCGTCTGCGGTTGGGGATAATTTAGGAGAGTTTGGGGCGATAGATTTAGGTAGCGGTTCCTCAGGTGAAGAGGAGACAGTTAGTAGTGATGGGGAGAGGTCAGAGGCGGTTCCTAGTACGTCTTCGTCGTTGGAGGTAGTTGACTCGGAAGGGGAGGAGTTGTCGCGGTTAGCGATTGAGGATGCCACCTACACAATCTACCGTCATGAAGGTATGTGGGGCGGTCAACCAGTGCCTCAGGAGGTTTTCGAATACGGTCCCAAATATGTGGCGGCTCTGAGACCGGCACAGGTCCTCCATCGACTGCATGCTTTGAATCTTCCCCCTGAGTGGGATTATGCGGCCCCCTCCAAGGAATGCCGATCTGGGTCGTGCCCGAGGGTTGGATCCCTATCTTTGTGGAGCACGTGAAGTTAGGCCTGCGGTTTCCTTTGGACCCTATCTTGACACAGACACTGACCTGGTTAGGTTGTACGCTTGGACGTCTCTCGCCCTCCATCATTTTCCATTCTGTTATGTATCGATATGCATGTAGCCGCCTGAAGGAGACGCCCTCTTTTGATGCGTTTCGGCTACTGTATAAGATCCGGGATTCGACTAACTGTTGGTCCATCGGAAGGCGGGACAGCGCCATTGGTCTGGTATCGGGATCGCCCAAGCTTGACTCGCCTTGGTACAGGGAGTATCTGTTTGCTCGTCCCACGGGGCAGTCGTATTCTGGGGGAACCGCTCCTCCCACCGAGTATGCGGTAGGATCTAAGGAGTCTTGGTGTTCCTCAACTCAGTACTCTTCGGCGGTTAGGGATCATGTGGACCGCCTCATTGAAGGATTTCACCTGCGTGTGTATCCCAGCGGTTCAGGGAGTGCATACGAGCATGTTCGCGATTTTTATGGTCAGTACATGTGTCCTTTGCTTGTGATGTTCCCATTTTCTCATATGAGTTTACTTATTCTTTTTTCTTCCAGGTCTGAGAGCATTGGCCGATGCGGTTCGTCCCAAGAAGAAGAAAGTTGTTGTGAAAGTGAGCGACCCTCGGGGAGCGGGTCCCTCGATGACCGCTGCTGGAGCGGTAAAGGTTGTCGTTCCACCTCAGCGCCAGGGGACGCCCTCGTCACCTGGTGCGGTCACCCGTGGAGCTGGTAAGAGGCTGATGGAACCTAGTGTTCCTGTCAATTTGGCTAAGCGGTCGAGGACCAACTCGCCGCGTTCAAAGGTTGGGGAAAACCGCGGTAAGGCTGTGTCTCCTTCGGTGAAGGTGACTCAAGTTGATCTTCCTCCTCAGGCGGCCACTGATGGTGAGGCTGCTGAACTCGCTTTTCACACGATCTGCGATCAGCTTGTCATGCCACCCGAGTATACAGCTTCTTCCAGTGGTAACAGCAAGCGCCTTGCCGGAACCGCCACTCAGTTCTTCTTTGCGGTACGTCTATAGTTATGCATGTGAATGATTTGTTGAGAATTGTTTGTTCATTTCTCTGTGTCTCTCGTTTCAGGCCCAGATTGGATTCTCTCAGATTCTGATGAACAACGACCGCCTATCAAAAACCGTTGACGACCAGGCCGTAGAGATTGCCAAGCTGAAGAAGAGCTCGAGCGAGGGGAGAGAAGCGTTGCTGGGGGAGATTCGTCCACTGGTGGAGCGGGAATATGAGGAGCGGTTAGCCCGGAAAGACAAGGAGCTCAGTTTAGGAAGGGAGGCGGTTCGGAAAGCTCAGGAAGAGAGGGATCAGCTGCAGGAGCGTGCAAAGAAGTCAAGTGAGATGGAGAAGTTGTTACTGGAAGAGCAGGAGTCACTTCGGAAAGAGGTAGAGGCTTTGAAGCTGGAGAAGGCGGCCTTGCAAGTGAACCATCAGGCTGAGTTGGAGACCGCTCGTGCTGAAGCCGGTCCAGCATACTTAGAGTCTGCCGAGTTTCAAGCAATGGACAATGAGAAGTACAAGACCATCGTCGGCAACGCGGTTGCTACTATCCGTCATTGGTTTCGTATGGACCAACCAGAGGCGGTTTGGAGTACCGACGAGATCTGGGATGCAGTTGGTGCGTGGACGGATGCGGATGTGAATTCTGAAAACGAGGAAGAAGGTTCTCCGGTCGCTGATGGTGGAGGTGATGATGGCCCCCGCGATTCTTGAGCGGTTCGGGTATTTTGTGTAATTTTCTATGTTAAGACAATGCATCTTTGGTGCTTTTTTGGCGTCCTATCCTTGCGGAAGGCGCCTTGTTGGATAATTATGTTTTAATGTTAGGGCGGGTTCTGATGACCGCCACCCTGTGCTGGTTATGTGTTTAGACTTGTGTCTCGATTTCTAAGTTGTGTGCTGTGTTTCCTTAACGTATGCGGTTAATATCGAGGTTAGCTTGCAACGCGACTCAGGGATCGCTGGCGTAAGTCAGATACGGGATATGCGACCGTGTTTGCAACAGATAAAGAACTTGGCCGAAAATTCTTCAGTGTATTACATGAGCAAAAGGGGTTGCTGTGCTAGCCAACAATACACTGTTACAAGGGTGGGTGTGTACCCAGGCCCATCAAAATAGCACTTTAGTTACCGAGCAGTCTCTCAGACCGCTTCCGAGTGATATCTCCTTAGATGCATGCCATTCCACGTTTTGGATACAGGATGGCCATCCATGGTGGCGAGTCGAAAGGTGCTGGGACCTGTTTTTTCACCAATGAGGAATGGTCCTTCCCAAGCAGCTCCAAGTTTGCCATGCTTGTCCTTGCGTTGGAAGTCACGCTTGAGGACCATGTCTCCCTCTTCCAGGGGACGCGGTTTAACCTTCTTGTTGTAGGAGGCGGCCACCTTAATCTTCTCGTTGATGATGCGTTCCAAGGCCGTGTCTCGTCTTGATTCTACCATGTCCAGTTAATCCAGCAAACCCCTGTGATTACTTTCTGGGCTGTATGCTTGAACCCGGAGGGAGGGTAAGTTCAGTTCTTCTGGGGCGACCGCTTCAGATCCATAAGTGAGAGCGAAGGGAGTTTCGCCAGTGGCCGCCTTGTAAGTGGTGCGGAGTGCCCAAAGGACGTGAGGAAGCTCAGTCGTCCATGCCCCTTTGGCGTCTCCGAGACGTTTCTTTAGTCCTTGTAAGATGAGCTTGTTGGACGCCTCGGCTTGGCCGTTTGTCTGCGGGTATGCCACAGACGCCATAGTGAGCACAATGCGGTTTCTTGCGCAGAAGTTTTCGAATGGCCGACAGTCAAATTGCGTGCCATGATCGGTGACAATTGACTGTGGGATGCCGAAGCGAATCATGATGTTGTTGAACACGAACTTCTGTATCCTGGTGCTAGTGATGGTCTCCAGCGGTTCTGCCTCGATCCACTTAGTGAAATAATCTACTGCCACTATCAGATACTTCTTACCTAGGGGAGCCGTGGGAAAGGGATCGAGGAGATCGATGCCCCATTTGGCGAATGGCCATGGTCCGACCACGCTTTGCAGCTCTGAACTGGGAAGATGATGCTTGGAAGCATGCACTTGGCACCGGTGGCAGTTGAGGACAACCTCTGAGGCATCTTTCTTGATTGTCGGCCAATAGTAGCCTTGTAGGAGAATCGTTCTTTCGAGCAACCTAGGACCCGCGTGGGTGGCGCAAGTGCCTTGGTGAATCGCCTTTAGTGTCCATCGTGCCTCCTCCTTGTTTAGGCATTTCAAGTAGGCTCCGGAGAATGACCTTTTGCACAACTGGCCATTCACGAGCGAGTAACGAGCCGTCCTTCGTTTGAGTGACTTCCTCTCCACGGGGTGCTGAGGGGCGATATCATGTTCAAGGTATTGGATCAGAGGGGCTCTCCAGTCGACGGTCTCGTCGATGCTCATGATTTCTTCAAGAAGGTCGCTCTCCTTTGAGACAGTGATATGTCGGTCCCCTTCGAAATCCATGGCGGTTGCGAGCTTGGAGAGGGCATCGGCATGTTGATTGCCATCCCGCCGGACATGATCAAGTTTCCATGTGTTCAACTGTCCTAACGCACTTTGAACTCGATGGGCTAAGACCGCCAGCTTCTCATCCTTGATTTCGAAGGCTTCATGGACCTGTTTGACCACCAAGAGGGAATCGGAAAATATGTGGACATCTGACGCACCCATGTTGGAGAGTATCCTTAGCCCGTTGATGAGTGCCTCGTATTCGGCGGCATTGTTGGTCTTGATGTCCTTAAACCTTAGCGAAATTTCGTGCACTACTCCTTCTGGAGACTCGATCACTATTCCTGCTCCTGAGGCGGTTTTTCCGGCCGCTCCATCGATGAATAGACGCCATACCTGCGGTTTGTCTTCCGACGGAGGAGTCTCCAGGGAAAATCCTTCTGCGATAAAGTCAGCGAGTACCTGGCCCTTGATGGCGGGTCGGGGGGGCGTATTCAATGTCGTACTCACTAAGATCTATGGCCCACTTGGTTAACCGCCCTGAGGCGTCCATGCCCCTCATGATGCTCTTCAGCGGGAGGTGAGATAGGACTGTGATAGGGTGTTCTTGGAAGTACGGCCTTAGCTTCCTAGCTGCTGAGGTTACTGCTAGGACGGCTTTCTCCACTGGGAGGTAGCGGGTTTCGGCTGGAAGGAGCGCTTTGCTCACGTAGTAGACGAGTTGATCAGAGCCATCTTGTATTCCTCTTACGAGTGCTGAGCTGACCGCTTGCTCGGAGTCCGCTAAGTACAGATAGAGCCGCTCTCCTCTGATGGGGGCGCTCAAGACTGGCGGAGAGCTAAGTTGGTTTGTCAGTAAAGAGAAGGCCTTGTCACACTCGTCGTTCCATTGTAGCTTTGAGGCTGTCTTCTTTAGCATTTGGAAAAATGGGGAGCACTTGTCGGCTGACCGTGGGATGAATCGCCCGAGTGCTGCCATTTTCCCGTTGAACGCTTGTATCTCCTTGATGGTCTTGGGAGGCTTCAGGCTGCGTATGGCTTCGATTTGCTTTGGGTTGGCCTCTATTCCCCTTTTGGTGATCATAAACCCGAGGAACTTTCCCGCCTTCGCACCGAAGACGCATTTGAGGGGATTGAGCCTCAGGTTCTTTTGCCTTAGCGTCTCGAACGTTTCTCGCAAGTCGGTCAAGTGATCTCCTGCCTTCTTGCTCTTGACCAACACATCGTCGACATATGCCTCGACGTTCCTCCCCATTTGGTTCTTGAAGACCGCATCCACCATACGTTGATAGGTCGCACCAGCATTCTTCAACCCGAATGGCATGACCACGTAGCAGAAGTTGCCCATGGGTGTCATGAAGGCTGTGTACTCTTGATCGCTTTTCGCCATTCGGATTTGATGATATCCCGAGAACATGTCTAGGAAACTGAGTGCCTCGTGATTTGCGGTTCCATCGATCAGTTGGTCGATGTGAGGCAAGGGGTACGAGTCTTTGGGACAGGCCGCGTTAAGGCTCGTGAAATCGATGCACATCCTCCAAGCACCTCCTGCCTTTCTCACGAAGACGGGATTTGAGAGCCACGTAGGGTACTTCACCTCTTTGATGAAGCCGGCCTTGAGCAGCCGTCGTATTTCCTCTTCAAGGGCCATTTGTTTTTCCACCGATAGATGCCTTCTCCTTTGTTGGATGGGTCGCATTTTCTGTTTGACTGATAGGTGATGCTCGGACACGTGTCTGGGCACGCCCGGCATATCCTCCGGTCCCCACGCAAAGAGATCTTCAAACTCTCGGAGGAGTGTAAGTAGCTTATGCGCCTCTTCAACCGCTAGGTGAGATGAGATGCGGACCGTCCTCTCCGGGCGTCCCTCGTCTAGGGAGACTGCGACGTCCCCTTCGACTGCTTCAGGGCGCGGGACGTCGCCTCGTGAGTCTACGAGATCAACCTCCAGGTGCTCGACTGTCGCCTGGTAGCATTCCTTGGCTTCTTTGGCGTTTCCTCGGAAGCGTCCCATATGTCCTCCACTGGGAAACTTCAGCATTTGATGACAAGTCGAGGCGACCGCCTCGAATGAGGCTAAAAAACCGCGTCCTAGGATGGCGTTGTATGCGGAGGGGCAGTCTGCTACGTGGAATTCTACCGGCTTTGTCTTGGTGATTCCTCCTTCGCCGATGGTGACCTTAAGGACGATTGAGCCCAGGACGCGGACCTTTGTTCCTGAGAATCCCACCTGGCTGGTGTTTGATGGGCTGAGGTCTTGAACACTCTTCTTCATTCCTTTGAGTGCCGAATAGAAAAGGATGTCAGCGGAGCTTCTGTTGTCGACGAGGGCGCGAGTGACTTTGAACTTTGCGGTCCTGAAAGATATGACCAGCGGGTCTTCTGAGTTTTCCTCTTTAGCCAGCTCGGAGGGTAGGAACGTGACATCCGTGGTTGTCTTTGCCCGGACATTGAGGCATTGGGCTATGCGGTCTCCTTCCGTCCTAGGTCGTTTCCGTCCCCCAGCGATGGTGATGACCTCCATTCCGTCGTCGTCGTTGCGTTGGGGCCGATAGGTGGGAGATTGCCTTTGGGGCGACCCGATCTTGTTCCTGGCAGGCGACCTCGATCGTTCCTTTCTCGTCCTTCTTGCTTTTTCTAGGTCGGGGCTGTGAGAATCTTCCCGTGCCTCTTGCGAGTTCCCGTGATGAGGGCGCCTTGTCTCCAGACGGCTTCTCAAATTGCCTGGGGCTAGGTACCGGAGGCTAGCCTTGAACTCTCGACACTCTGTGGTGTTGTGAGTCGTGATTTGGTGCTAGTCGCACCATTTCTTCCCCTCCTGGGGTTCTTGTCCCGAGGGAACCTCCTGCTTCCTTCCTCCGCGTCGCCTATCTCTTCCTCTCTCGCGGTCTGTAGAGAGTACTTCCTTCTTTCCTTCTCGGTCAGAGTACCGGTTGCGATATGACCTTCGATCCGGGGAGCGTCTTCCCCGTCGCGTGTCTCCACGCTCTTGGTGATCCCCCTGCTGGCGGCCTGACTGGGAGCGATCATCGGTGGCTAGCGCCTCTTCGAGCAAGATTGCCCGCCTCACCAGCTGATCTAGTTCGGACCAGGAGGTCAGGGCCGCTTCTTTCTTTATCAAAGTTCTCTTGAGTTCGATGTTGATCGTCGATATTCTGAGGTTGCCGGTGGCTACGACCGAGGAGATGCCATCTATTTCGCACGCGATCGCGTTCCAGCGGTCGTAGAACTCGGCGAGGGATTCTTCCTTCTTCTGTCGGCAGTTAATGGGAGCTGAGACTGTGAGCTTGCGGCGCCTTTGAGACGCAAACTTTGTCGAGAACAACATCGCGAATTGCTCAAAATTCTCGATGATGCCTTCTGGTAGTGAGGTATACCAGGTGCGGCATTGACCGCTGAAGGTTACCGGAAACGCCTTGCATAGGTCCGAGTCGGACGCGTTGATGAGTTGCATTTTCAACATGAAAGCGCAAAGATGGTCAACGGGATCTGATGTCCCGCTGTAAGTCGGAAGTCCCAGTGAGGAGAAATTGGGCGGAACCGGGGTTTTGAACAGTTCCCTTGACAGCGGGTTTTGGAGGACGTTGGGACTCTTGTGCTTCCCGTAAGTTGATCGCAAGTGTTCCTCCAAGAATCCAAGTTCTGCTTCATCCGTGTCCGGTCCTCCACCTTCTGTCCGGGCAGGGCTGTCGGGGACCAAGACTGCCTTTTGCTTGTCCTCGCGCGCCTTTCCCTTAGACCCTTCTGCGGTCTCTTCTCGCGTCTTTAGGAGTTGAAGGATCTGGGAGAGACTGTCCTGCATGTTTGCTATTTGCATGCCCTGGCTCTTGACAACTTCTTCGAGCTCACTCTCGTCTTCCACTCTCGCCGATAAGCCCCGGACAGTATTGTTTTCTGTCATCCCTTTGAGAGGGGTCTCGAAATCATCTCCCATCTTTCTTGGCAATGAAGTCGTGAGGCCCCACGGTGGGCGCCAAAATGTTTATACCTGGATCGTACCAGGCGGTTGAGTGAGACTCCACGACCCCTGGCGGCTTCGATAGATGAGAGGCGACCTCCGAGATCCTGCAAGAAAGGTCCTCAGGGGTGACCTGGGACCTCCTCCGATGCTAAAGTTAGAGAGAGAAGTGGTAAAGTGTAAATAAGAGAGAGAATTCGGTCGATCGGAGTTACCATAAATGCTGCCTCTTTAGGGCTATTTATACTAGGATGTCCACGTACTAAGACATTTAATGCGGTGTCGGGCGGTCTGGGACGCCTTCGAGGACATTAAATGGTGTGTCAGTACGAATGTCTGATCCTCTCTGTCTGGCAGAGACTCAGTCTTTATGTCGGGCGGTCCACTGACGTCAGACTTGCGTCAGTGTCGGGCGGTTACCATGAGTAGCCAGGGTAGAAACCGCCTTAGTGTGAACTAGCCTTTGTGGGCTTTTGCAACCATGGGCCTTAGGCCCACGTATGTCAATAATAGGCCCAACAGTTTTCTTGTTCATGTCCACCTTTCATTTCCTTCCCTCCTTACCCTTCTCCTAGAAAGCAAGAAAAGGAGTATTGTTCTTATCCACTATTTTTTGTAATCGATAAAGCACGTGAGAGATATAATTCATATGGAACATTCATCCTTCATAAAAATGTATTTTCCCTGTAAAAAAAAAGTGTTTTCGAGTTAAATGAATGAGTTCTTGAAATAATTTTGAAATTAAACGTTATAAAAAAAAGGAATGACCTCACATTAATCCTTATGATGCGCCCAAACTCGTTGAAAGGTGAACATGGACCGGGCTAGGGCCGCTGGGCTTTGGACAGTGGAATCTGGAGTCCGCCTGAACAATAACAAAAAAACCTGCCCCATAACACGTGGCATATCTCCAAGCCGCCGGGAAACATCCGTATTGGCGGGATTAGGGACAAAACCGACAATTCGCCATCCTCGTAGCACTATCAAGCTAGCTTCTCTTTCCCTCAGCTCCTGCTTGCGTCGGGTTAGATCCGGTCCTTAAGCTTCATTGTTTAAGGAGGTTCTTAAACCATTTTTATTGGCTGATACTAGATTAGGTAGTTAATGAGGGGTTAGTAGTTAATAGTTAGTTGGAATAAATAAGATATTATGAAAATATAATTAATATTACTCATTAATGATTCTCTTTCTCTCTCCCCTTGATCTTCTCCATAATCCTCTCTCTCCACTACAATTAAAAGGAAATTCAAAATTAATTTAATTAAATATTATTATTTAATATTTAATAAATTCGAACTTAATATTTTTATTTTTTAAAATGAAAACTGAAATTAAAAATATATGACTTCGTGGCAACTTGCAATACAGTATTAACATTTTGCAATGACATTATCAACATTTATGAAATGAATCGTTATTATTATACCTCATCATTATTAACGACTTCAATATACTTATTAATTCCTTACAATTACATTATTAACAATTTTGGATCAATTGTTACTGTTTTATAGTTTCGTCATCAACGCCTATGGATGTCTGTGGATGAATCATTAAAGTTATGTAACATAGTCATTAATAGTTTGAATAACAATATCATTGATTTACAACATCTTTAGTACTAATAATTCATATTTTCACATCATGTTTATAACTATCTAGTCATGGTCTCTTCCAATGATTTCTAATGACATTATTAACGTTTTATGATCAATTAATATTGCTTTACATTATCATTCTCAATGATCATAAAACACAATACTAATTTTCAACATCTTGGGTACTTGTGACATAGTGCACCTGTGTGATTCAGTCAAACAAACATTGTCCAGAAAAATATTAGCTCAAGCAAACCAACATTCACGCCTCAACACCAAACTTTTAATAACAATACAATAAATTATTGATAACGAAAAGTATTTCGTTGAAAATAAACACAAAACATCAATGTAAAAATGTCCGACTTCAACATTATAAATGACATCAAACTTTTAATAAAGATATTAAAAACCATTAATATCGAATGATCAAGTCACTGATAAGGAAATAGATTTTTATAATATAAAAATATTAATAATATTCATATGCAATGTTTAATGTCAAATAGCATTAAAACGCATTAATAAGTAACATGTGTTTAATGGATAATGCATCCAAAATTTTTTATAATGATAGCAACTAATGATTGTTAAGTACCTTATTAGATTTTATTAATATCTTATTTTCAAACATTGATAATGCTTATACAAGCCATATAATAATGACACCAAACTACGTTACTTACTTAGACTGAAAGATTAATAACCATAATTATATCATTAAACGTAAATTCACTTTTGATAATGTCATAAACAAACGAATATCTAACAAGTATGCTTCTTGATAATGACATTTGACAAAGTTACAAACATAAACGAAAAAATATTAATAATTCAAATCACTAAACATAAGCAATCTTACAAATGAATTAAATTTTTGCTAATGGTTGTATTGTGCTTGGAAAAAAAATATTGATAATAGCACTTCAAATTATTATAAATCATTGCGAACCAAATTGATAAAACGATGTAATAGTAAATAAACTTCAAGTACCAAAAAATTGAAAACACAATTTCACTTTTTCTAATGTTACAAACAAAACATAACATAAAAGGTTAATAATGTCATATAAAATTATTAAAAAATATGTCGAACAACATTAATAATAACACAAACGAATATCTAACAACGAAAAATCTCAAACCCATGCAATGAAAAGCCCTAATGATGATTCAATTTATAAATATTGATAATGTCATTACAAAATGTTAATACTTAATACTAATCGGAATTTGACAAGATGTGAGAGAGGCATATATTTTAAATTTCAAATTTCCATTTTAGAAAAAGAAAATTATTAAATTTGGATTTTATTAAATATTAAATAAAATTAATTTCATATTTCTTTTTAATTATAATGTAGAGAGAGGGTTATGGAGAAAATCATGGGAGGAGAGAGAAAGAGAATCATTAATTAATTATATTAATTTTAATTATATTTGCATAACTCTATTTACCCTTAACTACCTATTAACTACTAACCCCCATTAACTACCTAATCCACTATTAGCCAATAGGAAAACTTTAAGATTTTCCTTAAGAAATGAGGCTTAAGGACTTGAACTCAAGCCTCCTGCACGGGCTTCACAGTTCACAACAAGTAAACCCTAACAATTTTTTCCATTCCCCTTCAAAGCTTCGTATCTTTCTCTCCTATCGTTGATCCAAACTCCCCACCCACAGGCCATAGCTCCTCTCAGTCATTGAATTTCTCGAGCCTCGAACTGCCAAGCCGAGAGATGGGTTCCAGGTCGAGGAACGATAGTGATGGTGCAAGCCCAGGGTGCGTACTTTCTTTTCTCTAATTCTGGCGATCTTTCTGTAGAGTGTATGATAATTTTAGTTCGCTTGTTGGAAATTCGGATGTCAGTTAACTGAAAAGTTCCAATCTTTTTTTATCTTTCGTGGTTGTTATGCTTTTGGACTTGGCTCTTTGCTTACCTGTGGTTGGGAAGCTATTGACATTGTACTCTTTACCTTGCAGGAAGATTTTCATAGGTGGATTGGCCGAAGACACCATTTACGGTGAGTTGGTTAGTTGTTGTTTGTCTTGGGGGGATTTTGGGTTGTTTAAGAATGTTGGGCTAGTGAAAATTCCTTGGATTGAGTCTCTAAGGAGACAAGACAATGACCTTGGTCATTGTTAATGTCAGCTTGGGGATTTCAAGAATTTTATTATGTGCTTATTGTGTGTTTTGATGAAATAAATTGCAGCAACTTTCAACAAGCACTTTGGAAAAGTATGGGGAGATAACTAACACGGTCATCATGAAAGATCATTAAACGGGACATTGTGGATTCATAACTTATGTTGATCCTTCAGTTGTCGACAAGGTCATTGAAGGCTCCCATGTCATCAATGGGAAGCAGGTGGATTTTCAATTTGGAATTTCATTTAGCTTCTTGATCTGACCAACCCTAGTGTTATGCCTATGCTCAATGAATTTGACCAGCATAGAGGTTCTGAGGTTTGATTGTGCCTATCTTTTGGAAATTGTGCAGGTTGAAATAAAGAGAACCATCCCTAAAGGATCTAGACAATCGAAAGATTTTAAAACCAAGAAAATATTTGTGGGTGGGATTCCATCTTCTATCACAGAAGGTATAGCAGCTGATGATTGTGGTTGATGCTTCTCAAACAGACATTAAATGGATTATCTTCTTTGCATTAGAGGAACTTTTCCTCTTTCAAGATTAGTAATTGTGTTGTCAAATTTTTGAAGATGAGTTCCAGGAGTTCTTTTCTAAACATGGAACAGTTGCAGAGCATCAAATCATACGTGATCATGAAACAAATCATTCTCGAGGCTTTGGGTTTATAATTTTTGACATTGAAGAAGTAGTGGGTGAACTTTTATCAAAATGAAATATGATTGATATGGTTGGTACTCAGGTGAGTTTAATCAGATGTTTTAAAAGAGTTCACAATGTACTGGGATCCCTATCAAGATGGGCCTTGCCCTGTTTCATACTTAATGGCCAAGATTGTTTTCTTTTCACTTCTGCAATCTTTCCCACTCTTTTGTTTGTTTGTATCATTCTTCTGAAATTGAATTGTAGCTTGAGAAATGGTTGCAGGTATAGATCTCAAGAGAGGGCACACTATAGTGTTTGCTTGCTGCCGAAATTATGTTAACTTAGTTGCATATGTTGTAGGTGGAGATCAAGAAAGCCGAACCCAAAAAACCCTCAAACCCACCACCTGCTTCTGCTTATGGGTCATTCATAAACGACTCATAGTCACCGCCCAAGCATGTCATCTACTGAATAAAGTTCTTATGTGCTTGCATTACAAATATTCAGTGTCGCGAGTTTCAATTTTTGAAAGTGCATTCATTCCTTGTCTTCCAGATATTCTGACAAAGGAAGACAATGTGAAATAGGGATCGAGGGTGGAGGGTATCTTTCAGAAAGTAGAACCACCCGAGGAAATTTGTAGCTTATAATGGGAGGGGTAGAGATGGTATGATGTTCCAGGAGCTACTCGATCGTGTGACCACAAGAGAAGATGCAATGTATTAATGACTCATTTGGTTCTGACACACCAGGCAAGTTGAGTTGGGGGAGCATTTTCTATGTAGAAGCCTCTCCTTTGTTGCTAAACCGTCCCTGGAGCATCTTCAGATGAAAACCTCAAGCTTAGGTGGTAGGTCCACGCTTGACGCTCCAGACACATTTATATTTATCAGTGATTCCCATGGGTTGGGAATCGGGAGTGGCCATATGCACCTCTAAGAATCCTCTAAGAATCCCAAGTCCAAAAGTTTTCCAATTCCGCCTCCCCTCTAAGAATCCTCATGATAGCTTCTAATTGAGAACTTGAGACGTGACCCTAAATCGTGTTCGTATTCCATCTTCTTTTCCACATGTTCAATCCATTCTTTTATAGCATATTTAATAACTCAGAAGTCAGAATAATTTAATAAATGAGATTAAAATCGACTATATTGATATTTGGATCACAGTCAAGGTTGTCAAACCCGTTTATGCTAGTTTGCCGGTTTAGCAAGTGGAAACGGTTCAACCGGTGGCACATACTGATTTGTACCAGTTCATGCCGGTCAATATTACAAATAAAATTATAAATACTCATATTTAAACATGACATTTAACGTTAATACCTAAACGTTTATACTTGAATCTAACAAATAACATCAATATTTAACTTTTATACTCATAAAATAAATTATAAAATAATCTTTATCAATTAAATTCTCTAAAATAAGGTAATTTTATTTAGAGATTCGTATATCGATCATTCCGATCATACTAGTGGTGTCACTCCGATTTTATAACTGGCATCAGTTGAACCCGGTACGGCCGGCGTGACAACCATAGATCACACTTAGTTACTTTTATCATCTATGACATCAGCCTTGACACTACCTTAGTCAATCATTTACTTTCTAGGGAAGCAACAAGCGACGGCAGGAACTAATCCGGCAACGTTAACCCGGCAACCAATCACAGCAAATTACAGAAAAAGCATTGAACAACCGCGGAAATAAATAGAAAAAGAAAAGAGAAAAACGACACTCGCCGTAAACGCCGCCAAGGCAGATCCACGTAGGAACGGAGTGTAATCCGAAGCAGCGGTTTGTGACAATCCGAACCAACTGGATCGGAGCTAAACACAGCTGGAGACAGGCTGTCACCAACAAAGTCCCACTCAGCGATTCCCTAACTACGTTCCTTCTCTCTCTCTTTCTATTTTTCCTTCGCATTTCTCTCGTTCTCTTTCTTCTCCCCCCTCTCCTCTCGTCTGTCTTTCTCTCCCCGTCTGTTGCCCCTCGCTCTCTGTCTGCTCCTCTTCTCTCTCTCTCCCCTCCCCCTTTTGCGTTTTCCGGCTAGGGTTTCGTCCATCCCATCCGGGGATTCGCCGATTTTCCGTCGACGGTCAGTGGATCAAGATTCCTTGCTCCGTAAGCTCTCTATTCATTATAAATTTTCCCGCTTTCGTCCTTGTCTCCGCTGCTAATTTTTCGTTTCCCCTGAGGGCAAGGGCTTTGCATGTATGGTTTTGGGGGTTTGCTTCTTTTTCCTCGTTGGGTAATTTTTTTCTTCTTTCTCTCTTCTCGGCTGCTTTGCTGGGAATTTTTCTTGCTGGCCGTCGTATGTGCTTTGGGCTGAGAATGCGTCAATGTCAGTTTTTGGTTTTCCGGTGCTACCTGTTTGTACTCTTCTTTTCAATTGGACCCTAATTTCCTTGCCCAAAGTGTGGGTTCTGATTTTTTGAAGTGGGGGTTTTCCTCTGGTACCAAATTCGCTGAGGGTTTTGTTTGGAGAGAGTTAGATTTAATTATGTTTGATTGAGTACTTGATGTTGTGTTGCCTGCCTGCCCGGGTTCTTTTGTTGCTCATTGTCAACTAATTGCACACTTCTATTGTTGGGAGTTCATGAATTGTGCCGTGGAGATCTATTAGATGCTGGTGAAATTGGGTGAGTGGTTAGCGCCTAGGGGATCGAAATGTTGTGAGCTTCTGTGCTGAAGATGTGTTCAACATCGAGCATTGTTGTACGATAGTGGGTTAAATGAATCAGTCTGCTTTGTCCGAGGGTTGCTGAATAGTCTTTTGCAACATACATGACTGATTGCTCTTGCTCCCTAGTTGCAGATATTTGTCTTGATGCCGCAGCAATGAAATGTTATAAACCATGGATATAGATGAACTTTGGATTGTTGTAGATGTAATAACGGAGTGGTATAACTTCTCAGGGTCGTTATTGGTTTGCTGTACTTTTCTTTAATGATCTGGTTTATATTCTGCTGGTATTATCAATCATAGTTCCTTTCATGCTTTGCCTCAAATTGCTTCATGCTTTTCAAATCTTGCTGTTTTGCTGACTACCTGCTTCTTCTTCTTATAGGTGTTTCACTGGTTAATAGACATTCTCAGATTGTGCCATTCCCAGAAATTAAGCACCGAGAATTTACTGATTGCACCTTGGATTACACAAGGTGTGTGACATCACAATTGGAGCTTTTTGACCCAGGAAAGGGATAGTGGCACATGGTGATTGCGAATGAGGGGTTTGACCAGTTTTAAGTGAAGAATGTATTGTGACAGGCATGCACTAGTATTACTGAAAAGAAGATAATCCTGGGAAGAAAGCAGCATCTACGAATTACTCTTGAGGACTCCTTGTATCCATGCTGGCGGAGAGCATGCGTGGGATCTGTGTTTCGGGTGATGCCCCTGACGAGATTTGCTGCCGATGTGTTCGGTGTGGTTACAATTTGTCTAGTAGCTCTCTTGATCATCTTCGGTCTCGTATGCATTGTCTACTCGTTTTATTTTCGGTCACGCGTTCGTAATCAGGACTTGCTCAGCTACTTCAGTGGTCCTTGGATAATCCGAATCACCTTCATTATATTTGTCATCTGGTGGGCTTTTGGTGAAATTGTACGGTTGAGTTTCCTGAGACGTGAGGGGAGGGTGTTGAATACCCTTGACTACAAATGGCAGGAAAATGTCTGCAAGGGTTATATCATCTCGAATCTCGGGTTTGCAGAGCCATGCTTGTTCCTCACACTCGTGTTTCTCCTGAGGGCTCCCTTACAGAAGATGGATTCTGGAATTTTAGGTCACAAATGGAATGGGAAGACAGCAAGATATGTTCTTCTGTTTTGCCTGCCAGTGTTTGTACTTCAACTCTGTGTTATTCTGATTGGGCCTCAATTGCGCAAAGATGAGGCTACCTTGATGAGATTGCCCCTTTACTTTACCAGCACAGCTACATCTACAACACAGAGCAGTGCTGTTGTTGCCCTCTGTACTTACCCTTTACTAAACACAATCCTCCTTGGGATCTTTGCCACCGTGCTTACCCTCTACCTGTTCTGGCTAGGAAGGCGCATCTTGAAGTTGGTCATCAACAAGGGTCTTCAGAAGAGAGTATATACCCTAATATTCTCGGTTTCGAGTTTCCTCCCATTGAGGGTCATTTTACTGGGGCTATCGGTTTTATCTGAGCCAGAGCGACTTCTTTTTGAAGCTCTTGCTTTCACAGCTTTTCTCGCCCTTCTGTGTTGTGCTGGGGTCTGTATATGCATGCTTGTGTACTTCCCTGTTGCAGATTCTTTGGCCCTGGGGAATCTGAGTGATTTGGAGGCTAGGAGAAGGGTCAGTGAGGAACGCAATGAGTCCATTTCCCTTATTGCTAACCAAAGCTACCCGGAAGAAAGCAGTAGGATAAGCCCTGACAGCAACTCTGATACATCTACTAAGCGAGGATCTATATCTTTTCGTGCTTATGGGAAGGACGGGGCTTCGACTGGCACATTTGTTGAGCTGAGTCTGTTTTCTCCCAGTCGTGACGCTACCCCACCAGGATCGCCCCCACTTCTCGGCTGGCCAATGCGAGCTCCACCAGCACAAGCTCAGGGACCGCCTTGAGAAGAAGCTTTGGCAGGAGGAACACTCTCAGGGTTGATTATCCTGGTGAATATCAATTTTGTGGTAAAGGGATAAGGGAAAATGGGTAAATGAAAAAAAAAAAAAAAAAAAGGAGGGAAAAGAAGAAGCTGATTGTAAAGGGGTTGGTTTCAATAAGGATTTTGATGATTATTGGTTTGCTTCCTAATTTTAGATATGATGGTTTTTCTTCAGGGTTAAATGAATGAGTTAATTTTGATCATGCTTCAATTTTCTTTTCTCCTCTCCCCCGCGAGTTCCTATTCTTTGTCCTTTGGTTCCAAGCTCTTTTATGTTTTGTTACGAGTTTAGCACAGGAGACTGAAGGATGGTGGGTAGCTGTTGGTCAGTTGCTGCTGTATATGCTCTAATTGTCTAATAATGGTGGCTTTTGAATCAATCCTTTACAGCTATATCGACAACTATAATGGGGGTTGTAGGCAAGCTGGGGACAAATAGCAAATCTGATCTGTCACCTGCAACAAGTGAGTTGTATGAGGATTTTTTGTCTTTGAATTATTCTTGCAGTCCAGCTGTTGGATGCTCTTTTCAAGCTGGACATGGTGGGAATTAGTTTATTGTTATTCCTTCTTTCCCCTCTTTGGTTTGACCAATATTTTAAGTGATAAATCCACAACTTCTCTGTCCGGTCGCCGGCGGTGGTAAGTGGTGACTTGGTCTCAAATTAGCTTCAGGTGCTTACGGAAAGGAAGATGATAATTTGTGTTCAGAATAGCGGAATGGGGAAACTTCAGCGTGCGTGTTCCCTCGCTCCGCGGCTTATGGAAGAAGGAGGCTAACTTTAAAATAATCAAAGCAGAATATTAGAAGTTCATATCCCTTTTCCTAAGTGTCAATGTTCAAAGTTCTCGAACGGTCCAATTCTCCGACGAGATCAGGACTCCTTTTGGTGGAGAATAAGCTGCAGATGGAGTCCCACGTAAACAATATGTATTAACACTATGTTTATGTTTGGCAACAAGGAGGTGCAAATTCGACGGGCAAATTGCAGGAGGGTGCAAATTGGTGGAGGGTGTAAGTGGAGGGATAAATTATTGTTTGGATGAAAAAGTAGGAGTGCAAATATAGTGAAAAAGTAATAAAATTATATTTTTATTATTATTATAAAAAATATGTATTAAAATTATAAAAGATGACCACAAATAATAAAATAAAAAATATATATAATAATCATATATATTAACAAATATAATTTAATAAAATAATTAATAAGACAATAATGCTTTAATAATAATTTATGGTAATAATTATTGATCGAGCAATCGCAAAGCACGAAGCCCAACCTATGGCCAAGACATATAACTAGCAACTAGCTCATGTCTCACACTCGAGCGTTGGTTGTCGACATGGTGATCTCGATTTGACTAGATGAACCTTAGGACCAATGATCGACCACCACTGCATTCAGTCCTATTTGGTCCTCTGCAAATGTCATCGGTCCATTTTTTTCAATATTTACACGATACTTCTTCTGTATAGTTTTCAACGCAAATTTAGTCAACCAAACATTTGCTCGTTCTACTTTTTCCACAATACTTCTTCTCTATACTTTGAAACAGAATTTTGAGTCATACTTCGTCAAACACATTAAAAAATTGGAGCAATTTGACAAACTTGCTATTCACGGACAAATTTTATATTAATAATAACTATGATAATAAAAATCAATAAAAAGTATGATTTATGATTCAATAGTAATTATAGTATTTCTTGCTATCTTAATAATAATTACATGTTTTTTATTCAAAATATAATTATTTGAATATAATAAGACATTATAATAATTCTAAAATTAATCTTACATACTAACCCCCTTCTCCTTCTTTTCTCTCTCTTCTTGCACCTCAAATTAGGGGTAAGGGGAATAGTGATTTAACCCCCCATTTGCTCCCACTAGCACTATTACAAATTAACCAAATGAGGGTAAATGCATTGAGAATGACATTTACCCCCAAAACCTGCACCCCCTCCATTTGCATCCCTAGCCAAACATAGTGTAACAATACTTCAAACTTCATTTCAGTGGCTATCAGTTACCGTGCTCTATTGTCACGGCTCAAGATAGGGTGAGTAACAACGAGTAACCAAATCTGGACCTTTCTTTTAAGTGACTGCAGATCTAAGGGTGGAGAATTAAAAGAATTTATTTTTCCTAGTTTTCTTAATTGGATCATATCTTCTTCATTCTAACTCGGATTTCAATTTTTTTTGCACAGATGGAACGAGTTCGTTGTGCTCTGTAAAATAATATCAATTTTCAATATTTTTTGAGAAAAAAAATTTCATCCCTCTCGTCACCAACTCCATACCATATGGTATCTCCTTCGTTGTTTAGTCATTTTCGGAATTTTTGCACAAAAGAAACGATTTAATCATGATCTATTGGATTTCAAAATTTTCTGGAGGAAAAAATTTCAAACCTCTCGTTACCAACTCCATAGCATACCATACCACCCTGGTATGAGGTGGTATTTTTCATACCATATGGTATGCTATTATTTAATACCATATGGTATAGACTGGTAATAATTGGCAAAAAAATTTTGTTCCAAAAAATATCAAAGTGGATATCATTTTGAAGAGCACAATTAATTTGATCTAACTGTGCAAAAAAAATTAAATTCCGAGTTAAAACGAGTGAGAAATCGTCCGTTAAAGATTAAGGGAAAGAAAATTAATGATTTTTCCAGGAGAGAGAAGGAGGCGCTGATGTGACAGATTCTTATTGGGTTATGCATGGGGTTACTCACCACAAGATTACTCACTGGATCTGCTCTCCTGTTGTCACGTGACCTGGATTGAATCTATTCCTGGCAAAATTGCGTCTGAAACCAATTGTTTGGGCTGGTTTCATGGCCCAACCTAGTCATGACCCGTCCAAACGGCTAAGTTTAATAGTACGTTTATGGCCCAACCGAAGGCCGAATTGTATATGTGGCCTGAACCCTCGGCTCAGCCCTGAACCAGATTTTTTGGTCTAATTGGACAATCCGAGATGGAAAAGGGTATTTGTAGAGTTTCTCACAAAAAAAAATCAAAACATAGTTTCATTAAATACAGATATTAAACGTGTTATATGTTTTTTATATGTGTTTAGTATAAGAGTTATCAAATGTATGGCAAAATGAAGCGGCTCAATACTAACACAAATATGAAATTTTTAAAGACTAAAGTATGTACCTCCATATAAGTGTATTAAACAAAATATTCACTATGATATGAAAACCCGAAATGAAATAAACGTTTTATGTTTTAGTTTAATATTATAGGTAAAGTGCATGTGGAAAGTACTAGAACAATAATGGGTGTTAAAGAAACGAGAATCTAAATCTAAATCTAAATCTAAATATAAAGAATATAAGATGGTGGAGTTTTATATGATTTTCACCATTTCAAATTTTCTTCCTTCTCCTTAATTGCAGGTAGAGTATAAAAGTAATTATATCCTGTTAGGTAGTGCAGCATCCACTTTGTCTGGTCCTCTCTGAAGAAAATCTCATCCGGCTCCCCGTCCAGAAACTCAGCCCAAGCAACACGCGCAAAGGAGCAGTCTCGTACCACATGCATAGGTCGGACAAGCAACATTATCTGTGAGATGACGTCTTTGCCTCTCGCTGTTTGTGAGCAATTTGCGATGTGCAGCTAGCCAAAATTGGGTGTGTTCCACATGATTGTTCTTCGTCATCTGTAAGAGAGTATGCGGTCTAGCATATGTTTGAGAAGAGTCTTGAGATGCCGTCTAGCAGATGTAGGCGTACGGTTGCTCTTCAGAAGCAGGTTGAGGAAGCTTTTGCCAAGACAGGAGCTATCCTCGGTGGTAGTATGACCAGTTTGCGGGAGATGATAGCCTGGAAGCCGCACCCTAGCGGGTGGCACTGCTTGAACTTTGATGGGTCGGTGGTAGCTGGGCATGCCGCTGCAGGGGGTGTCATTAGAGGTGAGGATGGTCGATTGAATTTGTAGGGATTACTCGTGGACTCCACATTGCATGGGAGATGGGGATCCGGAAGCTGGTTGTTCAGACTCATTCGAAGACAGCCTTGCAGCTACTCACGTCGGCCAGGACGCGGCACCCGCATTTAGCTTTGATACAAGAAGCTCAGCGTCTTCTTGCTCAGGAATGGGAGGTGGAGATTTATCATGTTTTTCGGGAGGGTAATGTTGTTGCTGATTACTTGGCGTCTGTAGGCCACGACCTTCCGCCGGGTGATCACGACATCATTAATCCTTGCCCGATGCTTTCGTATTGGCTGTACTATGACTCAATTGGGGTTAGCTTGCCCCGTTTGATTTCTGCTATTAATTAAAGGTTGGGGTGCCCGTTAGCGCCCTGTTTCAAAAAAAAAAAAAAAGAAGTAATTATATCATAATTTTAGAATTGAAAAAGATTTTTCTCTTGATTTTCGGTAGTGTATACAAAAAGCTGGTAGAGAGAAAAGAAAATATTACTGGGAAATAAAATAATATAAAAAGATGTTTCAAATTAAAACAATAAACTTTTATATTTTCATGGAACAATTTCCAATTTTTTTTGGAATATCATATGATTATGAACTCAAAAATTAAAATAAAACAAAAGGATGTTTAAATTTTTTGAAATCTATTGTCTTTTCTTAATCTTTTATATTTTCCGCGGAACATTTTTTTGGATTATCATTAAATTATGATTTTTTAATGATCAATATGTAAACTTCATTTATGTGTTTTTTTATCACGAATTCTAAATTAACGAATAATTTGGTATTGTATTTGATTGTTTGAGTTTTTTTTTGTACCATTTCAGTAAATTACTTCTCATTGACAAATTATTTTTTATGTTATAGCAATGCAGCTACAAATTGAATAATAATTCACCGGAAAAATATATAGTGTACAAAACGTTCTTATAATTTTTGGATAAAAGAAGAGCAAATGATATAGATGATGAGAAGCTATGTAATTTCTTCCTTTCCGCAAAAGTTATAATAATATAAATAACATAGAAATAATTTCATTAATGATATGAATATCGTGATAAATCTGCTAATACTATGACCAAACTTTGAATTCCTTTCTTGGTTCCATCTCACTTTTTGTAGGGGCTTCAAAGTAGTTGCAGTCTAGCGGACGATGAACCTTTCTCGCGACCAGCGTGGCTTTCTGCTTGCGCCGCGACTGCTGAATTGCGGTTCCTTTTTTTGTGCGCCTACCTCCACCATTTCTTTCGTGGTCATGTACGTAATTTTAAATATTTTATTTATTATTTTACTTACTTATTTTAATGGTACTCAAGCCTATTTGTCAAGATACAATTTTGGTGCGTTTGGGTGTCCTAGTGTTTATTGTGTCCAATTGCACGATCTTATGGTTTTAGATGAGTGCCAACTTTTATTTGCTAAATTCTGTCATGTTCAACCATTTGTTTAGCTAGGGTTTTGGTGATTTGTATTGATAGGAGCGCAACTTGCATAAGGCTAAATGGTTTCGGTGTTTTGTTGTTCAAGTTGTGATGTCTAATCTATGAACTTGTGGTGATCATATTTTGTATGGACCTTTCAATTGGTGGATTGTTGCTTCATGACGAGCGGGGTGACCATGCTCAGATTAGTGGCTCATTTTGAGAGATCCATGAGAGGCGGTTGTGGTGGTGGTGCAGTGTCATCAACTTTAATGTTGCAACATCTATGTCGCATCCAGTCGCAGCACTTTAGGTTGGTTGGCTTTGGCCTGTGGGTGAGAGGTGTCTCGACTGCTTGTGTTGGGAGTGATCCTTCCGGCTCTATGTGCAATGGGTAAGTTTTCTGCAAGCATCCATGATTCTTTTCTTGCAGAATTATTGGCATGGAGTGATGTCTTGGATTGGTGCCTCACACATGATTTTTTTGCTCAAATTGCATGGAATTCATAACTGATTATCTAGTGGCTCTTGGCGGGTGACTCTCATCATGTAAAGGGTGATTTGCTCTTGGAAGATATTCTTCGTTTGTCAGGATCCTTTGAGTTTTGTTCTTGCTCGCATGTTACTCATTGAGTTAATAGAGCAGCCCATTTTGTGGCAAAAAACGCTCTCCCGTCGAAAGTTCGACGATTAGTCGACTTTCGCGCGTGGATTTGTTATGTTCTTTGACTATATATCCGGGATTTCGTCCGGTTTTGACTATGTTAAAAAAAAAACTTTGGATAATTTGCCGAATAAAACATTTATTTAAAAATTATTGAAAAAATCTAATTTTCATTAAATAATTAAATTATATAATCAAATATTCCGCCCTACGCGCCGGCTACATGCTAGTGAGTAGGGGTGGGCATTCGGTCGGTTCGGTTTCGATCGAACCGAAATTATGAATACCGGGTCCCCAAATTCTCTCAAACCTCAAACCGAATTATAATTCGGTTCGTTCGGTTTAAACCGAGATATAATTCGGTTCGTTTTTTCACATAAAACTGAATTTGTGAGGTTACTTGTATCTTCTCACTTTTAAATTATTTTTCAACCTTAATATAAACAATAAATATGCAATTATATGCATAATCAATGATAAAATCAAACTTTCAACACATAAGCCATAAAATATTTCAATTATTTAAGTCTAAAAACAACTACAAACATAAAAATCTATCATTTGGAGGTTGCAATTATAATATTTCAGTTTTTCGGTCAGAATTTTGGAATTTCGGTTCGGTTGAAAGAACCCTGATTTTCGAAATATTGATATTTTCCTTCCTAATTCCAAACCAAATAACATTATTTCGGCTTCGACTCGGTTTAGTTCGGTTCGGGTTTACCGAACCGTTTGCCCACCCCGTGGTGAGGAAGGGGCAGAAGTGGAATGAAAGAAAAAGTCGTGTTAAGGGGCGTGTGTACCGCCACCGCCTCACAAACTTCTCTTTGTATCCTCTTTTCTCGCAGCTTCCTCCCCGTTCTTATTTCTAGCTTCAGATCTACGACCTTCCTCCATCTGAAGAAACACCCCAAACCCTAGAGCTCTCCTCCATTCCGCAATCTACCCTCTCTCTCGCCCTCTCACAGCGATGGCGTCGTTCAACGAAGCTCCCCCCGGCAATGCAGAAAGCGGCGCCAAGATCTTCAAGATGAAGTGCGCCCAGTGCCACACCGTCGAGAAAGGCGCTGGTCACAAACAAGGTTTGCCGTTGTGACGAACTTCTGGTTTTCTCCCGGCTTTCGATCTCCGTGGTTCTGATTTATTCGATCTGTTTCACGATGTATGCGAATTTGTTGTTTTTTTTTTGTTGCTTATCACTTTGCGTTTCGATTGTTTCCGAAGCTCTGTTCTCTATGGTATTCAACGATGATTAGGTTCAGATTCTTAATGGGTGGTGAGGCTTCAGCTTTGGGGTGGTAAGGTTAAGATTAGCGGTGATCGGGCAATCTATTTGATGCCGTTCTCTTTCTCATTTCCTCTTTTTGGGAAAGGAACCATATTTTTGGGAGATTCTTGAATGGGACTGTTTTCTCGCTTCTTTCTTGTGCTTTACTATTGAATTGAACTCGATTGTTACATCGTATTGGGGTTGCATGCGACGATGGTTCTATGTTGTTGTGCTGTGAAGGGGATTTTGCTCGTCGATTTGGTGTTCGTAGATTGAGTTGTGGGTGGTTAATGCAATGTGCAGGGCCGAATTTGAATGGACTTTTTGGAAGGCAGTCTGGTACAACCGCGGGCTATTCCTACTCTGCTGCTAACAAGAACATGGCTGTCAATTGGGGAGAAAATACGTTGTACGACTACTTGCTTAATCCGAAGAAGGTAGGACATTCTTCCTTGTTAAATTCTGGATATAAGTTGGCTGATTTTGCTGGTAGGAAGCGTTTTCTTGCCTCCTTGGGCCTCATTTCTCCGTTTTGTTTCTGAAGATTGAATATAAGTATTGTTGTCGTGATATATTAGACAATTAAGATTACCCTTTGTGGCGGTCTGCGACTTGTGCCCTGTGTTGAACGTTAGTTTTGGCTGTGAAATGGATCTTCACTTTCGGATGGCCGAAAGAATGAGGAACCCGGTGAGTTGCATGGTAGTTTCATATGGTAGTTCGAAGCTACGAAGTAGTAATCATTTAGCACCCTCAAGTAGTTCTCCTCATCAATTATTATTTAGTAACAGTCGGCTCTTGCCTCCTCTCCTTTACTCATTTAAGTATCACATATGAAGAACAGGTCATTCGATGGCGTGGGAAATTGGGAGGCACTGTCTACAGTCTAGTATTATACCTGTCTATTAGTTTTTTTTTTAACGTACAAGCTAGTTTTTACTGACGTGAAGTTGGTACTTGTTCTGATACCATATGTGGGTGAGTTTTTATTCGTGCTTTGCAGCCCTGAACAAAATTTTGCAATGACTGAAGCATCTAGCAGCTCCCTTTGATGTGCGAGGCGCTCAGTTTGTCTCAACTATAGACCTTATGGCTGATTGTTGTGTTTTTTTTCCCCTTCTTTCTTGCAGTACATTCCTGGAACTAAGATGGTGTTCCCTGGATTGAAGAAGCCACAGGATCGTGCAGACCTTATTGCATACCTGAAGGCATCGACTGCTTGATTCTTGTGCCAGTTTTGACACAAATTTATGTTTACCATTTGTCACTGGTTAATAGTTGTCCCGAATTGGACTTTGTTTTTTTTTCCTGAAAGAGAAACATTAGGCATTTCTTGAAAATAAAGACAGCGATTAGGGTGGGTAAGCCCTGTGTTATTTTGGATTAGGGGAAAGAATATACTTGTTTGAGACTTCTGATGTGAGGCCGTCTGGTAGACCTCAGAATTCAATATCCAAAAGCCTTATATGAGGAGCTAGATTATTGCTCTTTTTCTTCTTCTTCTTCTTCTTCTTCTTCTTCTTCCGGGTGGTAGACTGATAATGCCTGTTTTTTTTACTGCTGTGATTCAAATTTGTTTGGATGATTTGTGCTGCTCATATACTTGTTCATAGTCTTTTGAAGACTTGTGAAGCATAAAAGTCAAACAGAGTTATTTTCTCAAGACTCGTGATTCTGGCGTAACAGGTGATTGGCATGTGCAGAACTCACTGTTGGAAAGCTAAGAATGATTGATTTGGCCAAATATGTCTATTCGTTCGACTTGGTTTACCACACGACACAACATGGAGATGGAGTGCTGCGAGTTCCTTACACTATGTTTCCGAAGTGTGAGTTCCTAAGTTGTCTTTCCCAATATATTATTGATATTCAAATCATATGATCTTGCGTTCCTTGTAATGGCGGAGCTAAGTGTAGGATAGAAGAGGCCAACTATCAACTATGGTCCTAGGTTGCAAAATTCTAACCTGAAAATCTATGTAGTGGGAAAACTCTAGTATGTGGAACTTAAGGCATGGAAAATTTTAATCGCTCAACCATTTCATGGAGGATAGAAGCACCTGTGGTGCATATTAACACTGATGCTGGTTGAAGACTTAGCGGCGGAGTTCGTGTTGCAGCTCGCTCATCAGCTTCAAATTGTTCAATCTTGAAAATCGATTTGTCCCTTATAAGCTGCTTGAGGCAGAGACAACTTACACGGAGATCAACACAATATATAGAAAGCATTTGCAGGGGGAAAAATCCCACTGTACATATGTTCTTAAAAAATTTTCCCAAAATACATAAGTTATAAATTTTTTCCCCAAAGTACACATGTTTGGCATTCACCGTTTTTGACAAACGCAGTGAAGACTATCACAGCGTTTGACAAAGACGGTGAATATTTCACCGTTAAAGAAAAAACGGTGACGTATTCACCGTTCTTCTCTAAAACGGTGAACAACGAGCGAGTCAATCACCGTTTTAGAGGCAAACGGTGAATAGATCACCGTTTTAATGAAACGCGGTGTATATTAAACCGTTTCTTTAGGCCACAATGAAGCGACGCGGATCGCTGACGTGGACAAACGCGGTGTATTCACCGCGTTAGGCAAACACGGTGAATACCCTGTGTTTGTCTGCGTCAGCGATACGCGTCGCTTTTCCTTTCACCGTGGCCGTCAGATGCGGTGAGGCGAGGATCGTGGTTTTCTTCCCAGATCCGACGCCTCACAGCAAGTCACGTCGCCCCTTTCACCGTCTTCGATAAAGGCGGTGTATTCACCGTCTTCGTCGAATACGGTGAAACATCCCCAATTAAATTCTCGGCAGAACCCTTCCCCCCCTTCCCCCCACTATAAATAGACCCTCCCCCACTTACAAATCACACCACAACAATTACAATTCTTTCTCCCTCAATTTATCCGCTCTAGTCTCGTTCTAAGTATGCTCCGTGGTTGCGGCTAAGTCCGATCTTCCACATCAGAAAGAATTACTAGAGTTTGACCCTAAATCCCCCGTCCCGCTAAGATCCCGTCCCTTACAAACCCAACCCGTCGAACCTCTGCTCGGCTTCTGCCAAAAAATGGACGAAGAGGCTCTTCGTGTAGGTTTTTGGTTTTTTTTTTGTGTTTTTATTTTTAATCGAAACAATTTGATTTTGTGATTTTTTTATCAAAACAATCTCTGATTTCATTACTTTTTTTATAGATGGGTGCCGAGATATACGATCCTCGATTGTATATCTATTATGGGCCAAGAGATATGAGACTCTTAACCGATCAAGAAGCTCATCGCTCCCGTGCTATTTGGGATAACAATCCGGTAATTTGATGATTTATTTGCTTTATTTTATTATTTTCTAAGGTTTTATTTTGCTTTATTTAAACTAACAAATTGATGTTTTTCCTATTTTTTTGAAGAAATCACTTATATCCGTCGTTCATAAAGGGACCACAAACTTGCCCGCTTGGCATCCACGGTTGGCGTCCTATATAGAGAGGACCAGGTTGGGTATGTTGCGCCATTTCATGCGGATCGAAATCGACAACGATCTGCTTATGGCAATGGCGGAGTGATGGCGTCCCGAAACCCATACGTTCCACCTTCCGGAGGGGGAAATGACGATCACCCACAAAGACATGGCGATCCTCACCGGGATGCCGATTTCTGGAGATGCCATCATTGGTTCCACTACCAAACCCGAAGGAGGTTGGGGGGCCGCTCATTCGTGATCGTTTGTGCTTTGACTAGGGGTGTCCATTCGGGTTCTGTTTTTCGGGTTTACCCGAAACCGACCCGATTATATACATTTTCAGTTTTTTGGGTTCGGGTTCGTTTCGGGTTTCGTTTTTTTGGTTTCGGGTTCGGTTTTGCTTATCGGTTTTTCGGGTTCCGGCTAAAAACCTCCAATGAATAGAACTCAGTATGTATTCTTAGGCGTTCGGGTTTTCGGGTTTTGGTTTTGCTTTAACCGAACCCGAACCCGATAAGGAATTTTCGGGTTTCGGGTAACCGGAACCCGCAAGCCCTTATCAGGTTCGAGTACGGTTTCAGGAATTTTTGGTTTTGGGTTTTCGGATTTTTTCAGGTTTCGTTTCGGGTAACCGAACCCGACCCGAACTGACACCCCTAGCTTTGACATGCCGACCACCGCACCAATTCAAGGACGAGGGCATCCACCGTTGAATGCGGGACACATGTCGGTCCCGTGGCTGGAACTCACATCCAAAATGAGGTGGAAATCAACGACGAGACTGCAGAAGATCAAGTGGAGCGCTATGCACGCATCTACCTCATTGGTTTGGTGGGTGGATTTCTGTTCCCCGACAAGTCAAACCGGTGGATTCAAGGCATATAATTGCCATTGCTCACTGGTGACTGGGACGCAATCGGGGAAAAGAGTTGGGGATCGGCCGTGTTAGCTGGCCTATACCGGGAGCTGTGCACTTGCTCGAAGGTGGGAGCAAAACAAACTGGTGTTGCGATGTTCATCCTACAGCTGTGGGTATGGGAGCATCTTCCAATGTTCGCACCTCTAGACCCACGTCCATACCGGAGAGCCGATGATGAGCTACACTTTCTGCAAAATCCCCCCTACGGTGTCAAGTAAGTTTTTTCCGTACTTAGCCTAATTTAAAATGATTCCATGCTTAGCTAGATTTAAATTGAATTTAATCCGTACTTAGCCTAATTTAAATTTATTCCATGCTTTTACTTACAAGGTGGATAGGAGCAAATACGAATGACAATCAACCTGAGCATTTGTTACTGTTTTATCGTTCTGAGTAGATAAGCCTTGGTGGAATCAGGTAATCATGCTTTATCATATTTTAACAAGTTAAATTTTTTCAATGTAAATGGTTGCTAATTGCATCATTTGAATGAATATAGGTTACTTGGGATCCATATCCACATGAAGTGGTGGAACTGCATCATCTTAGACACCCTCTGGATCACGAAACGTGGTTGTGCAAGGTGTCATTGATCTGCTGGCACATCATGGAGTGGCACCTACTCGATCGATCCTTGAGGCAATATCGAATGGAGTAACCAATTCCATAAACCCCGCCTCAAGGTTTCAAGGAGCTCCATGCCATCGACCTCCGACACGCGGCAAAGAATTGGCTCCTAAAGCATCAGTTCTACATCAACATCTGGGAGAATATAGGGACATGGGTGGTCCAAGGGATGCCGGAGAAGAGACCGATGGGCTACCACGATGGGTACAATAGGTGGTCCAATTCCACATGAAGTGGGTGTCAAAGCAAGGTGCTGTGATGGGTTCGTAGGTAAGTCATCCTAATCTCCCTCGTGAGTCTAATTATTTTGTTTTAAGGTTTAATTAATTTTGATTTATTATGTGGATTGCTTAGGTTGATGGTTTGGAACATGCCAAACACACCCTCGATAGTGTCCAACCATGGATGAGCGCAAAACTTCTTGGCTGCGAAGGCTTATGAACAACCTCTTGAGTTGTACCCGAGAGCAAAGGAGGGATGTGGTGGCCTATCCTCCCATTCCCACTCCGACACACCCATCATTCCGTGATGGTGAGCCCATTGTGCCCCCGGTTGATCCCCCACGAAGGAGCAAACGCAAGCCTCTGCCTACTTTCGAAGAGGTGCGTACAACTCAAGCAACCGAGCTCCCTGAACCATTTGAGTACGAGTGGGCACCTGCACCGGATGTCGCTGGAGGTTCATCTCAGCAACAGACTCCAATGTATCAGACCCCGCACCAACAAACCCCTCACCGCCCGATCTACCAGCAGGCTATCGGTCCATCTCAGCAACCTCCACCGCCACTTGTAACTCCAGTAGGGGCTTGGGTTAAGAGACATCTGCGACAAGTCGTTGAGCGAGCCCGCCAAGAAGCAGAAGGAGGAGGTGGAAGAAGGGGTTCGAGGACGTCGTGGAGGACGAGGTGGAGGGTGAGATGGGGGCCAAAATGAGGGGCAACCAAATGAAGACAACCAGTGAACTATCCGTGCTTTCTTTGATTATTCTAGTGTTTTGTCATTGTAAAGAACTATCCGCGTTTATTTGAATTTTTCGGTCTTGTGATTTGAGTTTGCATTGTCGTTGAACTATCCATGTTATGTTAGTCAACTTTCTAATTGTTGACGGTTTGAACTATCCTGTTTTTTTTTTTTTTTTTTACTGTCCCGTTGTTGACGTTTTGTTTTGTTTGTCTTTCCGTTTTAATACAATCATCACCAATATAAAAAAAAAACTTTCTAATTGGACCACATTCCAAATTTATTCCAAATTCATGACAAGGCAAAACATGGGTACAATTTATTCGTGCTTTGCAGCCCTGAACAAAATTTTGCAATGACTGAAGCATCTAGCAGCTCCCTTTGATGTGCGAGGCGCTCAGTTTGTCTCAACTATAGACCTTATGGCTGATTGTTGTGTTTTATTTTTTCTTTCTTGCAGAGTTGCAGTACATTCCTGGAACTAAGATGGTGTTCCCTGGATTGAAGAAGCCACAGGATCGTGCAGACCTTATTGCATACCTGAAGGCATCGACTGCTTGATTCTTGTGCCAGTTTTGACACAGATTTGTGTTTATCATTTGTCACTGGTTAATAGTTGTCCCGAATTGGACTTTGTTTTTCTTTCCTGAAAGAGAAACATTAGGCATTTCTTGAAAATAAAGACAGCGATTAGGGTGGGTAAGCCCTATGTTATTTTGGATTAGGGGAAAGAATATACTTGTTTGAGACTTCTGTTGTGATGCCGTCTGGTAGACCTCAGAATTCAATATCCAAAAGCCTTATATAAGGAGCTAGATTATCGCTCTTTTTCTTCTTCTTCTTCTTCTTCCGGGTGGTAGACTGATAATGCCTGGTTTTTTTACTGCTGTGATTCAAATTTGTTTGGATGATTTGTGCTGCTCATATACTTGTTCATAGTCTTTGGTGAAGCATGAAAGTCAAACCGAGTTATTTTCTCAAGACTCGTGATTCTGGTGTAACAGGTGATTGGCATGTGCAGAACTAACTGTTGGAAAGCTCTTGGTAGTTTGGAAGTTGTGATTTTAAATGGTGTATTGATCTAATTCATGTATTTGTGAGATTAAGTCGTTTTTTTTTTGTTTATATAGAACTAGAATACATGCATTTATTTTTTATAGGCCCCACCACAATCACTCAATGTTGAGGGATTTACAATCTCTACTTTTTGTTGAGATTCTTCACAATCACTCAATACTAACTTTTTTATCTTTGGAACAAAAACACAATCTAAACCTCCAAACAAAATATTTACCTAATACATCAATTGATTCAATCCATCAAATGATAATACACTAACTGTTCCAATACATCAATTTGAAGAATCACAACTTCCAAACAACCCATAAGAATGATTGATTTGGCCAAATATGTCTATTCGACGTATTCGTTCGACTTGGTTTACCACACGACACAACATGGAGATGGAGTGTTGTGAGTTCCTTACACTATGTTTCCGAAGGTAGGAAATGTTTCCGAAGGAATGGAGGAAAAAGAGGGGAGGTGAAGGAAAATTAGGAGGGGAGGGAAGATTTGGAGGTGAAGGAAATTAGAAGGAAAATATTGGCATGTGCAGAACTCACTGTTGGAAAACTAAGAATGATTGATTTGGCCAAATATGTCTATTCGTTTGACTTGGTTTACCACACGACACAACATGGAGATGGAGTGCTGTGAGTGCCTTACACTATGTTTCCGAAGGAAGGGATGAAAAGGAGGGGAGGTGAAGGAAATTAGAAGGAAAATATTAGCATGTGCAGAACTCACTGTTGGAAAGCTAAGAATGATTGATTTGGCCAAATATGTCTATTTGTTCGACTTGGTTTACCACACGACACAACATGGAGATGGAGTGCTGTGAGTTCCTTACACTATGCTTTCGAAGGAAGGGAGGAAAAGGAGGGGAGGTGAAGGAAAATTAGGAGGGAAGGGAAGATTTGGAGGTGAAGGAAATTAGAAAGAAAATGTTGTTTTATGGAGGAAAGTAGGAAGGAAAGTGTGTTTTGGGAAGTGTGATGAATGTGTTATTATTAGTTATGTAATTGTAAATAGAGACTTTGTTTATTTAAAAGCTGTGATTTAACCACATCAATCATTTAAAAATAGAGATTTTATAATAATTGATCAAGGATTCTAACTCAATTAAAAATCATTCAACTTATTAAAATTTTGTTTGCTATTTTTTTGATTTATCAACATAGCAACTAAGAACATAAACAAATATGACATCCACTTTGAAATCGACAAATTAAACTCGAAATTTAGCTATGATTTAGTAATTCTTCATTGAAATAATTATTTTTGTTTGGCTACTTCTTTGTTACTAATTAATTTTGTTAGGAAGCATAATGAAGGCTAAAAGTCACCAGGACTAATTTGATTACTTTCATGCTAGTAATTAAAAAGACTCACTTAATCTTATTTTGGAGATTAAGTACGGAATTATTAAAAAAAGGAGATTAAGTACAAAACAAGTAAGGATTGTGAGAGAGTGGGTGAAGTTAATAATCTTGTATAATAATGAAGTTAGCAATTGAATTAATAATTAATGTTATTTTGTGTTGGAAACTTAATTATTAGGAAAATATTTAAAAATGAAGAAAGAAAAAAAGAACATGCATGTGTGTCCTTTATTCCCTCTTCTTTCTCTTCAATTTGAAGGAGTGGGTTGGATATAGGGGCGGGCATCCGGTTTGGTAAACCCGAACCGAATCGACCTGAAATTGATTACAACCGAACCGAAATCGAACTAAAGTTATTCGGTTCGGAATTCGGAAAGGAAATGTGGTTAGTTCGGAAAACAGACTCTTATCAACCGAACCGACATTCCGATTACCGAACCGAACAACCAAAAATTACCCAGCCATGTATTTAACCTCACTACTCAGCCCACCTGACCATGGGCCTTGCCCAAATCTCCCCCCCCCCCCCCCCCCCCAGGCCACCGCCTCCCTCTCACACTCTCTTCTCAGCTCTTCCTAACCCTAAGAAATTAAAGAAAGAGGCAAGAGTCTCCATTGCATGCCGTCCCGCCGCTCGGCGGTCGCCTCCGCTCTCATCTCACCACGATCGGAGCAGAGCACACGCCGAAATCTCTCTCGACGTTGCGGTCCCTAGCTTTAGAGCTCGAATCCGCAGCTTAATCGAATCGTTAAGGATGGCGGTGATGCTGTACTCCTGGTGCTGGAGGTCGAAGAACAAGACCAGTGATTTTGAGTCGGAACCCAGATTAGATCTGCCCAACTTCGTGCTTCATCTAAAACCCCCACCTTTTGGATCTCTATTCTCTATCTCTCCAGCTCTCTCTTTCCTGCCCTAGGTCCCTGCTTCTTCTCCTTCAGGCTACTGCTGCTTCTCTCCTTTTCTTTTTATGTTGATGGTCTTTCAAGAAAAGATGAAGGAAGAAGCTAGAGATAGAAAGGAGGTTTTGTTTATGGGCGAGGAGAAGCAGATTGAGAAGAAAGAGAGACAAGGGATGAGAGAATAGTTTCTTGTTTTTGTTGGATTTGCATAGAGGAGGAATTGAGTGGCTTGAAATGAAAGAGGGCCCCCTCTTTCCATCTCTGAAAATGTGCCTCTGCATGTGTTCGGTTTGTATCTGAAAACCGAACCTAACCAGAATATAATTCAGTTCGGCCAAATCGAACCGAATTATATTTTGGTTCGAATTCGGTTTGTAGTTTAGAGTGAATCAGGAACTCGGTATGTTGCATTTCGGTTCGGTTTCGACCGAACCGAACCGATGCCCACCCCTAGTTGGATATAGGGATGGCAATGAGGCGGGTTTGGGGCGGGTTTGTCTAAACCATCCCCATCCCCATCTTCAAATACCCAAACCCATACCCGCCCCATACCCATGTGGGGGAATGTTTTGCAAACCCATCCCCATACTCGTGGGTTTCGGGTACCCATGGATAATACCCGTACCCATACATCCAACCTTATTATACCCAAAATTTACAAGAAAAGTTTTAATTATTACTCTAAACGAACCTATTATTTCATGAAGTCAACAAAACACGATCATTTTCTTAATACGGTTCAAAGTATATGATCCTAAAACATCCATTAATACATAATACAGAGTATAATATTTTTCAAATTATTATCTTCTAACTCGTATACATCTACTAAGTAATAATTAACTAACATAATCTTGTAGACAAGGGGATAAGTGAAAGAGTGAAAGGAGAATTGAGGGAAATGAATTAGATTCTGATTAAAATGGTCACTCAATTGCATTTGTACTATTTATTTCCTTGAGTTATCCTTATCACCATTGATAGATTACAATTTAATCCACATATTTTTTTATATGTAAAGAAATTCTCTTGGTGAGGCGGGTATGTGTATGGGTATGGGGCGGGGGAGGTCAAAACCATACCCGCCCCATACCCATCAAACTTTTTGCGGGTTTTACCCATACCCGCCCCATACCCGGTCAAAGCGGGGATTCACCACGTTGACTGGGTCGGGGGCGATCGGATACCCGCGGCCATGGGTTTTATTTTCATTCCTAGTTGGATAGTACCAAAGGGGGGATAATTTTCCTTCCTTACTCACTTTCCCTCCATAAATGAACAAGGGAAAATGCATTGGGAATCTCACTTTCCCTCCTTTTCTCTTCTTAAGAAACATATTGTTAGTGTTGTCTTTCCCAATATTATTGATATCCAAATTATATGATCTTGCATTCCTTGTAATGGCAGAGCTAAGTGTAGGATAGAAGAGGCAAACTATCAACTATGGTCCTAGGTTGCAAAATTCTAACCTGCAAAATCTATGTCGTGGGAAAACTCTAGTATGTGGAACTTAAGGCATGGAAAATTTTAATCGCTCAACCATTTCATGGAGGACAGAAGCACCTGCGCTGCATATTAACACCGATGCTGGTTGAAGTCTTAGCAGGGGAGTTCGTGTTGCAGCTCGCTCATCAGCTTCGAATTGTTCATCCAATCTTGAAAATCGATTATAAGCTGCTTGAGGCAGAGACAACTTACACGGAGATCAACAGCAGGGGAAAAAATCTCACTGTGCACATGTTCTTAAAAATATTTCCCAAAATACATAAGTTATAAAAAATTTCCCAAAGTACACATGTTTGGCATTCACAGTTTTTGACAAACGCAGTGAAGACTATCACCGCGTTTGACAAAGACGGTGAATATTTCACCGTTAAAAAAAATGGTGACGTATTCACCGTTCTTCTCTAAAACGGTGAACAACGAGCGAGTCAATCACCGTTTTAGAGGCAAACGGTGAATAGATCACCGTTTTAAAGATACACGGTGTATATTAAACCGTTTCTTTAGGCCACGATGAAGCGACGCGAATCGCTGTCGTGGACAAACACGGTGAATACCCCGTGTTTGTTTGCATCAGCGATCCACGTCGCTATTCCTTTCACCATGGCTGTCAGATGCGATGAGGCGCGGATCGTGGTTTTCTTCCCAGATCCAACGCCTCACAGCAAGCCACGTTGCCCCTTACACCGTCTTCGGTAAAGGCAGTGTATTCCCCGTTTTGTCGAACACGGTGAAGCATCCCCAATTAAATTCTCGGCAGAACCCTTCGCCCCCTTCCCCCACTATAAATAGACCCTTCCCCCCACTTACAAATCACACCACAACAATTACAATTCTTTCTCCCTCAATTTATCCGCTGTAGTCTCGTTCTAAGTATGCTCTGTGGTTGCGGCTAAGTCCGATCTTCCACATAAGAAAGAATTACTAGAGTTTAACCCTAAAGCCCCCGTCCCGCTAAGCTCCCGTCCCTTACAAACCCAAACTCGTCGAACCTCTGTCCGGCTTCTGCCAAAAAATGGACGAAGAGGCTCTTCGTGTAGGTTTTTGGTTTTTATTTTTAATCAAAACAATTTGATTTTGTGATTTTTTTTTATCAAAATAATCTCTGATTTCATTACTTTTTTTTATAGATGGGTGCCGAGATATACGATCGTCGATTGTATATCCATTATGGGCCAAGAGATATGAGACTCTTAACCGATCAAGAAGCTCATCGCTCCCGTGCTATTTGGGATAACAATCCGGTAATTTGATGATTTATTTGCTTTATTTTACTATTTTCTAAGGTTTTATTTTGCTTTATTTTAACTAACAAATTGATGTTTTCCCTATTTTTTGAAGGAATCACTTATTCCCGTCGTTCATAAAGGGACCACAAACTTGCCCGCTTGGCATCCACGGTTGGCGCCCTATATAGAGAGGACCGGGTTGGGTATGTTGCGCCATTTCATGCGGATCGAAATCGACAACGATCTGCTTACGACAATGGCGGAGCGATGGCGTCTCGAAACCCATACGTTCCACCTTCCGGAGGGGAAAATGACGATCACCCTCAAAGACGTGGCGATCCTCACCAAGCTGCCGATTTCTGGAGATGCCATCATTGGTGCCACTACCAAACCCGAAGGAGGTTGGGGGCCGCTCATTCGTGATCGTTTGGGATTTGACATGCCGACCACCACACCAATTCAAGGACGGGGGCATCCACCGTTGAATGCGGGACAAGTATCGGTCCCGTGGCTGGTATCTCACATCCAAAATGAGGTGGAAATCAATGACGAGACTCTGGAAGATCAAGTGGAGCGCTATGCACGCATCTACCTCATTGGTTTGGTGGGTGGATTTCTGTTCCCCGACAAGTCAAATCGGTGGATTCAAGGCATATGGTTTCCATTTCTCACTGGTGACTGGGACGCAATCGGGGAAAAGAGTTGGGGATCAGCCGTGTTAGATGGCCTATACCGGTAGCTGTGCACTTGCTCGAAGGTGGTAGCAAAACAAGCTAGTGCTGCGATGTTCATCCTACAGTTGTGGGTATGGGAGCATCTTCCAATGTTCGCACCTCTAGACCCACGTCCATACCGGAGAGCCGATGATGAGCTACACTTTCTGCAAAATCCCCCCTACGATGTCAAGTAAATTTTTTCCGTACTTAGCCTAATTTAAAATTATTTCATGCTTAGCTAGATTTAAATTGAATTTAATCCGTACTTAGCCTAATTTAAATTTATTCCATGCTTTTACTTACAAGGTGGATAGGAGCAAATACGAATGACCATCAACCTGAGCATTCGTTACTGTTTTATCGTTCTTAGTTAGATAAGCCTTGGTGGAATAAGGTAATCATGCTTTATCATATTTTAACAAGTTAAATTTTTTCAATGTAAATGGTCGCTAATTGCATCATTTGAATGAATATAGGTTACTTGGGATCCATCCACGTGAAGTGGTCGAACTGCATCATCTTAGACACCCTCTGGATCACGAGACGTGGTTGTGCAAGGTGCCATTGATCTGCTGGCACATCATGGAGTGGCACCTACCCGATCGATCCTTGAGGCAATATCGAATGGAGCAACCAATTCCACAAACCCAGCCTCAAGGTTTCAAGGAGCTCCATGCCATCGACCTCCGACACGCGGCAAAGAATTGACTCCTAAAGCATAAGTTCTACATCAACATCTGGGAGAATAGAGGGACATGGGTGGTCCAAGGGATGCTGGAGACGAGATCGATGGGCTACCATGATGGGTACATGCAGTGGTATCGGAAGTTCACCAATAGATGGGTGTCAAAGCAAGGTGTTGTGATGAGTTCGTTGGTACGTCATCCTAATCTCCCTCGTGAGTCTAATTATTTTTTTTAAGGTTTAATTAATTTTGATTTATTATGTGGATTGCTTAGGTTGATGGTTTGGAACACGCCAAACACACCCTCGATAGTGCTCCAACCATGGATGAGCGCAAAACTTCTTGGGTGCGAAGGCTTATGAACAACCTCTTGAGTTGTACCCGAGAGCAAAGGAGGGATGTCGTGGCCTATCCTCCCATTCCCGTTCCGACACGCCCATCATTCCGTGATGGTGAGCCCATTGTGCCCCCGGTTGAGCCCCCAAGAAGGAGCAAACGCAAGCCTCTGCCTACTTTCAAAGAGGTGCGTACAACTCAAGCAACCGAGCTCCCTGAACCATTTGAGTACGAGTGGGCACCTGCACCGGATGTCGCTGGAGGTTCATCTCAGCAACAGATTCCAATGTATTAGACCCCGTACCAACAAACCCCTCACCGCCCGATCTACCAGCAGGCTATCGGTCCATCTCAGCAACCTCCACCGCCACTTGTAACTCCAGTAGGGGCTCGGGTTAAGGGACATCCGCGACAAGTCGTTGAGCGAGCCCGCCAAGAAGCAGAAGGAGGAGGTGGAAGAAGGGGTCGAGGACGTCGTGGAGGACGAGGCAGAGGGCGAGATAGGGGCCAAAGTGAGGGGCAACCAAATGAAGACAACCAGTGAACTATCCGTGCTTTCTTTTATTATTCTAGTGTTTTGTCATTGTAGTGAACTATCCGCATTTATTTGAATTTTTCGGTCTTGTGATTTGAGTTTTCATTGTCGTTGAACTATCCATGTTATGTTAGTCAACTGTCTAATTGGACCACATTCTAAATTTATTCCAAATTCATGACAAGGCAAAACATGGATACAATTTAAACAAGCTTACAAACGAAAACATCGGCCATATTTGCTACGATAAGTACTTCATAACATAACAATATAACTACTAAAAACAACCATTAGGAATTAATACGAAAATTAAATCATACAGTAAATTCCTGTTCTGTGTATGTTGCTCGGTTTTGGTTGCTGAAATTTGAAGAGGGGGGAGTGGTTATGTTTTTACAACTGCTGGTGGTGTGGTATTTATAGAAAAATTGGCTAATATTCACCGTCTTTGTCATACACGGTGAACATCATCACCGTGTTTGTCTCAAACGGTGAACATTAGGTAGTTGTGACCTAATTTTCACCTACCTGGGTTGAGAAACGTGGGAAATAATCACCGCCTTAGCCTGAGGCGGTGAAGATGTTCCTCGCTTTGCCCTAAGACGGTGACGTTTTCACCGCTTTTAACTTAAACGGTGATGTCTTCACCGTTTTTGTTTAACGCGGTGAACACTTCACCGCTTTATACAAAAACGTTGAACACGTCATCGTTTTATTTTAAAACGGTGAAATGTTCACAGTTTTTGACAAATGCGGTGATTATATTCACTGCGTTTGTCAAAAACGGCGAATGCCAAACATGTGTAGTTTTGAAATTTTTTTTATAACTTATGTATTTTGAGAATTTTTTTTAAGAACTAGTGTACTTTTAGATTTTTTCCCATTTGAAGGTACCTACGTGAGATAGTTAATGGTTAACGACAGTTCACTCCTCGAGAAGGCAATTTAGCAGCTCCAATCATGTCCCATTTGAAAGTGAGATAGTTAATGGTTAACGACAGTTCACTCCTCGGGAAGGCAATTTAGCAGCTCCAATCATGTCCAATTTGAAAATAAGGTGGAACAGGAGGGTGATTTGGTTTGATAAGTCTCCTCTCTTTTTACTGATTAGTTAAAGCTGAACGATGTAGCCACCTGTCCTGTCCTGATTATTAGTGTTCATAAAATGCTAATAAGAAAATGACTTGGAGAATTCATACTGACAAGTAACAGGAGGTTAATTCTCTAAACATTGTTTTTTTTTAATTTACCACACATATTGCGGTTTAAAAAATTATTGACATAAATATTGTGGTTTGAGAGGGTTAGGAGCGAGCCTGCCCGAGACTCAAGCGGACACGCTTTTTGATTTTTTTCCGACCAACTCGAGCGCTGGCGCCTCACTCTGGGGTGATTTTGGAGACCAGAGCGGCGCCCCAGACTGAGGCAATTTCGGGGGCGCCTAAGACTGGGGCGGGTTCGCTGCTTTGCCCATCCACTACAGCCCTATAAAAACCCAACGATTCCTTTCAGCAGCTCACAAAAAAAAATCGATCTCCTGTTAGACGAGACAAGCTCTGGTTGCTGCAAATATGACTAATAGGTAAGAGACACATTAATTTTTTTAATTCTATTCTTCAAATGCGTTATGATGTTGTTTAGTAATTAGTGAGTTTATTTTTTTATGTAGTGATTTTAGAAGATTTGAATTAGTCATTCGGTGGAAATTGGAGAAAGTAGAGGATAATTTGGGCCTCCATTTCGTTGGTGGTGGAAGTTTTCAGATGACGGTGCCATCCAGGGTGACATATCACAAACTTTGTGAGAATCTAATTCAGAGAATACGACGTAGAGATGAAGCAGTGCAAGATAGTGATGTGATCACAGGTTTCACTTATTGTCTTCCAGAATGGCAGAATGGTGTTTTATTTCATTATGCGATGTCTATTGTGGACGATGATAGTTTGAATGCACTTTGGATTTTTATGGCACAAAACCCTTATTGTTTGGGTGCTGAGATACATGCTGAGCTCAATGAGCATCAGGGTGAAGAGGAAGAAGACGAGACATGAATCGTGCCGTCCGATCATGATGATGATGACGGAGACGGAGAGGAGGAGGAGGAGGAGGAGGAGGAGGATGAAGATGGGGAAGGAGAGCAGCCTAATTATCCTCCCTATGTTTAATTGCAGGGTAATGAAGAGGACGACGAATTGTCATTTGCTGATTCATATGGCGTAATTCCAATGCCTATGGTTGGTGGTTTTGAAGGAGAATTCTACAAGGAGCAGATATTTCACTCGAGACAAGCTGCATTGGTGGCGATTAAACACCACGCACTACAACGCAACTTTCAGTATGTCATGGTCGAGTCATCATAGAAAATCTGGAAGATCAGATGCTTGAAGCACAAGGAGGACTATTGTCCTTGGATGGTGCAGTTTGGATGTCGAGATGTTGGAGGCGAATGGAATGTGAGAAAGGCCGAGTTGGTGCATTCTTGTAGCTCTACGACTCAACTGACGGATCATCGTCATCTTAATGTCGACGTTATATCTGAGTCCGTGAAACATTTGGTACGTGCCCAACCAAATCTGAGTGTTCTAATTGTGCAGGCCGAGTTGAAAGATAAGTTTAATATGCAAGTTACGTACTAGAAGGCTTGGTATGGGAAACAAAGAGCATTGGAGAAGTTACATGGAAATTGGGAAGAATCCTACAATTATTTGCAAACATTCTTGCGGGTGGTAAAGAGAAAAATGCCAACATCGGTGATTGATTGGGTAAGAGTTCCTTCAGCTCAACTAGGTCATTTGATCTTTCAACGAGTATTCTGGGCTTATGGACCTTGTATAGATGGATTCAAGAATTGTCCATGAGTCATGGTTTTTGATGGAACATTTCTTACTAGAAAGTATAAAGGAGCTACTCATGGCGAGCTCATTTGATGGCTGGAAGAAGATTTTTCCAATAGCATTTGCCATCACGGAGAGCGAGAATACTGAAAATTGGTCATGGTTCATAAGTCGCGTTCAAGGTTTGACCGATCGAAATGATGTATGCATAATATAAGATAGACATGCGAGACTCTATCAAGCCATGAGTGACATCAGAAGAGGCTGTGAGTGGAGGTGGTGCATGCAACACTATGCAAGCAATTTGCAAAGAAAGACTAAAAGAAAATTTATGTATAAGCAACTATTTCGAGTGGGTAAGACTTCTTCATCATTATTGATATTTATTTTAATGTATTAATTATTTTCATTTAATAATTTTCATGAATTTATCTAACTCGGGTGGTTATTTATTTTGTTAGCCGGAGAAAAACGCTTGGAGAAGTTCGATTGTCAAGTTGAGCAATTCAAGAAGGTGGCCGCTGATAGGAATATTTCTTGTGATGACTGGGTGGACCAACATCAAATTCGTTGGAGCTTAGAACATGATAACTATAATGGTCCACCGCCACCTCTCCGCTGCGCCTGAAGAAACTGCTCATATGACCACTGCGATTGCTGATAGAAACCCAATTTCCGGGTCTTATCATAATTACTATAATTAGGATATTATTAGATATGGTTAGTAGTCATTGAGTCATATTAGGTTAGTCTATTAGGTTTTCCGGTCTTTCGTTATAAATATGTACTTTGAGATTTAGTCAGAATCAATCAAGAAAGAATTATCAAAGTATCTCTTCAAACCTAATCTCTCCTAATCCTCTCAAACTCCTTTCGCCCCCTAATCTGGCCGCCGACCATTCTTGTCTGTTCTTCCCCAAATTCGCAATCTCTATCCCTAATCTCTTCTCTATCTCTAAAATCTCCATCAATCCCCAATTTACCAACCCAATCTATTGAACCCTAGAAATAGGTTTCTATCATCTGGTATCAGAGCCTGGTTACGAATCTAAGTTCATCACAACTCTCACCAGGGAATTGTTATCAGAATTTCTATCAAGGGATTGAAGCCCTTCAAGCCAGCCTAGCAAAATATGAAGCTAACAGGAAAGTTCAGCACAACAATATGATGGCAGGCCTTGAAGAAATTATAACCATGCAGAACCGGCATCGGCGGATTCAAAAAGGTGACTGTAAATGACGCATCAGCAGCCACGGAGGAGGCTGCGGACGACGATGGTGAGAGACGAGCAGAGCAGCCGAGTGTGGAAGAGGTTTTGACAACCGAGCCACCAGCCACAGAAGAGCCACCAATCGCCACCAGGAAAAAGCAGCAGCCTCTGCCAACAACAGTTTCAAAGCCTGTAATAACATTGGTTGAGAGGGAAGAATCATGCAATAAAAAGGCCGAATCAGATATGGTGTTGGAGAAGAAAATACATGTAAATGCTAGAGAGCCCGAAACCTCAATTAGGGAGGCGATGGTAAAGGGAGACCAGGTCAATCGGAAGTTAGGGAGGTAGAGAAGTTTGAGAGCAGCCTCTGTTCCGCTTCCGCCAAACTGGAGAGTCAGGAAGAAGGAGGCGGTGACGAGCGGCGGGGGAGCAGAACCATGATCGCGGAGGAAGATCGGCTTCGGCTGGGGATGCGAGCTCGGAGCAACGACAAGTTCTCAGGGTCTGTCGGTAGGAGCACAAATCACGACGGAGCGGCAGTCGACGACCCACGAGGAGACACCGCTGAAGACGGTCCATCTCGGCTCCGGGATCGCGTTTACCCCGCCATCGAGTGTGGGGTTCGTCTCCATGGAAGGAGGTGAAGAAGACAGTGCATGAGAGCTCGTCGCTAGTGGAGATGAAAAGAGACTCGCTCGCCATGGGGATGAACTCGGGGGCGGAGCCCGAAGCCAGAATCGACAGTGAACGCGACGCAGAGGTGACGGAGTTTCGAATCGCGCGCGGAGCGCGACGATTAGCGGCAGTGCTCGTCGCGATGCCGAACGACGGAACGATGATGATGAGCGTGGAACATAGTGGGGGTCGCGTCGTCGGGGAAATGGAGCTGAGGACGATGGTGGACGGGTTGAGTTTATCCTTCCGTCAACTGAGGAGACCATCGCCGCCGGTGAAGGAAGACTCGACGATGGAAGGGAAGGAGAAGAAAGCGACGGGCTGCGGGTTGGGTTCGCCAGATCTGCGAAGTGAGCGGTTGGCTGTCGAAAAAAGAAGAAGCGACGAGGTGGGAGTGATGAAGAAATCGCAGAGAATGAGGCGTCGCCGGATGATGAAGGGAGGAAGGAGACGACGACGAGCGGCGGCGCGATGAGGAAACAGAAGACAGAGGAGGGTGGCGGTGCCGCCGTCTCAAACCCTAAGGCGACCTCCTCAATCCGCATGGTCAGCTAAACCGATCCCAGTTGGGCAGTGTGAGTTGGATCGAGCCTTCAGATGGGTCGGTCTCTGTTTCGCGAAGGCCAATTCTGGGGCTGGGGGTTGAGGTTAAGCGGGCCGTGGGAGCACTCACTCATGAGCCCAACCAGGGTAAAGAAGTGGATTGGACCAATCTTAGGCCCTTGTATGAACTTGGGCCGACAATAGAAGAGACAAGGTTTAAGCCCATCGTGGGCTATGATTTGAAAATGGAGATGGAGAAAAGGAAAGATGGGTTTGAAACATCAGTTGGTAGGATTTTAAGAAAGAATTTCCAAAGGCAATTGAAGATTCAATTAAGTCATTTAATTGGCTGAATCTGAGAAAGAGGTATGCCAGCCTTGATGAGTTGGTACTTAATGATGGTTTTTTGCACAAGCAAGTACATTGTGATTAATTAGGTTGTTGGATCATGATGCCAACGAAAGGGAAGCTATTGGCGTTTGAACTTGCCACAGAGGCAAATAGTGGGCCCATGCGATTCATAGAGTGGGGCCAACGAGAGGAGATCGGTGCAAGAGACCTCAGTAAGGAGTTGGAGCATGATTGGAAGAAAAGAAAGCACTAGAGATGGAGGAGCGAAGCCGTGGTTCGCACGGACGACGTGATGAAGTGGGTCGAGTCGATCAACCTTGAGGGCAAGGTTGGTCTCAAGGTGGAGGGGATGATAGATACCCAATTTCCGGGTTTTATCATAATTACTATAATTAGGATATTATTAGATATGATTAGTAGTCATTGAGTCATATTAGGTTAGTCTATTAGGCTTTCCAGACTTTCGTTATAAATATGTATTTTGGGATTTAGTCAGAATCAATCAAGAAAGAATAATCAAAGTTGATCGACTCGATAATCCTCATAATCCTCTCAAACTCCCTTCTCCCCCTAATCTGGCCGCCGACCATTCTTGTCTGTTCTTCCCCAAATTCACAATCTTTATCCCTAATCTCTTCTCAATCTCTAAAATCTCCATCAATCCCCAATTTCCCAACCCAATCGATAGAATCCTAAAAATAGGTTTCTATCAATTGCCGAAACAATTGATCACCATCTATAGTGTCCCAGGAGTCTGGCTCTGTGTCTGCTCCAGTATCAGTATCTGATGCCATGTATCCGCCCCCCATCACACCATGTTGTGGTGTATAAAAGCTATCCTCCTGTGGCTGAAACTGTGGCTGAAAAGGCCCCGAAGAAGTGCATGCATCAAATCCTTGATAAGCGCCTGACTGAGACTGCGGCTGAGAAGGCGGATGGATCTGGAAGCTCGTGGTAGGCCTAACGGTCTGTGCTCATTGACGATCTAAAATCCTCGCTGGGAGAGGTACGTCACGCTGCTCACATCGTTGTCTACGGCTCCTGGGCTCCTCCGTGAACTGTGGATGTGGCACTCCTCAGGTCGATGCCGAAACCCTACGTTCTGGCCAAATGTCTAGGTTGTGGTCATGAATAGGATACCACTGAATAGGTACTGTAGGATCGGGATATCAACGCTCACTAAAACCCAAAGCTGTAACCCCTGCTGCCAACATGTCAGCCAACTCCTCCATCCAGTCGAAGACAAGTAACTGACTAGTCCTCGTCTGGTATGTCTATTATGACGGCATCATCATCGATCGCTAGGCCGGTCAGTGTCGCAATGTCCTCTAAAGTGATCGTCACCTCACCAAATGGCATGTGGAAGGTCGATGTTTCGCGTCGCCAACGCTCTACGAGCGCAGTAATCAAACCAGGATAACCAGTAATAGGGACCAATGGCAGAACCGTAAACAAGCCTGCCTCGACGAGGTACGTCAGATAATCTGGATGGTACCTGACTACATTGCTCGTACCTCGAATATGGCAAGGTCGATCACCAGTCTAAAGTGCACAAAACTTATATTAATTCAATTTCATACGTACTTCTAAATTCAGTTCACCTAGTTTTTATATATATAATCTAAAATTATTCTAATTTTAACATATTTCATTGTAATTCTATTCTAATTTCACTTCAGCTCACCTAATAAAAAAGCTATAGAAGTAGTTGAAGGGCTTACCTCGTTTGCCCAAACTGAGTCAATACGATAGTGCCCATGTCCCCAAAGAAGTACCGGATCCACCAGAGCTGTATCAATTGATGCAGGTGGTGGTCTTATGGAATAACTATCCATAAGCCTAGGAATTGAAAAAAGTAATAATCAGAAACATTAAAAAAAACTTAAAAAAACCCGGCCGTCGCAGGCCACAAAATCGGTCACCGCCGGCGAGCTCCTCACCTCGATAGTGGTCGCCGCCGCCACGCCCTCGACGCCCTCTCCCTCTTCCCCTGTCGGCGATTTCCTCGCCGTCGGACATTCTCCTCTCCCTAGATCTGGGCTGCTGCTGGCTGAGGAAGAAGGAAGATGAAGGGCGAACTCGTCCGAAGCTGAGGAGCGGCCGCTTGAGTCTCAGGCGAAGCCCTTTGGGGCTGGGGCGAGGCCGCCTTCCTTCCCAGTGAGGGCTATTGGTGTTCGACGGGAGTGCGGCTTGGAGGAGGAAGGAGAAGCAGAGGTTGTTCTGGAAAAAAGCTCGTTCGGGGTAGCAAACGACATTTTTTGGGACGAAGGCGGGACCCTACCACCTTCGGCAGTCTTCGGCTTGCAAGATCTCAAAAGGTTATGCGGAATAAAAAAAATTCGCGACGATCGGATACCCGAACACAAAGATACGTTCGTTTGAAGTTTCCATCTAGGTTATGATTTTTCCAAAAAAAAAAACAGTGCATGGTGGGGGTGCGGTCTGCAAAACCGCCCCCTACCAGTGCGGTTTTCATCAAAAAACGCGCCTCGGGTGGTGGTTTTGGCGTAAACCGCTGGTACGGGTGGCGGTTTTGCAGAAAGGGTGTTATTTTTGTAATTTTTCAGAGTTGGGTGCTATTTATGTAATTTTTTTTAAAACCGTGCTATTTTTGAAAAAATCCCGGTTAAAATATTGGGAACTTGTACATTGATGATGACTGTCAGTCCCTGTCCTTTAAGATCGAGATCTAACGAAGTGGTTAACTATTTTATGTTATTTCTAGCTACTCTTCGCTATAAGCTCTGTCTCCATTGTTGTGTCCTATTGCATCTGGATTGAAAGCAGAGAGGCATATATAATCATTGAGTTCTTCATGAGCTAACCATATGGCTTCCAATTTGAAAAGTTGGTGGTCTATATCTTATCTTCCATTAATGGTTCACTCACTATGATTGAATCTTCCATTTGTTCTTATTAGAAACGAACGGAAAAAAGCATCATTGGGCCGCCCAGCAACTTGTTCATTCTGTCACCACAATACATGGCTCTAAAATAAGACCAGAGAACGCAAGAAGACAAAGCAGAGGCAGTCTTCAAAAAAAAAAAAAAAAAAAAAAACAAAGTCAGCCGCCGACGGCGGAAACGGGCTGAAGCCGACAAGTCCCTGATCGTATTAATGATCGGAAGTCGCAACTAGCTTTTTATGTTAAAAAAAATAAATATTATAATCCTACCCAGAAAAGAAAAAAGATTCCAACTTTGGGCTATTTGAATGATGAAATTTGCCCCCGTCCGAGCCCCACTTAACAGTTTTCACTGGGAAGTCTTGCGGGCGCTCTTTTTCTTCCTCCTCTAACCGTCTGATACTGTTTTCTGGTTAGTGACAGTGGCGCTTCTGATCCTTCTTCCAACTTGCATTTTGATTCTCAGTATCTGTTTGAGAATTGGTTGCTGCCTTCTTTTAGTTTGATTTACGCTAACAATTTCCGCGATCGGGTTGGGTTTATAGTCAACTGAATTCGATTCTAATCCATTGCAAGCTGTTTTTAGCCCTGTGGGGTAGTTGACTTTGGTATTTGCATTTAGTATGGTTGGTGAACTGATGGCGTAGTTCTCATAATATACCTTACTTTTACTGATCTGGGTAACTTTTCTTACTGGGGTTTGATTGTCTGCAAATTCCTTGTGGGGTTAGTTTGCTTGAACTCAGTAGGGTTATACTTTCGGAATCAGTGCAATTGGGAAGCTACTTGATATTCTGAAACTGTTCCCCATAAAAGACAACAAGTCGCTGTGGCTGTTCTTTTGGTATTATTAGGCAAGTATAACATGGTTTGTGCTTTCATCAATTAAGACTGTAACTTAAGAGACAAATTGGTAATCCTCCCCAGAGTTTATTTCCCTTGATCATTCTTTCAGGCTTTTCAATAGCTTCCATTAATCTGCAATCCTTCTGTCATTCATTTGGAATCAGGCAGCCACAATTTGAGGGAAGATGGTGGAGAATGGATATAAAGATGATAACAATGGAAATTGTAAGAGCTCGAAGAATAAGGTATTCACTGATTCTTTTTCTCGAATCTCAATACAGTCTAGAATGGTGTTGTTGTCTCCAACAAGTTCTTAGGTTTTATATAGGTTGCACTTCACTTCAAGAGGTTGCTTCCTTACGGCAGTTGTTTACTTGGTTAAGCTTTATGAGAATGCAGAAGTGGAAAAAAAACTGAAAATGGGATATTCTCGAGAACCTCCATTCTTTAGATCCTTCAGCAAAAGCTGAATACTAGATCGCGTGCGCTACGGAAACAACTGCTATCTGTATAGATGAAATTTCTTTTATTCATGGTTCCAATGCATAGTCCTAATGTAGGCCCTAAGATCTTGTGTTTCTTGAACTTGTTAGGAAATCTATCTTGATCATTTGCTATGGATGCTATTTGCCAGGCACAATGGAACACTATTTTTCTTGTCAAATTTCTTTATTTTGATAAGTGCTTGTCACATTATATCGTAAGAGATGTTTGGATATTACAAAAGGGGCATACAATAGGTTCCAATTCTTCATGGGGAATCCTTTGTGATCCATTCTAGAAAGACAGATCCATGTTGCTGGTCCTTTCAATATGCAGAACCTAAAAGATCCATGTCTGTTTGTTTCTCCCATTCTTTTTGGTGGTTTTGTTTTTCTTTTATTCCATTTTGTCTTCTTGTATCTCTGCACCATATGTCTTGTTGGTTCAGGTTCAATGTTTGATATAATGTCTTCTTTCTTGTCTGAATTAAGGTTGACCCTGGGAAACCTGCTCCCCTCACCTGGCAGAGAAAACTGAACAGTGAGCTGGTGCCCCTCAAGCAGTTTCGTCTGACACTTAGCGAGATAGTTCAGCTGGTATGATGAAACTAGGATGAATTTGCTTCTAGTTCATGTCAACTTCAATAGTATTGCTTTATCAAATCTGAGCCTTCCTTACTTCATCCCAGTTCAGCAGTGTGAAGTTGTAATGTTCTTTGATTTTATGGTGTATAAGGACCAGTTAGTAATTCCTGTGTTTAACTTGCACTTGCATAGTTCATAGACATCCCAGCAGTTTGCATAATGGTGTTTATAGATAGTATCTTGTAAAGATCTTAGCATTAGTTTCAGGTTTGTGAGCTGGACAACTATTCACTTCCGTTTGCTATTTGTCACTTCCTATTTAGGCCCCAATAGGCGTCCGGCTGTTAAGTTATGTCCGTGAAGAATCTGCCAAAGGACGGGTACTTTTCGTTTCAGAACATAGTTTATGCATTTGAAGCAAAAGTTCTAGTGATTCATTCCCTTATCTTATAATTCTTTTGCAGGGGGGCTTTTTCATCCATCCATTTGCTAAAAGACATTTGACAACTAGTCATGGTGTTCCCCTAGGTGGTATAGGGTAGGTTTCCATCGCTATTGAGAAGTCATATTTGGTTCCTGTTTTTGCTGATAAGTATGCCTGGTTGTGTCTCTTCACGTGGTCTCTAGTTGAAGATGGTGGATTTCATTATTTTGCTTATAATAACAGTCTATGCTCCCCTGGTAACCAGAATGTGGAAGCTAAAGGCCTAACATTTAGCCATTTGCAGCTCCGGAAGTATTGGCAGAAGTTTCCGCGGTGAATTCCAGCGCTGGCAACTGTCTCCTGGAAAGTGTGAAGAAGCACCGGTCTTAGCAAATCAGTTTTCTGTAAGTTTAACTGGGCTTGTGTTTGTGGTACGATAATTACCTTGTTTGATAGAAGAGCAACTAGGTTGTTGGAGGTTGCTTGTTTTAGGATAGGGAGACTGCTGACTGGGATGAAACTTTTCATTAAAAAAATGCTTTAAAACGTTGGAGCTTGCTTGACATTGGAATTAACTATTAGTGTCACAAATGCAAATTTTTTATATTTATTTGAACAGATAAGTAATGATATTCATGAAAAAGTGCTTATGTGGATGCTTGACTACAAGTGACGTTATTGAATTTACAAACGTTGTGTCGTTTTATGTGCATCTGAGATCCGGGGTGTACTGCAGACGTTCCCTTATAAGTTATAATTGGTTACTTTCTTTTATTATTTAAATTATTGGCAAAGTGATAAGCAAATTTTACTTTTGTATGCAGGCTTTTGTATCTCGTTCCAATGGCCATAAGCACTCCAGTGTGTTGTGTCCAAGAACTCCTGATATGATAATGTAAAAGAATTTGTTACTTGATCGGTCACCATTCTCCAATTCTGCTTGTTATTTCTGTTATGCACTTGGAGTTTTATTTATGTGGTCATAGAACAATTCCTGAAGAAGCAAAAGCTGTTAAAACTTACAAAATGCCCTATGCATACTCAGAGATCCTGCAGTTTCAGGGATTGGGTCATGGGACTGGAATCTGAAGGGTGATAAGTCTACATATCATGCCTTGTACCCGAGGGCATGGACGGAATATGCGGG